GAGGAACGTGTCGGTGCGTGATGATCGGGGTGCGGATGCCGGTGGCAGTGGTGTTTCTGGTCTCAAGGCCCTGGGTGTGCGCGATCTTACCTACCGTTTGGCGTTCCTGGCTTGCATGGTGACGCCTGATGTGTCGGCAATCGGTGCTTCTGGCGATGCCCTCCTTATGGACATTGTTGGTACCCTCAACAGCAGCGCGGCGGCCGAAACAGCCGAGACCATCAAGGAAGCCCAGGAAGCTCTGCTGAGCTCCTACACCTCTGCCGAGATGGAAGACCTCCGTGCCATGGTGCACAGCGACCACATCTACGCACGCCTCGTCCAGTCCCTGGCACCCACGGTCTACGGCCACGAGGTCGTCAAGAAGGGCATCCTCTTGCAGCTTTTGTCTGGTGTCTCCAAAACCACCGCCGAAGGCATGGCACTCCGCGGCGACATCAACATCTGCATCGTCGGCGACCCCTCGACGTCCAAATCCCAATTCCTCAAGTACGTCGTCAACTTTGCTCCCCGGGCAGTCTACACCTCCGGCAAGGCCTCTTCCGCCGCTGGTCTTACGGCTGCCGTGGTCAAGGACGAGGAGACCGGTGAATTCACCATCGAAGCCGGTGCCCTCATGCTCGCTGACAACGGCATCTGCTGCATCGACGAGTTCGACAAGATGGACATTGCCGATCAGGTTGCCATCCACGAAGCCATGGAACAGCAGACCATTTCCATTGCCAAGGCCGGTATTCAGGCTACGCTTAATGCCAGAACCTCGATTCTAGCAGCTGCCAACCCGGTCGGAGGTCGCTACAACCGCAAGACCACCCTGCGCGCCAACATCAACATGTCGGCGCCCATCATGTCCCGTTTCGATCTGTTCTTTGTCATCCTCGACGAGTGCAACGAGCAGGTCGACCGCCACTTGGCCGAACACATTGTCGGCCTGCACCAAAACCGGGACCAAGCCATCGAGCCCGAGTTCTCTACCGAGCAACTGCAGCGGTACATTCGTTTCGCACGCACCTTCCGCCCCGAGTTCACCGACGAAGCCAAGGAAGTCCTCGTGCAGCGGTACAAGGACCTGCGCGCCGACGACGCCCAGGGTGGCATCGGCAAGAACAGCTACCGAATCACCGTCAGACAGCTGGAGAGTATGATTCGTCTGTCCGAGGCCATTGCCAAGGCCAACTGCGTCGAGGAGATCACGCCCGATTTCGTAAACGAGGCGTTCCATCTTTTGCGGCAGTCGATCATTTCCGTCGAACACGACGACGTCGAAGTAGACGACGAGGAAGACGTCCCCGAACCGCCCGCCGACTCCCCCGAGGCCTTGCAAGCCGCTGCCGCTGCTGCTTCGCGCGTGCCCGAGGCTGATATGGACGGAGACGGCGACGTCGACATGGGTGGTGAAGCTGCCCGCCAGCCGTCTGCGGCACCCTCGCAAGCGCATCGCGAGAAGCAGACGATTTCGTACGACAAGTACATCTCCATTGTGAACCTGATCGTCTCCAAGGTGGCCGAAGACGAGACGCAAGGCTCAGGGGAAGGGATCGAAGGCGAGCAGCTGGTGGAGTGGTACCTCGAACAAAAGGAGGAGGAGATGGCAACGGAAGAGGAGTATCACGAGGAGAGGAGGTTGGTGGGCAAGGTTTTGAAGAGGATGGTCAAGGTATGTTTTTGTTCCCTTGTTCTTCCTGCATATTGGGTGACTGCTAATGAAATGAAAAACAGGACAACATTCTCATGGCGATCCGCGGACAAGGAATCGTTGGCGAAGAAGGTACCGCGGGAGAAGGTACCTCGGCAAGGGCAGAGGGCAACATTGTCTATGTGTTGCATCCTAATTGCGCGGTGGAGGAGTTCTAATGTCTTGATTAGGTGGATGGGGAAAAAAAGAAAAGGGTACGAAAAGTGTAGCATGGGATTTGGTTTGAGATGGATCTTGATTAGAGCGAGCGAGAGACCTGGCTGGCGTTTTGGAGTTGTGTTGGATGGGAAAGATATCACGGTCTTGTGTGAATACAGTAGAGGGTTGGTTACCTGTAAAAATGGCTCGATTGCTGACTCCTTTCCGTACCTCAGCTCGTGATGGAGTGAATCATCCGTAGACAACGTAAACAAACATCAGACCCCTTAACGCCCTGTCATAAATTCGTGATCATGTCCTGGTCGTGAAACCTTGCTCGCTCATCCCAGTCGCATTCTATGTGCAAAACCCTAAAAGTATCCATCATGATTGAATCCCAAAGCGGTGGGTATCCAACATCGTATCGTAACAGTCGTGAAACTCGTAATCGTCGTCGTAGTCAACAAGGGACCGAAGTAAAACAAAGTTGGTATACTCGTAATTAACCTACCAAAACCATTAGCACTGCCTACTGGAATAACACATGGTATCTATATCCCTCTCCATAAGAAATCACTCATCATCAATCGACATACCCTTCATCAACCTCTCCATCTCCCTTTCTCTTCTGCTCCCCGCCGTTGTCCCCGGCTCGACAACCGGCACACCCCCAATCGCCTCCAATCGCCTCCTGAGTTCCTCCGCCTCCCTCTCTTGTTCTCGTTCCCTCTCCCTATCCCTCTCCCTCTCTTCCTCCTCCTTCTCCTCCTTGGCTTGCTTCTCCTTCTCCTGCTCCGCCAACATCTCCTCCAGTTCCTCATCAATCTCCTCCTCATCCACCACCCCACCAGCAGCAGTCGTGCCCGCCTCAGCCAGAATGGTATTAACCTCATCCACCTCGGCCATTTGCTCTCTGAGTTTGAAAGTGAGGTTCTCAACTCTATCGACGCCACCGACTTGCTCGTTGAGCGACTCGAGCACGCGCGAAGAAGTTTCCATGATTTTCATCATGGCTACGCTGTCGCTGGCTTGTTGGATCTGGGACGCGACGGCTTCTAGTTGCGTTAAGCTTGCGTAGCGGCCCTCCAGGCTCTGCTCGGCGAGTTTCTTTTGTTTCAAGGCTGCCAAGGCTGCGATTCGGTTCTTGGCTTGAACGGCTTGGCGGGCGGTCTTGTCGAGTTCCGAGATGCGGCCCGCTAGGGCGTGGGTTTGGTGCGTCAGGGAGGAAATGAGTTCCTTGATGGAAGCGACTGTTGTGTCTTCGGGCGTTATGCTTTGGTGCTCCTGCTGATCATCAGAGGGAGTCTTGATCTTAAAGGTGGAGCCGTCATAAAGGATAAGGTCCTTGTCGCGAGAGAGAAAGACGAGTAACACGTCGAGATCGGTTTCGCTGAGGAGTTTGCCCTCGCTGCCTTGCTCCAGCTTGACCTGCTCATTGTACGTATGCAGAAAGTGGGCTTTGGACCAGGTGCGTTCGAAGCGGCTGTCTGTTAGGGCGGATGCGGTGGTTGCGGCGAACTGCTTGCCGGCTTCTTGGACGTTGGCGATCACCACGTACTGTCCCTTTGGTAGCCCGTTGCCCCTCAACCAATCTGCTACACCTAGTTGTTTCAAGGCCCAGCCCGCCACACCGCCAGCTACAGCCCACGGTGATGGTAGCCATGGCTGGTAGTATATGCTCGTTGGGGATGCGAGGAAGTCATGCAGCGGTATAAGGTCCTTGGCAGCCAGTGCTTCCCTAATTACGGTGCCCAAGGCTAACGGCCGGCCGTACTTTTTGGACTCGAGCGCGCGCAGGAGGGATTCATCAGAGTTGAGGACGAGGAGGTTCGGCGTTGAACCTTTTGGGGCGGGGGCCAAGCCGGAGCGGGTGAGGTGGGCGAGGGCAGAACGCCAGGCGGAGATGTTGGCCTGGTAGCCGTCGGGATTGAGAGTGCGGAGGGTGGTGAAGTCGGAGTATAGGGCTGGGAGGCGGGCTCTGTGGGAAGGGAGGGTTAGCTGACATGGAGCGAGGTGGCATCAGCCGAATGGGCAAGACGCACTTCCTGAAGCTGGGCTCGTGTTGGACTAGGTAGTCGACGAGTGATTGTCGGTTGTTCATGGTGTTGGTGTCTCGGAGTTTCTGGTAGCGCTACGCGGGAAATCAAAAGCGAAATCAGGTGGGACAGAACCGGATGATGGAGTCGCGAGCACGCGGTCGGTCGACAATGGTGAGCGATGGGCCGGCTGGGAACCTTTGTGGCTTTGTTGCGACAACAAGGCCAAAACAACAGGTCAAAGAAGCAACACTTGTTGCATGCTACCAGACAGGTGAGCAGGCTTGGTTTGGCTGTCGCGAATTAATGAGGGCGCAGAGATGTGGTTGGGCGCAAACAGCCTACCATAACCTGGTGGTGGTGATGATGACATGCAGAAAGAAAACAAATCGAGAGGGTGTGTCGTCACTGTGGTGATGGAGTTACAGTGGGCTTTCCTTATCTTATCAGTTATACACCAGAGGACCCCGCCTTGCAGGTGTTGATCTGCGCCTCAGACCTGGGGACCCCGACTGCATTGGAGCTATTCGGGCATCCTCGGATTTTTCCTTTTTTTTTTTTTTTTTTTTCTCTTCTTCGACTCCGCGCAATGGACTCATGCTGGTAGGTAATTGGAAAGTTTCATACAATGGGGAATTATATAGGAACTGATTATAGTGGTGAACCCCAACCACCATCGGCCAGTGACGACGGGAATGGGTGTGGTGGGGCAGAAAGAAGGCGGTGGTGATTTCTAGACACTTTGAAGACCAGCGAGGTTCCCGGATTCTCCACTTCCTTTCAGCAGCTCCAGTGCTCTGAATGCCAAGACCGAGCACCAACAGCCCAATGGCGGCTGTGATTCGGCGAATCGGCCGGCCGCCAAAAAGTTGACTGCATGGCTTCCTGGTCACGATCCGACCTTCTTTCGTAACTTCCTTGACCCTCACTTTATTCTCTCCATCCAAACACACACACACGGGTGTTCGGTTCAGGCTTTCCTCCGCCATACCTACCGCTCGAGCTTGTTGTTCTGTACACTCCTTTGTTTAATGTCGCGGTAAATAACCTGTTGGCTACTCACTGGCCCGCACCATCTACCGACGAAACCCGAACCCTCTCTACCTATCCATAGCTACCTCTAGATCAAGATGAACTCGTCCGTTCTTCCCAAGGCAGCCCTCCCGGCTCGCCACTTCTCTCCCGCGCAAATATGTCGTCGTCAGAGGTTTAGAGCCTGTGCCGGAAGAAAGGCTTCTGCTGCTGGCTTTACTGTAGTTGCTAGGCCTCGCACAAGCCGCTCAACCACACCCACCACTTCTCCCACAAGGCCTGTCTCGAAGCCAAGGGTAGGTCCTGATGACGTCTGTGTTCAGTTTGTCTCCCCCATGCTGACCAGCTCCTGCTTAATCACTAGACCTTCCACACCACCAACCACCTGCTTGCTACACCTCGCGACCCCTACGGCGTACTGGGTGTTGACCGGAGCGCCTCCCAATCCGATATCAAAAAGGCCTACTACGGCCTGGCCAAGAAGTACCACCCCGATACGAACAAGGACCCCAACGCCAAGGACAAGTTCGCCGAGATCCAGTCCGCCTACGAAATCCTATCCGATCCCGAGAAGAGGAAGCAGTTCGACCAGTTCGGCGCTGCTGGCTTTGAAGCAGGCGGCCACCCTGGCCCTGGTGGTGAACCGTTTGGCGGCGGGCACCCCTTTGGCGGCTTCGGCGGACGCGGTGGATTCGGCGCAAACATCAACCTCGATGATCTCTTCTCAGCATTTACCGGCGGCGGCCGTGGTCCCTTTGGCGGCGGCGGCGGTCGGGGTCCGTTCCAGCCCGAGATTTTCGAGGGTGACGATATCGAGGTGCAGGTGCAGGTGTCGTTCATGGAGGCGGCCAAGGGAACCAAAAAGACGATTACGATCCTGCCTCTGAAGCAGTGCGGCACATGTAGCGGTAGCGGTTTGAAGAAGGGCACTCAAAGGTCCACGTGCAAGTCGTGCGGCGGTTCCGGTCAAAAGGTCGTCACGGTCATGGGCGGTTTCCAGATGGGCACCGTCTGCAACGCCTGCAACGGCAGCGGCACGGTGACGCCCAAGGGTTCCGAGTGCTCGACCTGCTCGGGCGACGGTGTGGTGAGGGAGCGCAAGACCTTGGTGGTGGATATCCCCGGCGGTATCGAGGACGGCATGAAGCTACGCATCAGCGGCGAGGGCGACGCGCCCCCATTAGGCAGACAGTCGAACCCCAACGCCCAAGGCACCCAGGGCGACCTGTATGTCCACGTCCGGGTTGCGCCCGACCCCAAGTTCCAGCGTCACGGCTCCGACATCCTCTACACGGCAACGATACCGCTCACCACAGCCATCCTCGGCGGCGAAGTCACCATCCCCACGCTCGAGGGCGACGCCAAGGTCCGTGTCGCCACTGGCACCAACACGGGCGACAAGATGACCATGGCGGGCAAGGGCATGCCCAAGCTCAAGGGCCGTCGCGGAGCCAAGGGCGATCTGCGGGTCGAGTTCCGCGTCAACATGCCCAAGTATCTGAGCCCCAACCAGCGCACAATCATCGAGATGCTAGCGGACGAGATGGGCGACAAGACGGCCAAGCGCGTTATGGACATTCACAGGACGTCGTCGACGTGAGACACCCCGGCCCCCTTTGGATTACAATTATTCTTGGATAAGAAAGTCTTGCGGTTCGTTTGGCAATGGTAATGGCCAGCTAACTTTTCGACGCACGTCTAACAGATCTGGGACCTCTTCTTCTTCTTCTACCGATAAAACTGCCGAGGACCACAAGAATGAAGGTTTCCTCAAATCGCTGTGGCATAACTTGACCAACCCTGCTCATCAGCAAAAGGATGGATCGGAAGAGGCCAAGAAGGAGGATGGCGAAAAGAAGGACGATACCAAGAAGGAATAAAGCAGCCTTTCGCTCCGAACATCATCCTGTTTCGGCGTTGGTGGGTGGAGGAGAACGGACTGCAGGGGTAATCACCTATCAGCGGTCGGGCTCGCACAATAATCAGACGTCTAGACGTCTAGACACATCTCCGACACATCGATCGGTTTACCTCAAAAGGATTTGGGCGGCCTCTGTTTTGGGAGGGCGGCGGCGGCGGCGGCGGTGGCGGCATAAATCATGACGACGGGGAGAGAACTGTCACGGTACACTACCAAGATCCAAGACGGACAGGGCAGTGTTGTTGTAAGTTTTACCCAAACGAGATGCAAATGGCAATGTACATTATACAAACTACACTCTAGATACCGAGAACCATTTGGGTTCATTTCTTGTATACCTACCTACCTACCTACGGAATCTGTCCCCAAGATTGTTATATAGAAGGAACAAGCAGTCAGGTTTTCATTCACTTGGTTCACTGCCTGATTTGTCGTACTGTTCTCATCAGTCACCTCCCAATCAACCATACTTGTTCGTGGTATACATCAACCCTGGTTTAACTGTTAGCGTGGTTCTCGCACCACGTCCTTTTCTATGGGGGTTACCAGTACCAAGCTAACAATCAAACCAGGGGTGATGTGTAAATCTCCTCTCATTCGATATGCTATTCGCTCGTTGGACCTCACAACCTCTTTTCTCAGCCACAGTACCTATATCCAGCTATCTGCCCATGCCTTAACCAAGCAACTCATCTCCCCCGTCACTGACGAGACTCACACGAGCTCCTCATCCGCTTATGTTCTACCTTTTCCTCTTCTTCATCCACTTGATCACCGCATCTCGCCCTCTTCTTACTACCTGTAGAGTTAGTACTCTTGTCTGTATTCCCCCCCTCTGTCTGCACGTACTTCACCGGCATTTCACTCCCCTTCCTCCTCCCATGAAAACCACCACCCTTACTTCCATTACTTCCAGAACAACTTGCCCCCTTTACCTCATGCGATGACGACGACGACGGCGGCGGTGACAGCGGCGGCGGTACATCCCCCATCTCGGTATCCCCATCATACCCCATTTCAAATTCACGTGCAGCCTTCCAGTTATGACTCCCACTACCCGACGATACATCCATGTCCACCATCTCAACATCTCCATCTTCATCGTTGTGCCCTCTCCCAATTTGAAGCCGAGCATTTTCCATCCTTCCCTCCTTTACATCCCGTTTCTCCCGTTCCTCACGTACCCGTTGCTTCAAGCTCGGATAGGACCTAAGCCCCCATTTCCTGGGGACTTTCTCAGAGGGGGAGGAAGAATTTGAATGTGACGAATTGTTCATCGAAGAGAGAGCAGGTCGATATTGAGATCGTGGTGGGGATGGTGTTGTTGTTGTTGACGACGACGACGACGACGACATCTTATCTGCTGATCCGTGATGGAAGTAGTGGGGGGCAGCGTTCCTTTGTCTTGGCTTGTACCCGGGATGGAGATGGGACGAGTCGACTATGTGTAGGCCGTGGACAGCAAGGTCCATGTCGGAGTCGTAGGGACTTGTACTACTGTCTTGTTGTGTATGTCGACGGTTGTTGGGACCTCTGCTGATTGTGTTTGTCTTTGAGGAGGAAGAGGAGCCTGTAGGGATGGCTATAGTGGAATTTGGAGAGGTGTGTGGGGTGGATGCCCCTGGAGAAGTGTCGGAGTTGTTCATAGCTGCGTCGGGCGTTCGGCGTCCGTGGTATCGGTGATTACCTGGAGATCTGTCTGACGCGAGTGGTAGAGTTGTCCGAAGGAAATATCCAAAGGAACGAAGCGAGACGGTCGGGCGGGACAAAGCTCATAAGCTAGAGGTACCGGAGTGGTTGGACCGCGTTGTTTGCTGGGTATCTGTAGTGAAGAGAGAATGGCAGACTATCCGTCAGGTTTTTTTTTTTTTTTTTTTTGGCAGCGATTGGTTTCTCTGAGGACGGGGGGAAATGCCGCTCGGTTACTTTGGATGGGTGAATGTGTAAAGGTTGCTAGATCCAGTGAAGACGAAACTCGTCAAGGAAGCTCTCGCGTTTGGATGCTCGATAATCTTGTGCGAAGAAAGGGTTGATGGGTGTGGCAGAGGGGAAGCGGCCCGTCTCTGATATTTATATTGTTTCTTGTTCTGCATGTGCCATGAAAGCTGCATGCAGTGTAGTTCAGCCGGTTTTGTCTGTACAAACTGCAGGCCAGCGGAAATGTCAGGGAAGCCCGAGGAGTTAGGAGACACCAACTGCTGAATGAGGTTCTGCTTGGAATGTAAGGAGAATGGGGGTGGTAGATTTGATCACGTTCAAGTTTCCTTCCACACACTTGGGACGCGCTTCCTCGGTCGTACTCGCAGAGATGATATCTACCTGATCTTAGTAACCAAACAATCCTCTTCTCCCACTGTGCGCATGGTCTTGCCGTTCCCTACAATCCCTTATTTATTCTTTTCGGGAAGCCACGGAGTAGCAAACAAGTCACCATGGGACAGATGCGGACTCGAGGCGCCCTGTGCAAAATGCAATTCAGCTTTTCTGAGAGGAAGAGGCAACTTAAGAACCTGATAGCTGCCTCCTGGTATTTACTAACCAAACAGCCAGTCCAAAACCCATTCGAACCGATTCCTATCAAAACGTCAGTCTTGGAGTTCTAGTAAGCTTCGGGTTTGACTCACCTAGACGGGGTTGGCACATAATTTGCCTGATACTCCTCCACTTCGTCCAGATTCTTGTGCAAGTCAATCTCGTCGGCCTTGTGGAATTTCGTCTTCTTCACAATCTTCCACACCACAAAGAGCACAGGACAAACCCCAATCATGGTGTACCTGAGACTGTCAGCGATATCACCTACCAAAAGCAAGGTGGAACAAACTCACGAGAAGAAAAACGTAGGAAGGCTCCACTGCCCCGGCAAAAACACGGTATACCCTCCCACAAACGTCATGACAAAGCACCCGCACAGCCCATACCACCCCGCATAGGGCTGGAAAAGCCCCTTGTACGGCAACTTGTCCCTACTGACCCCCTGCGCCTTGAGCGCCGCGTACCATCTCAAATACGAAGTGCAAGTGACGCTATAGTTGATCAGCTGGCTGGCCGTCATCAAGCTGATGAACCACGAAAGGACCACGGCCGCGCTGTTGCTGACCTGCAGAAAAGCCAACAAGCCAAAGCACAGCACGATCATGACACAGTAAATGGGCACTCCGGATCGGGTGCACTTGAGCAGCGCCTTGGGGGCTTTACCCTCGAGCGCCAGACCATAGAGGGAGCGCGAGGCGCAGTAAACGTAGCTGTTGCCAGCGGAGAAGGCGGCGGTGAGGACCATGGCGTTGACAATGTCGGGGAGGACGCGGATGCGGAGCCGGTTCATGGCGACAACGTAGGGAGAGGCGGCGGCGCCGGGAGCACCGGAGGAAAAGGCGAGGGCCATCTCGGCGTCGTTGTAAGGGACGAGAATACCGACGGCGAGAGAGCCGAGGACGAAGAAGGCTGTGAGACGGTAGAAGACGGCGTTGAAGGCGCGGGGCATGACGACGCGGGGGTTTTCTGCTTCGCCGGCGGCCTGCGGGTGTCAGTTTGGGTTGATTATGTGGATAAAGGGATACACACCATGGCAACGTAATCCGGTCCGGCAATGGTAAAGCTTGCCTGAATCAAGCACTGAAGGAAGCCCAGCCAGCGACCAAGCGAGCCAGTGTAATACAAGTCGGTGAAAGCGCCGGGGTCCTTCCAGTATCTGAACCCAAATCGATCTCCCAGTGGATTACCGCCCACCATGACGATAAAGGTGAAAATGAGCAATCCCACAATGAGCAGAAACTTGCCCAGCGCAGCCCAGAACTCGGTTTCGCCATAGCACTCCACAGCCAGCAGGTTGACCAAGCCGTAGATGACCAGCGTGATGGCAATGATGCCGCCGACAGGTACGGCGTCGCTCCAGTAGTGAATGATCAGGTTACAAGCAGTGAGCTCAAAGGGCACCATGGCCGCTTCGAAGATGAAAAAGTTCCAGCCCGCAGCGAATCCAAAGGCCTCGTCCACGTAGCGGCCCGCAAAGCGGATGAAGGGCGAAGAGATGGGCAGATAGGTGACCATTTCGGCCATGCACATGGTGATGGCCAGGATAAAGGTACACCAGATGGTGAAGGCCAGAAACAAGCTGGCAGGCCCTCCGTTGAGGAGACCTTTGCCGATCTGGACGTAAAAGGCCGTACCGATGGTGCCTCCAATGCCTGTTTTTCGTGTCAGTTAGTCAGTGGATAGGACAGGAGGAACAGGATATACCGCACCGATCAGCTGGATATGGCGCGACTTGAGCTTCCGATGGGTATTGTCGCCGAGGGTGCCACTGGACAAGGAAGCGACCTCATCATGAGCGATATCGGTTCTAGAGCCAGCGACCTTTTCGGCGGCCGCTGCCGTCTTGACGAGGGTTGGGGGCCGTCCCTCGATGTCCACTCCGGTTGACAACATGCCGAGAGATGGGGGGTCTCTCAGTCAATTTGTCTGGTAGATGGAAAGATTTGCTTGAGAAGTAGAGAGAAGAACTCGACGACGAAGATCATTGGGATAAGATTCGTGAGAGTCGAAGCTGGATTGACAGAAGGATGGGCCAGTGTTTTTGCCTGCCCTGGCAGTTCTTATTCAGAGGGTTGTCTACAAGTGAAGGACTTGACGCTACAGATGTTCCGGGAGGAGAGATAGGGAAAGTATAAAAATGGTGTTGTAAGAATGAGGTTGGTGGCAGGTGATGGTTGCGTCCGTATTGTTGGTACTGTGTAGCCATGTGCTTCCTTAGCAAGGGTTCAGCCAAGTCATGCAGCAGGCTACATTCAGAGCCACAGTCCGTATCTCATCCAGTCACTAACGGCAATGAGAGGCGTGTAGTGTGTAACTCACAGTGTTTGTTCATAGCATTCTGAGAACTTGAAGGCTTCGACTGACAAAGAAAACAGTATCTGCTCTTGTCTGTAACTTCAGCAGTAGGCACTTTTTGTTAGCGGGTAACCCACCAGACAGCTTACATGTGGAAAAAAAAAACACTGTCTCGGCGTGCTTTGCGTCCTTGTGTCCTTGGCCATGCGGGCTATACGGCATCATGGAGCCATCCGCCGGGCCGGGGCATGACCGGACTGTCTTTGGACAGAGAGGCAGAGGTTGGTCGGTCAATATCGGAAGCCATGTCCGTGTAGACATCCGAGGTTGCTGTCTCGGTCTGATTCTAGAGTCAGCCTGGAAAGGTTGGGGAAATACCCGACGTGGGATGAAGATGCCGACTACAGTGGCCCAAGTGTGGGTTATCTTGGCTCCCACCGCCAGCTGGAGGTTTGTGACAGGAACATGTTTATCGCAACCAAGCTGGAAGCCGTCTTCCAACAACATCAACTCGGCTGTCACCACCATACGGGTCAACAGTAACAGCCGCGTCTTGTCCTGTCAACAAGGGAATCCTTCCACTACGCTACAGCTGCATTCGTCACGCTTCAACAGACGGGAAAAAGACAGGGGAACCTGCCTGCTTCACTGCCCTGCCATGTAAATATTAATGCCCTGCCCTGCCTGCCCCGCATCCTGCCAATCCAAGCAATCCATGGAAGCCCTGGCCAGTGACGCAGCCCGCCCTGATCTTCAAACCAGTCAGTCAGCCTAACAATCATCTTCACACAGACAACGAACCAAACAGCTCGACCGCACATTCGCTCGAGATTTCACCCACCCACTCACCCGACTGTTGTCATTCGTGCCCGACAACTGAACCGACAACACCACTTCACGCGACCTGCCTACTGTACCCATTCACCACCTTCTCTCTCCCTGCCGTGCTGTCTGTCCAACACCCAGACATTCATTGCCTCTCGCTAGCAAACAAAACATTCCAACGATAGTAACCACCCTCGCAACCTACTGCCATCATCTCTCCTCGTTACATCGCTCTGAACAGCGACATATACGGTACCATCGATATACACTACCGAGGGGGCATGCAAGCTTTTTGTTTACCCAACATCACAACGCCGTCAACATGGTAGTAAAGCTGGACTACGACCGCGACTACTATGCGGACCTCGAACTGTCCTCCACGGCCGATGTCGTCGAGGTGAAGAAGCAGTTCAAGAAGCTGGCCCTCAAATACCACCCCGATCGCAACCCAGGAAAAGAGGACGAGGCCAAGGATCGCTTCATCCACATCCAAGCCGCACATGAGGTCCTCACCGACGTGTCCATGAAGGCCAAGTACGATGCCTACCGGAAACGAGCATCAGCTTCTGTCAGCAGGTACGCGACTGCCTCTGGCCACCGCGGAAACCCCTACTCCAACGTCTCGGCCGAAATGGCAGACCGATATGGCGCCCCTCCCACCCGACGAACCCCTCATATGCCGTCTCGTCCCGACCCCGGTCCGTCGGCACACGCACGCTATTCGTCTTGGGCGACACCCTCGTCCTCCTCATCCTCCAGACCGGTTCCCCCCAAAACGGCCTCTGCTGCCGACAATCTGCGCGCTTGGGATGCCATGCGCTCAAGCGCCAAGACAGGCCAGACATCTTCGTCAACCCCCAAGTCGTCGGGTTATGCGTCAGCACGAACGGAACGGACCGAACGGACCGAAAGCGCCAGGAGGGAGCCGCCTCCCGTACCACCACGGACCGCGGGGCAGGCACGTCGTGCCGATGCTGCCTTTGGTACCACCAGACGGGCTGGCTATTCACCGGATTCCCCAGTCGGCGACGAGCCACCCGTGTCGAGGCACAACTACACTTCCAGCGCCCACTACACGGCCACCACCAACATGTTTGAGGATACCGCCGCTAACATCAGGAAATCACGGCCGCAATCGAGTCCCACCCCCGTGGACCCCTTGAGCGAAAAGTTCAGCGAAACCTACTTGGACAGCAGGCAACGGACCCCCTATGCCTCGCATATCGGCGAAAAGTTCAACCCGTTTGAAGGTGCCAACGTCAACCGCGCAAAGTCCATGAAAGACCCATCCCGGCCCACCCAGGAATCCGAGGAAGAGGCGCCCCCTCCGCGCTCGTCGCGACAACGCAGCGCTAGTGTCGGTGAGTCCAACAGCTTCGGGAAGGCGGCCAACGGCGGAACCACATGCTCTGGAACCTCGAAAGCTGAGCCGCGAGCCAGCGCGCGTTATTATGCCCAGGAAGCTGAACCCAGGTCAGCGCCCAATACAGAAGCCAACCCTACGCCACGTGCGTCCACCTCATCTATGAGGAGCAACTCGAACGGTATGTCAGCCAGATCTGGACCTCGAGAACCAGTAGTGGCTAACGGTCTTACACAGCTCAAGCCCCAACCTCGGAATCGGCGCAGCAGGATGGCCCCAAAGTGTACGCCCCATCTCCTTTCTTTAAACCCGATGAATACTTCCAACAAACCTCCTCTTTCGGTCAACCCAGCAAGATTCGACCGCCGCATGTGTTCAGTCGTGCCGGCGCGGGAAGTTACCGCGGAAGAGCTCATGAAGAGACGGCAAATAACCGGGCGTCTCATGGCAGGAACACTCCGAGTGGAGATCAGTCGACCTCCGGGGACAAGTCTTTGTTTGAAAAGGACATGCATGACCAGCTGCAGCTTCTCCTGGGAAGGCGTAAGATGCATTCACGGAGACAGCATATCAAGCCGATCGACGACCCCCTCTCGCCCAGAAAGACGAACGCACACAACAGGGTCCAGAAGCAGCGAGCGACTAACAGCGTATACCCCCATAGTTTCGCCGTCCCCGACGACGATGGATATACCCCGAAGCCGCAGGCGTCGGCCGATTTTACCCGCAGTGGCGTTCATAATATCAACGCCAGCTTTGTGGACCAGGAAAAGGTTGGTGCAGGATTTCAATTCAACGCCGGTGGACCGACCACCATTCCCGGAGCTGACGCCTTTTTGCGCGCAAAGCAGCGAGCACGCTCGGTCCCCCGCGGCCGCCAATCGCCCCTCAAAAAGACGTATACCTCTTCCAACGAGTCGGTTAGCGGCGCAACTCGTCCGCCGAGCGAGACAAACGATGCAGGTAAGAAAGCCAGTGCCTTTGACGCCGGTCAATGGCAAGCGGAATTCGGTCCGCATACCTTTGTTCCGCCCCCGCCAGCCAAGAAATCGTCGACTTCGCCTACACGAAATGTGCGACCCATCCGTAAGCCGAGGCCGGTCAAGATGACTGCGGGCACTGCTGGCTTGGTGGATGAAGAGGAGACAAGCAGCAGCGAGGGAAAGAGCAGGTCGAACTCGGCAGCTGGTGTCGATGAAAGTGGCATCAATGGCGGAGCGCCTAGCCCTATGGCTATGGATATCGATGAGCCTCCCCCGCCACCTACGCCGGCACACGCTGTTCCTCCCGCCGCGCCGCCTCCGACTCCCGCTCATGGCATTCCCACCATTATCAACCTAAACGGGGGTAGCGCGCGCAATGTCAACTTGGAGCCGTCCAAGCCAGAATGGCGCGCCGGTAACCTCAACAACAACAACAACGGCGTCAAGACTTCCAATGGCGGTACTAGCTCTCGCCGTAGCAGCAGCGCTGCCAATGCTACTCACCGACCAATCCCAGTTCCCAACGCCGGCTCAGAGGACAGTGACCTTCGCCCCATCTTTGGCAACTTTGACGTCGACAAACTGGTTAGCCCCAGCGGCACAGGCCTAAGTTCGTTCTCGGCGGACCTCAAAACCAACCTCCCTTTTGAATCAAGGGCGTCAACTACACTCCCGCCGTTTGAGCGCGAAAAGATCAAGCCCAAGAACATCAACTTCCCCACGCCACCCAAGGCGCCCAGCCCACCAGCTGCTCTGGCAACCCCTAGTCAGGTGACGCCCTCGCAGTGGGCGCTGTACGCCGAACAGTTCAAGTTGTACATTCACCAGTTCAACACCTTCAACGGGCGCGTTGTCGACCACTTTGCCGCCCGCAAGATCAAGAACGAGCAAAAGGGCCCCGCGTGGGTCACGCAGCTGGGCGACAAGGAAATGTTGGAGTATTTGGCGTGGATGGAGGAGGATAAGACGGTGATGCAGAAGTGGGCCCAAGCTAGGGAGGCGCACGAGCTCAATGTGATGGAATTTGCAAGGTGGAAGGAGAGGGTCAGGAGCGGCGGTGGGGCTGCTGCTTCTGTGGCGGCGGGAGATGGAACCGGAGGTGGGACGTGACTGTATGGCGGTGCCCGATACAACCGCTTCAAGACGAAAACTGGTTTGGGTACGAGTGGCCGAATGACGAGTGAGGAGTGGGCAAAGGATTTTTGGAGTCAAGGGGTGAAAAAAGGGAGTTGGAGGGAGTGGAAGATGCGATTCGAGAATGAGGGCGAGATATTTTGGGTGCGGCATGGGGAGGTGATTAAGAAAGTCACAAGCCAGACCATCATGACCGCGATGGTTTACGAGGCTCTTCTCAGACTTGGATTGTTCAGTCAGATTGGCGAGACGGTCTTGAATCTGATTATGGGAGCGGTCGTTGTGTTGATTTCGGGGTCTGCGGCGTGGTTTTTGTCCAAGTTTGCTGTGGACGACGAAGACGAAAACGGAACCGAACTCTTGGGTGAGCACGACCATAACCATGGACAACAACGGCAGTACGAATACCAAAATGATGAATCACGTCAAGGGATGAGTGATATCGAAGAAGAAGAAGAAGATGCCGACGACGAAGACCAAACCGAGCCCGAACCGCCATCTTCGTCAGCTTTATCCGAGTCATCATCATCAATCGAAGAAGACTACGAAGGCTCCGACTACGTTTTCGAATACGAATCCGATTATTCCGACTATCAACCCCGTCGACAACGATCGCGTAGCCGAAGCCATCAGGAAGTGGATATTGAAGTGGAATACCTATCCAGCTTCTCACTCGACGAAGCCGAAGGATATTCGTACGGAGGTGGTGAAGATGGTGGTCCTGGTGGACCGAGATACGGACAGGAAGGAGGCGAGGGGTATATTTCGAGTTGGTCGGAGAGAGGAGAGTCGGATTAGATGTTCGGCTTCTGTTTCCGGCTGTTGCTGGTATCATCTCAAAAATAAGGGTGGAGAAGTAAAAGAAGGGAGAAGGGAGAAGGGAGAGCCTGGACTGGTTGGACCTGGGAGACAGGCATCAAAAGAAGAAAGCATTTGTGTATTTTGTTTCTTGATACCCGGATTGGAGGTTACGTTACATTACGTCACGTTATGAATAGCTAAGTACCTGTAGTGTAGGTATGCACTACAGTAGGTAGCTAGTTGGGAGGGGGTTTTGTACAACTCTACTTATCACATTACTTTCATTCTCTCTCTCTGTCTCTCTGTGTGTGTTATCGGTAATGGATGAATGGATGAATGGACAAAATATGATGACTATAGACGACATGAGACGAGATTATGAATAAGACGTGAATTGATCCTCTACGCTTGTGTACCTATACAGATGAGCCCAAGTGCCTTGACCAATATGAAGAGAGCTAGATGGAATTGATAAGAGGTGATGGTCCGTCGTTGGTAACAAGCAAATCAAAACAACAACCCATGGAATCAATCACACATTCCACCCTCGGGGCTACCTCCATTGAGTAGGTGATTATCTGGGATGTCCACAAGCATGGAACCACCTAGGGAAGTTGACGCAAGGTCTAGCGCTAAAACATAAATCAGTATTGGACTGTGTAGACAGCTCACCAATCCATGCATCCATACAATTCCACCGCCTTATCTTATTCCCCCTAACATCCCATTTTCTTCTTCATTGCCTGCCTATTATTCCCTTGGTATACATTTAATTCCCTTCTTATTCTCCAGATATCCCCTGTCTTTCCTTCTTCTTCCAAGTCTTCCCCCTCCCGTTCAAAAACCCCATCCAAAACTCCACTCACTCACTAGTCATCACACCTAACAGCACCCATCAACATCCCCCTCCCCTGCTTCGCCTTGATCCTCCCCTAGCACCGCAACACCAACACCCTCGTGTCCTTCACCCTCAATCTTCTTGCCTCCTTCGTACGTGATTCTCCTCCATCCCGTCAGCGGCTCCGAAGGGTCCTTGATCAGCTCCGTGGTGGGGAAGTAGTGCTCGTTCTTCTTCATGGTGACAACCCAGGGGACCGAGTCGAAGGTCATGCATTTGAGGCGGAAGTCTATCCATCATTTTCGGTGGTTAGTCAGAAGTTGCAGTGAAAAGCAAGGTTGGGGTTGGGGTTAATCGAGCGAAGCGAGCGACAAAAAAGGGGGGGGGGGGGTTGGGGGTCTCCCCCAAAACAAGACAAAAACGGTGGAAATAAAACAAGAGAAAAAACTTACAAGTATTGTCAGGGATCCCCACCACCGCGTCCAAGAAGCTCTTAAGATCAGGCGTGCGCTTGCCATTAACATGCGTAACGAAATTCGTCGGCGCAAGTCCATACTGATACGCCGGGCTTCCACGAGTCCGGGCGCTCACATAAACCTCGCTAAACAGCTTGCTGATCTGTTGCCTGACAGCGAGATGCGGCCTGTGCAAGATGGCGCCGCAGAAGGAGATGGCGTGGTCGGTCTCGGCGTCGTCGGCGGCAACGGTGGGCAGCTTGATGTGCAGCTCCTTGGTGTTGCGGACGATGACGGCGTCGAGGTAGTCGTGCGAGTACATGACGTCGAGCTCCGAGATCTTGGTGATGAGCTGGTTGTTGAGGGTGAGGAGGATGTCGCCTTCCTTGAGGTGGTCGCCTGCGGGCTCGTTGCGCTCGTAGGTGCGCTTGGTTACCAGGAAGAGCTGGTGGTGGGCCGTGTTGACGAGGGAGACCTTCTGGATCCACTCTTCGGACACACCCATGATACGGGCCTGGGACATTTGGATGGCGCGGAACTCGCAGCTCAACAGGCGCAGCTTGGGGGTGATTCCCTGCTGGAGTTGCGAGATGACGGGCAGGAGGGTGGGCGTGGCCAGGCCGAGGTGGTATTCCTCGTCGCGGTGGCTGCTGGGATTGCGCTCGCCAAGGTAGGTGAGCCAGAGGGCCTGGACGGTGCCGTCTTGGGCGACAAGCACGCCGCTGCCGCACTGGCCCGAGAGGTTGGTGTCGACAGTGATGGCGTCAACATTGACAGCGCGGTATCGAGGCGCTCCGGAGTTAGCGGGAATGGTGACGGCAAACATCTCCGTGACAGTGGTGGCAGTATGGACAATGCGGCCAATGCGGTTGTATCCAATAAAGTAGGTGGACGCGCCCTGGCTGATCATCTCGCTGGACAGCTTGGCGGAACGAACGGGGGCGTCGACAAGTTTGGGGTCGTACTGGATGACGGCGTAGTTCTGGAGCGGGTGCAGGAAGACCACCTTACCCTCGACGACGATGGAGTCGGCAATGGTGATGGTTATGTCGCACAGGTCGTAGGGAACAATAGCCCGGGAAATAATCACCAGGCCCTTGTCCGCGTCAATCACCAACCCCATGCCCCATTTCCTGTTCTTGGGGAAACCGTCTAGTTTGACGGGCATGGTGACGCTGACGTGGACGAAACTCTTGACGAGATCGGCGACGGCCGGATGAGACGTGTTTTCCAGTTGGATGAAGGAGGCTTTCCTGGGAACAGGAGCGACGGCAGGAAGGGCGTCACTGAGGTTGGAAAAGTCCCAGAGACCCGTCTCGTCGTTTCTCACAGCCAGCTTCATCTTCTTGGCCCAGTGCCGGTCGACGTAGATAACGGTGGTGTGTAGGGTGTGCATGTCCCTGAGGTGCTTGTACGTGATAACGACTCGAGCCTTGTCGGGAATGCCCTTCATCACCTCGATGAAAGTATCCAGGTCGGGCGTCTCCTTCTGATCGATGGATTGGATGATCCAGCCGTTCTCGTTGTTGTCGAACCGGAAAGATCCACCAGCCTCACAGACGTAGACGCCCTTGCAGGCAACACCGTAAAGGCGGGCCTGCTGATAAGAAAGGTTGTGGAAGCTACCGCCAGACACAGACACGAAGCGATCAGGGGTGATCTGGTGCAGATCGCCAACCTCAATCTCCACCTCGACCTCCTCGCCGCCACGGAGAAGCATAAGCTTGACCGTCTGGCCGACGCTGGAGTCGAGGGTTTCCTCGAGAGGAATGAACTGGGTAAGGAGCTTGCCATTGACCTTGATCAAGACATCACCCTCCTCAAGCTTCTTGTGAGAAGGGCCCTCGGGGAGGATGATCTCGGCGACCAGCATGTTGGTCTCCTTGGGGAAAGCCTTGCGGACCTGAGCCTCCCATTCGGGGCTAAGGCCCAGTCTCCGACACTCGTCAAAGGGCTTCAGCACAAACTGACACTGGATATCGCCACGGGTGATGGGCTTGCCCTCCTGGAGACACTTGAGCGCCCGAAGCGGCCTGTCGAGAGGAAGGAAGTAGTCGGTCGAGGCGCCATCGGCTCTGCCACCAGCCTGCAGGGCCACGGCAAAACCGTCCTTGTTGACGACGGGAGAACCGGAGGAACCACCGCTGGCGGCGGCGCTGGCCTGGTAGTAGCATGTGTTGAAATCACTATAACCGTCTCCGTACTCGGGAGCGTTACGATCCAACCTGCTGATCACACCAGACAAGATACTAAGCTTTTCTCCGGCATCGTTACCCACCACGCGAATTTCTATGCCGACACTGGCGAGGTCTGGTCGCAGTGGCAGGGCAGCGACGGGCATGTACTTGATGGCCTTGGGATCGAACTTGAGGATGCCGAAGTCGTGGACGGGATCGCGGTAGACGGGGTAGGCATCGACCTCTTCGTGGTTGTCGAAGATGCAGTATCCCCAGAAGGGGCCGGAGCCAACGACGTGACGGTTGGTCAGGATGTAACTTGTGAAAAGAATTGGTCAGCGCAAGACAACAAAGGAAGGGATATGTATAGCTAACCCCCTCTCGGCATCCACCACGAAACCGGTGGCCTCGCTTGTAAGGGCCGGGTCGGTATCGAAGGAGCAGGTCTGGCAGAATCGGATTGAGACAACGTTCCGGACGACATTCTCAATGGTGGCTTGCCACTCGGCCGTATCGGCGCCGGGGGCGAGAGGCAAGACGTGGCGGGGTTCCTCCTCGTAGTGACCGTCAAAGTCTTGGGTCGGAGTGTTTGCATCGGCAGAAGACATGTCGCCGTTGGTTCGGTGGTGCTTCGCCAGGCGGCCATCTGAAGAGTATTGGGGGGGCTCCTTGCGCTTGGAGCGAGCGACGGGGCTTGTGCCGTTCATATTTACGGAATAGGAAGATGCGTCACCGTAGCTGGAGCTGGAGCTGTTGCTCTTTCCGGTCGTCTGACTAAAGGCGCGTGTTGCGGTAGAGGTAATATGGCTGGCCGTTGAGGTGTCTTTTCTCGTTCGCGTGATCGAGGCGTGGAAGGGCAGTAGTGGGTGGACACTGCAGCTAAGGACCGGCAGAGAGTGGCGCGAAGTGAATGTTTGCTGCTGTTGGGAAGACGTGGATTGGAGACGCAATTGGTGGAAGCGCGACAAGGCGGAAGACGAAGATGGTGTTGTTTGTAGTGGTAGTGCTGTCGAAGCAGTTGTCGTCAAAGATGGTGAAGTCGGGATGCGCAGAAGGCGTGGTGGTGGCACTCTGTGACGGGCAAACAGCACAGGCCGCATTCAAAAGGTGGTAGACAACTGATCTTCTTGTGATCGAAGGCCAGTCTTGTTGTAGTGTACGGCGAAAGAGCGGCTTCCTCTTGTCGTCTTCTATCGCGTGTTGTTGTTGGTGGTGGTGAATCACCTGTCGCTGAACTAAAAAGAGGAAAAAGTGAAGCTTGGAATTCTAAGAACGAAGTCTTGAAGCCAAGACTTTACATGACCCGCGCTTGGCTGAGCTAATCAGGTACGTAACCGCGCCCCTGCCTGTAGTGTTCGCTACAGGTACACAGTACATAGTGTACCTAGCCGAGACCCCTACTTTTGGCATAAGCGTTTATCATAACTCTACTGATCACACACAGCCTAATACTTTAGGACAACGTTGCAACCCCGGCGCCATCAGTCCACTTGACCGAACAGGCATGTTTTGACGACATCATCACCATCCCCAGATTCACAATCTTCGCTTATCTCAACATCTCATAGAGTCCCTCCCGTCTCGCCTGCTTCCGCTCCGATGCCAGCATAAAATCAGCCCCGATGCATCCAGCCGTTTTTATCAAGGACATCTTGCGGCCACTGTTACACAATCTCTTTGGATTCCACAAGTTCACCCACCAACTTGCAAACTGCAGGGGCCCGGGTTCCGAATGGTCATGCAGAGGAGAAATGATATGGCTGACCAATTTCTTTGTTTACATTATCTACTCATCGCCTGAAACATGTATGGCTTGACATCCTCCTTTTAGCTTGGTGAGACGTTCCGGTTTCTTCTCCCTCTTTCACTTTCCTCTTTTCTGTTATTAAGCGGTCCCTGCTCTATCTCAATACGCAGCGGATCTAGTTCTGCATCCATGACCTCGCACCTCTGCCATGTTCTAGTTGCGGTTGAGGTTACTGATGGGAACTGGAGCGGGTATACCTGTCAAGTGACTCGCACAAGCGATCCAACACCCACTCCGCTTCAGTGATGTCCGCCAGCAGCGGAGAATCTTCACTCAGCCAGTCCCATGTCATCCGACTGTCATCTTCTCTCTGGGTAAACTGAATCAGCTGGGTAAAGAGCTGCCATTCTTCGTACGAGTACCGCTTTTGAGGGGAGAAGCGGAGGTCATGCGCTATCGACTTGATAGTTTGGGAGAGCAGCGAGGGAAGGTCCTCTTCCTGTTCGTCAGCACCCTCAGCTGGCCCGACTAGGTTTCTTGGCTGTTCAGTGCCCGCGCCATCGTCACATGAGGGCTCTTCCGCGTCCTGTCTTTTACCGACAAATTTTTGCAGCCAAGGATGTTTCTGGATGTACTTGTCTAGCACTCCACGCTTCGACGTCGGCATGATGGTCCAGTCAGCTACCTTGAATGCACCACGGTTGACGGCTCTGACGACGGTGGACGACATCTCTTGGAAGAGAACGGTGACGATTGGTACGGCAATCAGAGACCAGACGATAAAAAACGGCTTGCCGATGTTGGACTTGGGAGTAATGTCGCCATATCTGTCGCAGCGGTCAGTCGGTGTCATTTAGGGGGATGCAAAAAAAGAACCAACCCAGTGGTGACTAGCCACACCCAGCAAAAGTACAGCGAGTCAAAGTAGGAAAGACTTGATATCCGCGCTTCGGTGAGCATGAAGACGACGGCACCGAACCCCCAAAGAATGGAGAAGGCTAGAAAGGCCATGGCGAGGGCCCAGTACCTGCCGCCCTGTTAGTGATCAAGACGATTAATGGGAGGTGACAGGAGAGAGGCCATCTCACTGCTTCCATCGCTTGGTCTCGTCTTGGATTTGCCTCATGGTTTCGAACCGATCCCTGTCTTCCTTCAAAAGCAATAGTTTCTGTCTTCTTTCCTTTCTCTTGTCCTGTGGGGAAAATTTCTCGCCGCTGCCATTTCTCGTAATCTCCTCAGTCCCCTTCCCCTTATCATTATTAGAGTCAAATTTCAGCATCTTTTGCCTTGCCTCCTCCTCTTTGGTTCTATTCTCATTCTCTCCCCCTTTTGCGTCAGCAGCCCTCTCGACTAGATGGCCCTCGCTTGCACCACCGACCCCAGCCCGAGAATGCCGCCGAAAAGTGACCAACCTGCCCGCAACCACCAACCGACCATACTGCGCCAACGATGACCTCCTCGCACTGAACGCCCTCCTCCCTTCACTTTGCCTCCTTGCGTTGCTCACCTTTCTTTTGGGCGGCAAACCCAACTTCTCTCTCAGCTCCTTCTCATTCGTCACTGACATGCCCACCGTCGACCGTCTCGAGTGTTCCTGATGTCGCTTGATGATCTTGTCGGCCGAGACGTTGGCGGCGAATCGGCTGATGCTGGAGATGACCAGACCGAGAAACAGAAGACCGAGAGTCTGGAAAGGTACGAGAAATGCCCTGCCGGCTGTCGTAGCGGGGGCAAAGTCGCCAAAGCCTATGGTCAGGATTGTCTTTTTATGGTCAGCCTCTGACAGAGGTACATGGGGGAAGAACGTTACAGATGACTTACAACATCACAATAATACAGTCCATCACAAAAGCCATCCGGCCAGTCTTCCAACCACGCAAACACCGCCCCTCCGCCCGCCAACCAAACGAAGAAGAGCATGGTCTGCAAGATCAGTGTCCTTTGGTCATCGTCGAGGTCGAACTGCTGCGGGTAATACCCCCTCAAATAACCAAGTATGTTAATGGCTAGAAGCATCGCTCCCAAAGCATAGAAGAAGGCTGAGAAGATGGCATGATAATACCCCTGGGAGTATATCTCGGGCCAAACCGGCGGCGAATGAATATGCATCGCCAGGAGGATCGCAACCAACTGCTTCCGTTAGCCACCTCGCTACCTCAACTCAGGGAAACGGACAGCTCACAATACCCGAACTAAACATCCACGCCCCCACTGCCGCCGGTATAGAAACCACGTACCTCACCCTCCCTGTAAAGTTCAGCAACAAGAAGAAATTTCCCGCAAATCCACATATCAGCGAAACGATGTTGGCGTTGATCTCCCACTTTGGGTCCGGGATGCCGATCCCATTGTCATCCTTTCCCTCGGGTAAACTGCCGGAGTTGGGAAGGGTCACTTTCCAGGTGGTCACTAGGGAGGCAATGGACAACACGTGGGAGAGCGGACCGATGGTGGCAACGAGGAGAGGGATGGCGGTGGAAGCAGGCCACCATTTTCTGTGAGGCGGCAGAAGGGGTCAGTTGGGTTGATGTGGATGGGGAATAGGGTAGGAGTGGGAAAAGGGAGAGTGGATCACTGAGGCAGATTGTCATTTCGACCGCGCAATTTGATGTGCCCGTTGAAGAGGGTGCGCATTTCATTGTTTGGCGGTGGCTCTTTGGAGGAAGAGGTCGGGTCGGGCCGTGGCCTTGATCGGACGGGGTCGGAGAAGGTGAAGATTGATGTTGGGCGGTCGGAGTTTAGACGGCCTCCTCTTCCAGCACCAGGCGGGGATGACTGTTGCCTCATCTTTGATTCGGTCGTAGTTGTGCAACCTCTAGGGACTAATGTGAGGAGGGGATGTAGCGAAGACACTCAAAGTAGACTGGGCTTTCATTGTTGGGAGAAGAAGACTAGGGAGCCAGAGAGGGAAATGGAACGAGATATACCTCCAGCTTCTACTTCATCCCGGGGGAATGCCCGATAGTAGGTGAGCACTGACTAGGATGATGATGGCGGCGACTTGCCAGGATTATCACCAACAATAGCGAAAAAAAAAAAAGAAGCTGTGTCGCCACCCGGGACTTTCTGGTTTGGTGTTTGTGGGACTTTGCCCTCTTGCCATACCGACGTTACTGGCAAGTACCGTGTCTCTGATAGTTCCTTCCTCACTACTTTCCACCCATCTACCTAACCTCGGCTTAAAGGTCCGCATACTTCCGTTGCGAACCGAGTCGACCAGTAGAGGTACCTTGGTTTTGTCTTTCTCTTTCCAGTTCCCTCCCCCGTCAAACGAAAAATCCCAGGTGCAAACTGTGAATATCTCCCACTGCCTCTTGTCAAAATCTAGATTGGTAATGCTGAAGAATGAGAGAATGATCAAGCAACTACAATTCGATGCAATATGGAGAGAATACCTACCTATGTCAGCAACATGCCCGCGCAGGCACGGATTGCCAAGTATCAACACCACATCGCTGCACATGAAGGCGGCCGAAACCAGCTTCAAACTACCACTTGCATCTGCCAGCTAATTAGACAAGAAAGCAGGAAGATCAAACTCGATTCATATCCTGCTTTGAGCCCCAATATCTTGTCTTTCCCTGTTTCTCAACCTTTCATCCAACGCTCATAATTACATGCCACACTCAAATGACAACCAAATGTCTTCACCAGCCGGAGATGCGGGATTCTACTATGACCCCTCGGGCAAGATCCGACCACGTCGTTACTTTGACCACGAGGGCCGTCCCTTGCCCGGAAACACCATAGACACATCATATGCTCCCATCCCAGGCTCGTCACCACTGAATTCTACCATTCCTATCAGCACCAAGCCGAAACAAGAGCACGACCCAAATTTCGGAAGGAAAAATGAACACCTCCCTCTGCGTTTGAGCTTCCTTCGGGAAAAGGCAAAAAGGGCATGTACCCACGCCATCAAGCTGGCCAAATTAGTAGCGCACCTACAAAAGACAATCGATATGCGTTCGGGGAGTCATTCAACTACCAAAACAGAGTCGTCTACGAAGGACCATCAACGTTGTGGGGATTCTACAACACCTCCTCTAGACCCGCGATGCCGAGCCCGGAGTTTGAGAGTGACCTCGCAACCGATATGGAAGTCATTACCTCCTCCAGATCTTCCAGAGTTTCCAACAGTGTCTGCGTAATTCACAGCCTACCACCAACGTGACTTTTGGCAGACTATAGGACGCGAGGTTCTTGGACGACTGGACCGGCCTTTCTTGAACGGACAGTGACTGCAAAACATTTGCTGGACAGGCACTCCTTAGTTTCCATGCCTATAGGATCAGAGCCGTGACATCGCAAAAGGTCGTTTGCAACGCAGCCCATTCCATACTCAGACCCCAAGGATTGCCGTGTGGGTGACCGTGGGCGACAGATGTAGAGACCATGGAGGAAAAGGGTCTTGTTTTCCATCCGCTTTTGTGAAAAGAGGCGAAACTCCACCAGGACACGAATTGCGCCCGTTCTACAGTTTGCCGCTGCGGTGGCCAGGGTGACTTACGACGTGCGAACACAGGGGCAGCATTGTAGGGGAGTAGGTAGGGAGCTCGGAAGAATGGGTACCGGGGGCGGACTGGACTTGCAGACTCTACTTTGACCAAGACCACCAGCATCCAATTCCAGGAGTACACGTACAAGAAAACTCAACCTCAACTTTAGCGGCGACGGCAACAGCGACGACGGCAACAGCGTAAAGAAAGGGAATGAAACAGATAAACGAACTGCTAGAGGCACAGGGGGCACACATCTCTATATAGCATGGTAGCTGTACACATACTGTAGCGACATGCGTCTCCCAATCATGATGCTTTTGAATACCTGAAGGAGCACAAGGAAAGGACTTTTGAAATTGGAACTTGGACACTTCGAGATGGGAAATGGAAGGACACGGGAATCGGTTTGGTCAAGCTGGAGGGGTGAAGTTGGGTGCCCCTGGGACTGTTAGTCTGAAAGCGTCGTCACCACAAAGCGAATTGCCTACTCCCAGGTACCAATCCCATATTACAATTTGTTCTTACGGCCGCTCGTGGGTATCTTGTACACTAAAGCATGTTCAAAACGTGGATAGAACAAAGTAGTAAGTTTTTCGTAATCTCTTGTCATAAATCATGACCTTCTCCTCTAACCGTTTACTCCAGCTTGCTCGTTACTAAATGCTGCCATCATCCGTCCCTCTATAGTCATACAAATGCTAAACTTAATCTTTCATCCACGCATCATACATCATCATAGACGTCTTCTTCCATCTGATTCCTCATGACGCCTCACTGCGTCTTTACCTTCTCCTTCTCCTTCTTGGTATCATCCACTTTAGCCTCCGCCTCAATCTCCCTATTCTTCTTCTCCACCGCCGTCTCAACCTGCCAAATCGCTCGCTCCAGCTCCACTTCCAGCTCGGGCACCTCCAGCAGCTGGACCATCTTCTTTGCATTCTCCTGAGACAAAAGCAAGACTTCACCATCTTCCACCTCCCTTTGTTCCAGGACATGACCCATGTTCACCCCATCCGTCTTTTCCGTGGTGGTGTTTCCACCATTGACCGCCTGGACTACCTTGGCCGGATCCGGGTGCTTGATCGTTTCCGCTTCGGGCCCCGTGGTCGGCTCAGAAGTAAAAGGGAGCGGGAAGCGCTGGGTGGAGTAGATCTCGTCGAGGATGGGCGAGGGGTGGTAGGATAACAGGCGGGAGGCGTGTTGGAGGAGGAAAGAAATGTGTTTGCCGCCGGAAAGGGCGCGGTGGTGAGACCAGGCGCGGTAGACGAGGTAGAAAAAGGGGAGGTTGGGGACTCTGTTGTTGAAAAACCTGTTAGTACTTCTGATGAATAGAAAAAAGAGGGAAAGGAAAGAAACAGGAAAAAACGTACAAAGGTAGGATACCAATGGGAATAGTAACCGGCATCCCCGCCAAACACCACCAGAACCACTTCTTGTGATGGCCCTCCCTCTCCGTCGCCAGCTTGTGCAATATCCTCGGCACTTGTTCCGCCTTGATCAGTCCACCGGGATACACCACCTCTACTTTGTCCACATCCACTTTCCCCCTCTTGTTGCCTCCCTTCTCCCCTGATTCCATCGCGAAATCTCCCTCCGCCTGCGCCTGTTGCTGTAACAAGGCCTCGAGTTGTCGTTGCCGCGACTTTGTCAAGGGTGGCATGCTCTTCAAGGCCCATTCTTCGTATGGCAGCTTCCTAAGCAATTGGTTTCCGTAGCTGGCGACGGCCTCTTGCCAGCCGGATTCCTTCTTTTCCCAGGAGGCCCAGGTGAGAGCTGCTTTGGTTTGGATGTAGTCGCCCCATGACTGCTTTTGTTTTGGTGTGGACGTGGAAGCGGACGATGGAGGCTGTAGCTTTTGGCAGTAGAGGAGGGTGCGCCGGGTGGAGATTGGGAGGAGGTAGAGGCGCATTTTGAAGAGAAGGGTGGTTGCGCGTGATGGCGCGCGAGGTGGTGGGAAAGAATTGGTGGTTCGAGTAGGTACTATCTATGCTAGTTGGCGCCAAGCTGGTGATGGTTTGTTTCGGTTTCGAATTAAGCACAAAGACGGCGGGATTTTGTAGTCTGCGATTGTGTATGACTCCCGTCTGTCGCCACCGCGTCCCAAGCGTCGCAATCGTGAGGCCTCTCTGTCCGGGCGCAGCAGCTTCCAAAGGCAAATTGGAAGCAGAACTGGCTGTGAAGTGGGATCCAATGGCTGGGATGTTCGATGGGTATAAAGTGACTGCCTGGTCCCAACAAAACCTTTGAGGGGCGCTAATGGTGAAACTCCTACAGTAAACTAACGGAGGGATTGGATGTTGAGGCTCGTGAGAAGTAAGTTACTCTTCAGTTAGGATTGAATATGTTCCTGGATTGGGTTACATTTTTTTGGTGAGTGGATGGTTCAGTTTGTGAAGCTAGCGCGGGAAAGAAACAGTGACGCAATGGGAGGCCCGGCAGGCAGACGGGAGGTAGGTATTGCAGACTGTCGTCGGGATGGGCCTAGAACCCACCGGCCCGACAGCGAGAGGACGGGCCGTCCGAGTGTCACGGCCGGAATGGGATTCAGCCCAACGACCACCGTTTTCCTAGAAGTACTATAATTGAATTTTGTACCGGAGTTACGCGATTTAATCTGATAAGCTTCCTGACAAAGTCTGTTTGACCGACACTCCTGTCATGTGTATCACAATGTCCCTGTTTTAGAGGGATCCCAGTTGTTCTGGAGATTGTATCTCGTCATCTCCCGAAAAACCGTCCTTAGCTAAAGCCTCACAGAAAAAAAGATAGGTCAGCCAAGCTAAGGTCACTCTGATATGTATCTCGGGTATCGTTTGATACATGAAGGGATTCCCAGATGCCCTACTGCTGCACGACACGTCCCCTCTGCACGCAGGCACGTGTCAAGACACTGATCTGGTCGATAACCGGGAAATGGGAATCGGGAAACCAACGGGCCCCTCCACGCACCACCCCGGTTTTTCTGTCCCCTGAACCAGACGCAGTGTCGTCATTGCTGTTCCTGAGCGGTTCGCTAGTGGGGGCGGCAGGGAATAGCCGGGGGCTGCAGGCTTAGAAGGCTCTGCACTACTAACACGCGCACTAACAGAGATGCCCACAAAACCAAGGCAGTCCAGGCCGGCCGGCGTTTCCTTGTTACCTACCTCTAGGGGCCTGGGGGCGTCAAAGCGCAGCAGCCCCTGGGCTCAAGTTCAGTTGTCCACCATCGGCTCCCTTTCTGGGCGTCACCTCACACCCCGTCATCCGACCTTCAGCAGCCGCCGGAGGGGACCAGGGGCAGGCCAGAAGGCAGGGCAGGGACAAGGGCAGCCCCTGGGGAGCCAGGCAGGGAGATTGGATCACGGCAACTAACAGAAGCAGGAAAACCGGGCTGTAGGTTGTAAAGAGACGTCCTTTCCCCAGCCATTTCCACCTTTTGAAAGACGAAATTTCCCCTTCTTCATCTTTATCGATCTGTGCTCAGGTCCCCGTCGGAGTGTGCCCTTTTCCATCTCGTTGGGACCGACCGATAAGGACGGGACCTCTTGCGGCCATTGACGGAAACAAAAGGTTGACGCCCTGCGACAACACACCCCCTAGTCGACTAACCCCCCGACGAGACCTGGAATCGCCAACAGGAACGAAGAACGGATCGGGACTTGTGCAAAGTGGAAGTGGAATGCCAGGAGATTGAAGCATCTTGACCTATCACTAACATCAATTGCTAAACCACACCGCTATGCACCGCCACTGGCACTACCACTTCCATCCCACGCCAACTCTTCGTCCTCCAGTTCCTCCTCGCCTTTTGGGGTTTCAATCCGTTGCCCTCCGATAGCTGAGTGATAGAAAGACGGATCATCCTGTCGCCAATTCCCGTCTCTGATGCGCGGCTGCTGCTGCCGCTGAGGTGCCCGGCCACTCCGATAACCTGAGGGGTGCAGTAACCTGACCCACCCCACCTACAATAATACCTCTGCGGCCGATCCGGAGTGACTTCGACTGCACATCCCGAGCTACCTCTACCCATCATCACGTCAACACTACTACTTACTACTACAACTTATCCATTACGACTGGAACATCCGAGACTCTAGTTCCCAGCCGCCCGCCATCAGCCACCTCCAACGGGCTCGGCAAACAACAAACAAAAAAAGTAGTGTTGAGTGCCAGCATGACGGCCGCGAATCCGTCTCCTCCACGCTCGAACCAGTCCACTCCTTCTTCCGATAACACCGATGGTGACACATTGCTTCCTCCTTTGCGTCCCAAGACAAGGACGTTGCCTCGTATGGACCCCCCACCCGACATCAACTTCCCAGCATCATCGTTCTCGCAATAATATGTGGTTCTGTTGTTCCGAATTCTAACTCGTGTCATGTAGCATGGATCGACTCGTATGAAGAGAGATATGGACAACCGTCCACCGGCCAGGGGGGAATCTTGAACCGACCACCCCCACGCACAGTCCAGCCACAACACAACGGCACGCCAACCGAACCACGAAGGGTATCAAAAGATGGATTTGTGTACGAACCAGATGGGCTGGAGCGGAGGAACGATTCCAAGATGAAACTGCGGCGGATTCTGAGACGCGGGGACGGCATGGAGCGCGGCCGGAAATGGGACCACCTCCGAACGGACGAACCCGTCATTCTCCACCGGAATGCGCACTACACGTCCAACTCGCCCTGGTCCGAATTCATCCACTCGTCGCAGTGGGGCCACATGCCGAATGAGCAGTCGGAAGTGGTCGACTACCAAACACTCGAGAAGCTGCAACCAAACTTGAATCTACCCGTGCACCTGCCCGAACCCGAAGACGTTTACAAGTCTCGCACCGGGAGGAGGTCGGCCTTGTACAAGCGGCTATGGCAGCACGTCCTCCGCCATCCCTTGGTGCCGTTACTCTTCCGGTCCCTCGTCCTCATCACCTCCATCTGTGCCCTTGCCCTTGCGATTCGTATCTACCAGCTCGAAGGTCGGCGGCGCTCCAACCAGCAAGAACTACAGAATCAGATTCTCGCTCGATTACGAGCACTGCATTCAGCCTCCAGTTCCGAAGGATACGTCGACCAAGAGCTTTCCCTAATAAGACAGATCTCGCCCGGGTCGTCAGAGCGGACTCAAGCGATAGTGGCGATTGCGGTGGACACGATAGCGATTCCTTATATCGGGTACATGCTCTGGGACGAATACACGGGTCGCCCATTGGGGCTAAGGCCAGTGACGCAGAAGAGCGGGTTGGTGCTGATGGATGTGTTTTTCATCGTGTTCAAGGCGGCCAGCACGGCGTTGGCGTACGAGGTGTTGGTTTATCACAACAGTCAAGATCGCTTCACGGACCATTTCAGCCAGGCACTGGCCGCGTTTCAGCTGATTGGGCTATTTTTCTGGTTGACCAACTTCACGGTTAATGTTTTTAGGCTGGTAGTGAAGCTGGGAGGCGGAGACGATTTGGAGACTCAGAGGGGGAGGTGACGACGGTTATAATGGGCGGTAAAGCCCGGGAAGGATATTGAGAGGGAAAGAAAAACAGATCGGGGGAGATGAATAACGTCGAACGTCTCAATCCCGCATGGTAGCATACTTACTTGCATTTTCTCGTACTTTGTCGATACCTCAGCACGGTTCTGCCTCTGGGTTTTTTATGGGTGGGGCTTTTGGATTAGCAGATTAGCATACAGCGGTAACAAATAGTGTTTGATCAGTTGGTAATGTTGGTGATGTTGATATTAGCAGGGATGGTGATGATTATTACTCGATTGTGTATGCGTTATGAGACATGAAAAGGGGAACGGATAGCGAAAGATTTGGTGTAAGGAGAGATATCATATTGCCTGCCGTGAGCTCCCAGCAGGAAAATACATGCAGTCTAATCGAATCCTGGCCACAAATGGTATCCTTCTCGAACACCAGCGGTTAAAGGGGCTGTAAACGGCCGACATACCTCTACCTACAAGTAGCTAGCTACAGCGTTCAAGTTGTCACTGTCCTGCTTTCCCGTACGTAAAGTACCCCGTCAGCTGTACATGGGTGCCATTCCCACATGTACAGACTTTGGTCCGAGTCACATATTTACCTTGAAAAGGAACATGGTATTATACCAACATACGGTACATACCTGCACCAGATCTGTTAGCCGCCAATGTTAGAGGTACCGGTAATGACGGAATGTACATAGTAGATGGTGGTCGCCCGTCCCGCATCGCAGGGCATCGTCTCCATCAGTCCCCGCCACTTTGTCGGTTCCCCACAATTTTGCGTGTTCGCGGTGGTCTTTTACTGGCGGGGGGGGGCCACTGCCTGCCTTAACTGTCTACTTGCTGTCAGTGTCAATCGATGCCTGCCACGCCGCTGCAGCCTGAAAACCGTCAACGAACGACGGCATCGCTCTATCATCCGGGCATCGACCACGGCAGCAGCAGCAGCAGCCTCGGGGGGCCAATCTGGAAACTCCACTCTTCAACTTGATTGCCTACAGAACAGAACATTGAAACCTGTCAGAACACCACCACGACAACAACAACAACAACCAGCCAAGGTACTTACCTCTACACCTCACCTCTAGGCTGCGACCTCACACCCGTCACTCCAAGGGAACAATCAGATCCTTCCTTCACCCGACCCGATTTCCGATTAACCCGTCTGTCTGCTCACGGTCACGGTCCTTCTCCCAACCGACACCGACGTGGTGACCCCCGCCATCCATCCGACCTTCCAGACCTGTGGCGCGCCTCATCGCTCAGGACGACTGCTTCTACTTCTACTCCTCTGGTTGTCACCCAGTCCATTCACCCTTCGTCACCAGTCAGGTCGCAGACAAAACACGCTTCCAGCCTCAAGAACGACCGGTCGCCCAGATCAAACTCGTTCTTGCCCCCCCGACAGTCTCTGGACGAACACACGCGACCCAACACGACCTGGTCAGCTTGGGTTTTCTGACGGATTACGCCCCTCGTCCACCACCACTTGTCAGCCGGCATATTGTTCCCAACATCGCATTCTTTCTTTGATTCCCGGCGCACGATCGCTCTTCAAACGAACACACACATAGACACAACAAACATGCCTCCGGCAACCATGATGACGGGGGCGTACGGGCAGCAGCCTTCTGGCAGTGATGGTATCGACAGCACGTATGTTTTCGCTCACTTGGCGGCTGGCCCCTCTGCCTCCAAACAGCCGTACTGACCTTCTGCCATCAGTTGGCCATACTTGCAGTCTAGTATTAACAAGATCATGACCAACCTCCAAGAAGGGCTCGACATGAGTAGTGTATGTTTGTTCCCCGCCCATCCGTCCACGTTACCCCCCGCTAACACACGCCGTTTGTAGTACATGGGAATCTACACGTTAGTTGGACGGATGCCCTATTGATCTATACACTCCTTCAACCTGGTACTAACTGCGGCACAGGGCGGTGCACAACTTCTGCACATCGCAGAAGGCTAACGGCGGTAGCAGCAGTCCGAGTAATCACCTTCCGGGAATCGGGACCCAGAGAGGGGGTATGTTGTCTTCCCTGCGTTTTGCCCGATAAACAGATGAGCAAGAGGACTAACATGCACCAGCCCATCTGCTTGGTGAGGACTTGTATAAGAAGCTGGCCAACTACCTGACAGACCACCTTAAGCACCTGGTCTCTGAAGCGGAGGCTCACAAGGACGAGGCCTTGTTGGCCTTTTACATTCGCGAATGGCAACGCTACACCAACGCCGCAAAGTATATCCACCATCTTTTCAAGTACCTGAACCGACACTGGGTTAAGCGCGAGATGGACGAAGGGAAAAAGAACATCTACGACGTTTACACGCTCCACCTTGTTCAGTGGCGTGACGTGTTGTTCCAAGCCGTCTCCAAGAAAGTTATGGACGCCGTTCTCAAGCTAGTGGAAAGGCAACGCCTCGGTGAAACCATCGAGTACACCCAGATCAAACAGGTGGTCGATAGCTTCGTCTCACTCGGCATGGACGAGGGTGACAACACCAAGACGACGCTGGAAGTGTACAGGTACCACTTCGAAAGACCATTCCTGGAGGCGACCAAGGTCTTTTACCAAAACGAAAGCAAACAGTTTGTGGCCGAGAACAGCGTTGTCGAGTACATGAAGAAGGCCGAGGCTCGCCTGGCTGAGGAGGAGGAGCGCGTACGCATGTATCTTCATCCAGATATTGCCCTACATCTGAAGAAGACTTGCAACCAGGCCCTCATCGCGGAGCACTCTACCCTGTTGCGTGACGAGTTCCAGGCCCTGCTGGACAACAACCGAGAGGACGACATGAGACGGATGTATAGCCTCTTGTCTCGCATTCCCGACGGTCTGGAGCCTCTGCGGACTCGTTTCGAGGCCCATGTTCGCAAGGCTGGTTTGGCGGCTGTTGCCAAGGTGGCTGCAGACGCCGACAAGCTGGAGCCCAAGGTCTACGTCGACGCTCTGCTTGAGATCCACACTCAGTACCAGGGGCTAGTTGAGCGCGCTTTCAACAAGGAGCCTGACTTCACGAGATCTCTAGACAACGCCTGCAAGGAATTCGTGAACAGGAACGAGGTCTGCAAATCGGGCTCCAACAAGTCACCGGAACTGCTGGCCAAGTACACGGACGTGCTTCTCCGCAAGAGCAGCACCGGCGTGGAGGAGGCGGAGCTGGAGAACACGCTGACGCATATTATGACTGTGTTCAAGTACATCCAGGACAAGGACGTGTTTCAGAAGTTCTACTCACGCATGCTGGCGCGCCGCCTCGTGCACAGCAACTCCAACTCGGACGACGCCGAGACCTCGATGATTTCCAAGCTCAAGGAGGCCTGCGGCTTCGAATACACCAACAAGTTGCAACGCATGTTCCAGGACATGCAGATCTCCAAGGACCTCAACACAGGCTTCAAGGAGCACGTTGCCTCCCTCAACATGGACAGCAAGCCGCTCGACTCGACGTACTCTATCCTCGGCACCGGTTTCTGGCCGCTCGTCCCGCCAAACACCAGCTTTGTTGCGCCCGCCGAGATCTCGGCTGACTGCGATCGGTTCACCCGCTTCTACAAGAACAAGCACGAAGGCCGCAAGCTCACTTGGCTGTGGCAGCTGTGCAAGGGCGACATCAAGGCGAATTATATGAAGGGCGCTAAGATGCCCTATATCTTTAGCGTGTCGGCGTACCAGATGGCCATTTTACTGCTTTTCAACGAGAAGGACCAGTACACGTTCGAGGAGCTTGCGAGCATCACTCAACTCAACGCGGATGTGCTTGAAGGCGCCTTAGGCATATTGGTCAAGGCCAAGGTTCTTACCGCGGAGGGTGGAGAAGGTGGCAAGATTGGGCCGGGAGCGACGTTTTCGCTCAACTACGACTTCAAGAACAAGAAGTATCGCATCAATTTGAATGTGGGCATGAAGAGTGAGACCAAGCAGGAGGAGGCGGAGACGAACAAGACGATTGAGGAGGATCGCAAGTTGTTGTTGCAGGTAGGTGACCCCCCATACCTAGTCAACATGTTGACCAGAAAGCTAACGCAAAGAACGCACAGTCCGCTATCGTCCGTATCATGAAGGCGCGCAAGAAGATGAAGCACCAGCAGCTTGTCTCGGAAACCATCAACCAGATCAAGGCCCGATTCATGCCCAAGATTGGCGACATCAAGAAGTGCATTGAGATCTTGCTTGATAAAGAGTACCTGGAGCGGTTGGAGGATGATGAGCTTGGGTATCTTGCCTGAGTGTTTCTGGTGCTGTTGGTAGGACTAACCACGAACACAATAACGTGGGAGTCTGGGTACTGAAGCGGTTATCATCAGGAGAATCCACGTGCGGGGTAAACAAATCAACAATGAACAAGCGGAAAAAGTACGAATTAACTAGCCTCGATAGAATTCACACATATCGGTATTGAACAATTAGCGTGCTTTGTTTGTTAGTTTGTGATCTCAAGCGAGAGAGAGGGTGTGCTGGAAGGTTGAAGAAGTTCAGAAGAAGAAGAATAGAGATTAGCAGAAGGATTTGGGAAAGGGAAGGACAAAGAGTTAATGACGAATACCATTACAGATCACACATTCACTTACTATACCTGATTATGAGCCCCTGTCTGCATGAGCTTCTGTTCTTAGTGGAGGTGATCTATAGGGTTTGATGACGGTGAAGACTGGAAACACACCTTTGATAGTGACAACAATGGACAAATCTTTCACTTTACCCGACCCAACGAAGCCAGGCTACCTATGAAGCGGCACTTTTTGGAGGTAGGTAGCTTACGGTACCTATGTAGTACTCCCTAAAATACCTCTACTCACTGCGGTAAATCCCAAAGTAGGTAGGTAAGTAGGTAACTTTGGCTGTTTTGGGAACTGCACTCGGAAAAGGGACTGAATGAACCTTGGTGAACTCATAGTTAAAAAAAAAATACTGTCCCCCTCACCCACGTATCCTATATAGTAAGGGGGGGGGGGGATAGTATTTTTTTTGACCATCACTGCCCATTACGATTCCTGGTGATTGCTACTAGGTATTAGGTATTATCAGGTGGGAGTTGCCATGTTACCTACCTACTATCTACGTAGGTATCTATGTTACGGTAGGTAGCTACCTAGGTAGAGGTAGGTGGGTAGGTAGGCCACATGATACCTACCTACTTACTTACTTACTTAGGCCACTCACGCACCCAGTGTAGGTAGGTAGTAGTATTCTCATACTTGATCCTAGCGCTGGAAGTGCGGAACGGAGTGACTCGTTACTCATTAATGGATATATACCCACATAGGTAGGTAGCTAACATACTCGGAGCCCGCTAGTCAGACGGTATGTCGGTTTTGAAGACCTGACGAGTACCTACCTAGTCCAACCTTGATGGTGGATTGTTTCCCTTTAGCTTGTTCGTCACCTTAGCGTGTAATGTAATGTAGTGTAGTGTAGTGCAGTGTAATGTAGTCTAGTCCCGGGCTACAAAATGATTACTGTTACGACATCTGAGACATTCACCATCATGTCTAGGTAATCCTGTTTAGTTCAGTTTAGTCCTTTTTAGTCCTTTTAGTCCAATTCCGCCCTTTTCGGTCCCTTTTCCGCCCTTTTAGCATTAGACTAAGCGAGAGATAAATGTCATGTGCTGTGGGCATGCTGTGCGTGCTGTGCGTGCTGGACGGAAAAAAAGGTCCTATGCCATGATGATCTACGTTGGGTGATGTCGGAGTATGGGCTCGATTAGACTTAGAAGGCGACTAGTAGTCATTGTGCGTTTGGCACAGTGCCGGGTGCACATAACATGTACAGTACAGTCCAGTCTTTCGACAAGTCGGCCCGTGATTGTTGGTTAGGCAGCTGTTTGTGGTGTGGTGTAGTGTTGTTAGTTCAGTAGGGGTTAGCTTGGTCCACTGATCGATTTTAGGGAGCATGGGTTAGCGAGAGTATTCGTGGAGAAGGGGAAGTGTGCGTGAATTGGTATGCTCTTTTCGAAACCGGTCAAGTGTCCGGTGTAGGTTGTATTTGTTGGTCGTCGAACCCTAAAAGATATTGACATGTTTTGGCATCCTAAACCTGCTTGTCAATGTGGGAGTGAGAGCAGACGAGGGCCGTGCTACATCCCACAGGTCGCATATAGTTCTGATCAGCTTAAAGAGTACGGAATATTTTTGGGTGTATCCAGATCCGCGGGTATAGGTAAAGGTAGGGTATAGAGAAGCAAGGCGATACCTCCGAAGGCCAAATGACACCCCTGTCCACGACCCAAACGATCGGGACCGGGTTATTGATCACTCATCAATAGTCGTCACTTTGGTGTTTCCCAATATGCGATCAGTAGATGCATAATACCAATGGACATTTAGCGGTCCGGTAACAATGACGAGGTTGGTCTGGTTAAGCGTTCCCAAGTAGATGCTAGCTTGTTTTGTTTTCTCCTTGTTGGCTTCAGATTATATCGAGGAAATTCCTGCTTGGTTATTACTTGCGGAGGTTGAGTTTGCAGATGGTACTGTGTGAGCAGTAAGCATTTCATTTGACTGTTAGTGTTCCGTGATTTCGAATCCGCAGATCCCAGATTCGAACATCAGCACAACGCCAATCTGTTGATTTCAGTCGTCCAGTCAACTACCACTCGTGCAGCCAACGGTAGTGGGATATATAAATAGAGTGAAAGAGCCTTGTCCCGTTCCGTCCACCGAGCAGTGACCATGCGTTCCGCAAAAAGAGCGGAATCGAACCGGAAGAGAAAGCGATAAGAAAAGGCTGCGTAGCGCAACCGTCAACTGTGAATCATCCAAAACAACCGCCAATGGCGCGTCTATATGGTGTGTGCCGTGTATGTGTGACCATAAGCCATCGGGAAACAATCCGAACGCACAACAGTCACATCCATTCAACTGCATGGAAAGAAACTGCCGTACGGTGTAGCTACGGCTTCAGCTGCCGCGAATGAATCCCAGTTGATGATGTTGGCTGTCAAAGAAGACAATGAAACTTTCAACAGTTTTGGACCAACATCTGAAAGAGAACGACAATAACATGAAACCGTTGAGAGTTCTCCGGAAATCTGAAAGGAGTCGTTTTCGCCTGGCAGGGCGCGGAAGGGCGGAAGGGCGGAAGGGCGGAAGAGCGGAAGGGATATGTAGTGTAGCTAATCTCCTTGGATGGTCTGAATGTAGTTAGACAGGCCAAGCAGCCAAGGCAGGGGGTCTTGATGCTTCGTTTTACCGGACTTGGTGAAGAGGGTCAGGGGGGGATGCAAGGAACAAAAAGCCCAAAACTGACAAGTGACCGATTCTTTGCTACACTTTTAGCGCGAACCAGGCCAGTCTAGCGTGGACTGTAGATGATGGAATTTGTGATGTACTGTGACAGATGTACGCATAACGCATGATTGTTCTATATTTGAAAGTGGAAGACGCGGAACTGAATTGTATCATTGAACCGCTCCAAGAAGGGTTTTCCGCTTTCTTTGTAATGACGGGAGTCCAGACCATGTTTTTTTCTCACGTATCCAGATCGATAAGCCGCCTCCATCCAGTATCGTATTGCAGCAAACGTCGGAGAAAAAACAAATAAATGGACCTTAACAATGGCATTATAAACCAGGGATCTTGCGAATGGAACCTCTCTCCATTATGTATGAAGTTTGTCCAACTTTTTTTTTGAAAAGACGCCAAAAGTCGCCATTTCCAATCAAGTCAGGTAGGTACCTGGATAAGGACGACCAACTAGGGTTTCATCCAAAGCCCCTAGTTCATTCATCACCAAACCTAATGCCCCCCCCCCTGTTAGGAACACCCAGGTTGCCCTCGCTTTTGGGATACCAAATGACGGAAAACGGGAATTGGCTTCTTCGCATACACGTGGTGGTAGCTTGGCTGGGTCGGGGGTGCTAGGGTCGGGGATCTGGTAGACTTGGATGATGATCTAGGGTTCCCATGAGTGATGGGCTGTGATAAGTGAGTGAGATGTGATTGCTGGGTAGCGCATGGATGATTTGTTTAGATGGACTTTCTCTTGAGAAAAGAAACAAGATCGCCATCATAAACTCCGAAGCATGTTTCGCTCTCCAGAGTATGATGTTTCGTCGGTGCTATTCTTGTCTGCATGAAGAGACGGGCAAGACGAGTGTTTGAGCAGTCAGTGTTTGGTCTCATCGTGTATCCCCTGGGAATTGACCATGGAAACACGTGGAGTCGAGTTCACGGTGATTAGTACAGCTTGGTACGACAGTGACTTGAGTAGCCGAGTACTGTGTTGCATCGAATCCGAATTTCTTCCTCTTTTGAGAGAGAACGTTGCGCGCCTTAACGCGGACACACGTGTGAAGGTGGTACAAAGTACGTGAAGGCTCCTGAAGCGGACGAAATGAACCTGGAGATGCGAAAGGGCAATCAGGGACTTCCCCGGACCGTGGAAATGAGCGAGGTGGGAATACCCGCCAGAGGCCGCCAGAGTGAGGAGTCGAGGATGAAGAGACTTGTGATGGGAGAAGGGAGGAAAACCGCCGAGTACGGAGCTCCTTCTGGGTAATCTCCAATGGATCCACTTTTCCTTGACCTTACACCCGCCAACCGTTTCCCCAGGCAAGGAGCGGAGTGCACGGGCCATCTCAATCAACGGCTGGAGTTGACATTGGACAGCTTGGACACCATCTCGCGGCGGATACAAGTTGAAGAGCGAAAGGTCTCATGGGAACAGTGTACTACCATAAGCACTGATTGATATGAGTGCGCTGACGACGGAAAAGGCCCGAAAATGGGAGCAACGAGGAGAGAAACTGGAGGCTATTCGGAAAGTGGATGTTGCCCATCGGCTCCGTAACCAGCTGGGTCTTGATGTCGTCCAATTATGGCTTTTGATCGGACACTAGACGCAGATTTTCTCAAGATTGACAACCGTCGACAATCATTGCTTTGCCTGCAAACGGTCAACCGCCAAGAGAGTAAAAAGCAACTATGAGGACGCCGGTCTTTGTGGATCCTGGTATGGATCTGCCAAGTGTTTGTAGAGAGTCAGTTGAGACATGAATGTCGTCACGGTCATGTCTGACTGTCTGTTGTCGGGGGCGGAGGCGGCGTAGGGGGGCAAGGTGAAAGTTCATGATAAAACCCGGCGCATTGAGTTGCGAGACACCGACGGACGAGAACCACTCGGCGCCCCTTTACCTACCTCAAGTCATCTTCCATGCCTGTCGCCTCGTGGCAGAGCTGTCGTGAAGAAAGCCCCCAACGGACCCCAACTCAATATGTATGTAGCCACAGCTAGTTCCCTAGCTAGCTATGACCTGACAAGGCGAGACCAATGGTGGACACTCTTGCGTGACCCGAGAATTGGATTCGGGTATCGATCAGGAAATCAGTAATATCGCCGGGTCACAGACTGGCATGGTCGTTGTCGTCGTCCTCGTCGTCGGGGTCGTCGTCGTCGGGGTCACTGTCATGGTTCACGCTACACTAAGGATTTAATGGGCAGTGGAGTGAGATCAACGAAGGGGACTGGTGGTTCTTATAACCGGTGGAGCTGACTCCCGAAGATGTGGCTCCTGCACTCCTCTTCTAGCGGCTCCTTCCAGACATTGGCGCCTTTCCCCTCATCCAACGAGGAGACGAGTAGCTGTTGCCAGAATGCCGTATGAGGTCTAGCGGGGCTTACGCCAGGCGGAGCTCGCTGCCCCCACCATGTCTTGGCGACACCTCGGAATTACATCCAATAACAAAAGGCCTGCCTTCCACTTTGGCTTCCAAGTATTTTCCCCAACAGAGCCGGGATTTATGTAGACAAAAGGTCCTATAATAGTGTAGTGCCGTTTCATTCAGGTAATTAGCCCTGTGCTGGTGACACTCACTTTAAGCAAGCGTGCCAAGTGCTAGCACAATTGCGGCTTAGCATAGGTAGTGTAGGCTTTCCGTTCGTCAGGAGGGCTGCACTCACTCACTGCCCTGAGAAGTGAAGCTGAGTGGAGGAGAGTGGTGGATCTGCTGTTCAACTGCCGCACCACCCAACAACTAATGCTCCTCATTGGCTCCATTGCCTCTTGTCTTGGCCTCTTCAAGCCTTCCGCGGGCAGTTCCAAACCAAATGAGCCTTTCCAGCCAATCCAGCGTTTGTCGCTTTGCTCACTGCAGTCAGTCGGTGCTACAGTACGGCTGCCTTCCATCATTATTTGCTTTTCCTCCTTCGTTGGTTTTCACTGCTTCATCTCACGATTTTCGACTTTTCAGCATCCGGGCACCGTGACCTGCTTCGTCTGTAAACGGGACTCCCACACTGCACAGAGCAACAAGCACATCGACGAGAAGGCGTCAAACTAGAGGCAAAGGACGGTACCTTGCCTACTGCAGTCTGCAGCGACTTGAAACCATCCAAACCCGACAGCACAAGCGTCACGGCATCCTTCCACTTTGGCTGGCGTCAACTCGCTTAGAGCGGCCTGTCCTGGCAATTCACCATCGTATTGACAAAGTCTCTGGATCTGCGCATTTTAGACCGGGTAGGCGGTGACAATAACACGAACCCGGACCACTTTACACACTGGCCGCCGGGCAACCTGGAACACTACTCGGGGATCCAGGGCATAGTGTACAGTGACCCCAGCAACCCCCCCGTTTTTTGTCGCGACCTGGGCATCCTGGGCCCCCATCTCCCCCGTCCCGCAAAACTTAACAAAAGGTACTGGCTGCCTGTCTGCCTGCCTGCCAATTCACCTCTACCTCACCTGGCTTTTGGCTTTACCTCCCGTCCGTCAATTATTCCCGACACCACTACAACCAAACAACAACCCATCTCGCCTTTCAATCCATTCGTCGATCTTCTTTGTCGCCGACCCTTTCGAAACCGTTTACCGACGGCGCGCGTGTACGCCAACCAACTATCAGAATCGGCGACTGCCAGCCAAAGAAAGACTGCCATTCAACCAGCGAGAGAGAGGCGACGAACGGCTAACGATCCAAACGATTCGGACTGCATCCACTCAAGACGTCACAACCAAATCCAGCTACCCGTGGTCCCTGTTGTGTCGACTTACTTGGAGAGCCTCCCACCGAACACAAGTCGCCAAAGTCGACCATACATAAAATTGCCCATCAATTGCGTCAGTTGACCAAATCGTCTCGAACCCGCATTATTCAGGTCGCCCATTTCCGGAGATCCCAGCTACAAGGCGATTGACGGACGACGACGAACAAGTCTGCCCCTGGTCGTTCGACAAAAGTGAAGGCCGAGCAAGGGTTATCCGAGCGACGAAGCTGAACTGCACATCACACCAAACATTCGCCGGGAAAAAAAGTCGTCTTCATGGTTTTCTAGAACAGACCCGTGAACAGACGAGCATCTTCTTATCCGCCAGGTCCAAGTTCCCGGCCATCATCGGCTGCCTCATCTAGCCACCGCAGTCGAAAGGGATTGATGATCAAGATGGGCGCATGCATGAGCAAGAACGACGAGGAGACGGAGCAGAAGAAGAGGAGCCAGAAGATTGATCGCGACCTAGAGGAGGACTCCAAGAAGCTACGGAAAGAATGCAAGATTCTACTTTTGGGTGCGTACCCCTGTTGTCCTTCCCTAAAATCGTTTCTGCTAACATGCGTGCGCGTACAGGCTCCGGCGAGAGCGGTAAATCGACCATTGTGAAGCAGATGAAGATCATACATCTCAAGGGCTATTCAGATGAGGAGCTCACAAATTACCGACCAACCGTCTACAAGAATCTGTTGGAATGCGCAAAGGCGGTTGTGAATGCTATGCACCAGTTCGATATCCAGCCAGCAGATCCGTCGCTGCGGCCCTACGTCGAGTTCTTGCAGGATTACAACATGGAGGGGTGTCCACCAGGACAGTCGATAGACCCCAAAGTCGGCACGGCTATCCAGGCACTATGGAATGATCCAGCAAAGGAGCAACTCATGGAGAGGCAAACAGAGTTTTACCTTATGGACTCTGCAGAATAGTGCGTGTCCGGTTTTTTTTCCCTTCAAGAACTCACGTTTGCTGACTTGGCACAGTTTCTTCACCGAGGTCATGAGGATTGTGGCCGAAGACTATCGACCAAATGAGATGGATGTACTTCGCGCCAGAACAAAGACGACGGGTATCTACGAAACGAGATTCAAGATGGGGCAGCTCAGTATCCAGTAAGTGTGCCTAATGGACATCTGTTACCCTCGTGCCCCTCAGCTCACACAATGATCTAGCATGTTTGATGTGGGCGGGCAACGTAGTGAACGCAAGAAATGGATTCACTGCTTCGAAAACGTCACATCCATCATCTTCTGTGTTGCCCTGAGCGAGTACGACCAAGTGTTGCTCGAGGAGAGCAGTCAGGTATGTCCACCCACCACGTCACCCCCTGGTACAGAGATGGTGCTAACATGTAACAGAACCGCATGATGGAAAGTCTGCTGCTCTTCGATTCGGTCGTCAATTCACGGTGGTTTATGAGAACGAGTATCATCCTGTTTCTCAACAAGGTCGACATTTTCAAGCAGAAACTGGGGCGGTCACCTCTAGGGAACTACTTTCCGGATTACTCTGGTGGAAACGACGTCAACAAGGCCGCCAAGTATCTATTGTGGCGGTTCAACCAGGTTAACAGGGCTCACCTTAACCTATATCCTCAGTATGTCCTCTACATCATCCTGTCTTGGTGTATGCACCATCATGCTAACATCGTCACAGCTTGACACAAGCCACCGATACCTCCAACATCCGTCTCGTGTTTGCTGCCGTCAAGGAAACCATTCTCAATAACGCCCTTAAAGACTCAGGTATTCTATGATGAAAGACTCCTTTTTTTTTTTTCGCTCACGCATCTTCTTCCTCTTTCTCGCAACAGCGTTCAGAATATTACCAAGTCTCCCTTCTTGCATGACTCGGCGTTTTAAAGGGGTGGTAGCTGTCCAGCTAGCCGGCTAGCAAAAGCACGGCGGTGACAGCAACGGAGGCGGCGGTTGTTGTTTCTTATCATATCTTAGGGTTCACGCGCGTTTGGAACGTTGCCAACCTGAGGTTTGCTTTTGCTTCCCATCGGTTTCTCTTTTCCATTAGCATGCATTCATCTGAGCGACAGGCAGCGCCATCAACCATACCCTACCAAACGGAACTTATTGTAATCTTGTTTACGCACCATTTGTTTGTTTTGCGCCGACGCAGAACAGCATAGGAGCACTTTTTTTTCTTCTTCACGGCGGCAACTGGCCCGACTGAGCAGGTCCTTGCTTTCTCTTTTTTTTTTTTTTGTACATTCCTTTTCAACCGCATTTACAAGAAAACGGAAGGTGGAGAAGAGACATTGTCCTTAAGAGGTGTCACTGTACTCTCATGGGGAGGTGCATGGCAAAAAAAAAAAGAAAGATGTCTGAGCTAGAAAGCCAGGGAGTTGAAAAGGGAACATTGTTCGCCTCCCAGTGAGGTTTTGGATCCTGCATTGAAATGCGGTCCGAGGTATCCCCAGGCCCATCCAAGAGATGGGAAGGTGGGCGCAAAGAAGGAGAAGAAGCCATGATGTTCACGATTTCGTTAACTGTCTCTGGTAGTAGTGGGAGGCAGAGAGAGAGAGATAGTAGGAGACAAAACTACTGTTTGTTCGTCACAAAGAGACTCACACAGGATACCTATCTGATGAAAGTAGAGGACTCTTCGAACAAACAGAGTATCTTATTAATGAGTTGATTATCAAGTGGAATAGAGATGCTGCATCTGAGACATACGAAAAGCGCTGGCAGTTTGCTAGCAGTAGTGTCTTGGCACGTCGTCCGTCGGTATAGAATAGGAAATCGACGGAGAGACAGACAGACAGACAGACAGACAAACAGACAAACAGACAATTTAGAGTCGTTGAAAGCAAATAAAGAAACACATACGGCCATACCCACTGGAAAACTCGGGATCCCGTTCGCTCTCCTAATTGCGGAAGGAAGATGTGATTGCCCCGGTGGAACCCGACACGTGGAGAAGCACGGCCCCTATAAAAGTTGAAGATGCTACCATACACCTCGCTACTACCGCGAGACCTCCTCGAGCTACGTCTTGACAATAGAGCCTGCCGTACCCGACGGAATAGAGCCTAGACTGTGATTTACTCCGAATACTAATGTTCTTAGACCTACCCCCTGTTCCACCGTGACACTTGCGCTTGTTCTCGACTCCTTCTTTTACCATCTACCTACCTACCTACCTAGGTATACATGAAGACTACGAGATACTCGACATCACGGCAAAAATCATGCCAATCATGCTCCAACGCCAAAGCAAAATGCGATCGCAAGGCAACATCATGTAGCCGATGTGCGCTACGAGGACTAGCTTGCACGTACCCCCAGGCATCTTTGTCTGGAGGTTCCCGAGTTTCTCTCGAAAAAACGGAGACAACAGGCAGCCTGGTTTCCGTATCGGGGAGCCTCCCGCTTCATGGCTCAACTCCCGAGCCGAATGTTGCCATGTCACCGACAACATCACAGACCTCGAGTCTTGCCGGTGAATCTACGGCATGTATCCAGCCTGGGGCTGGTAGTGTCGATGGCCTAGTCAGCCCGGCTTCAACAAACCTTGCAGACACGAGCCGGTCCGCTCATCCAAGACGGCACCAAGTTACATCCCATACCACCCGAGGAGGAGGGTCAGCTGCACATGCACTCCTCGACTTCTCACATGTCGATCTCGTGTGTCCCATTAACGCGAATGACATCCAAAACCGCTGGCTCAAACCCTACATAGAGGTAGCTGTCCTCGGGCAAACGGCCAAAACGCTTTCCCCGAGCATTACAGCCTTCACATACAGAATCCTCAAATCGTACGCGGCTATTGCGGTCCGAGGCGGCGGCCATGATAGCATCCCGCCATTTCTACACTCAGTTCATGTGCTTCACACATTACCAAACACACCAGCGCTCTCGACTTGCTTAAGCCTGATTCGGAGCTGCGAAAACCCGCTGCCTGGCAGCGAAGGAGTCCTTGCCGAGGTTTTGCAGCGCGAGATGAACAAGCTCTACGAGCAATACGGCCACAACACTTGCGATGATGATGATGATGATGATTCGGCGCAGCTGCTTGCGGCATTCCAGGCTTACTTGGTGTACACCTTGGTCTTGTACTACCGACTCCATGTCGGCCGGGATGCTGCGGACCACCCTTTCCTCCGACTACAACAAGCAATGATGCATCTCCAGGAGATTGCATGCGCCTGTTCGGCGCGGGGGCTTGTGTGCTCGGCCGAATTGCAAGACGGAGCACAAGGAGCCCGGCGGCCGAGGTGGGAAACGTGGATCGTGGCCGAGACGAAACGGCGAACGCTCTACACCATGTATCTTTTGGACAACATGCTCACTGCCAAAGAGGGTCTTCCGACTTTTCTCGGCACCGAGTTGCGAGGACTACCGGCGCCAGCAAGCAAAGCTCTGTGGCAGGCATCAGCTCGGGATGAGTGGGAAAAGGCATATAACTTGCACTTGGCCGAGTGGTACCCTGAGGGTGGTGGTGGCCTCCTTTGCATCGATGAGCTTTGGGCAATCCCAGCAGACATGGATGAGGCCGGCTTGGGTGAAAGGCGCAGGAGAGTGGACCGGTGGTTGGAGGGTGTCGATGAGTTTGGGACAATGATGTATGCGGTGACGAGTTGCACGCATGGAGGCTAATTTTTGTTGCAATTTGTTCGTCTCGGTGAGCTTCTAATTAATTAATTCATTCATTCATTCATGCGATGCCCTCGTACGGCTGGTCGAAACTACCTAGGCGAGAAGAAAATATGCTGCGCTACAAAGACTGCTCCAAAGCCCAAAGCGCTTGCTCAATCTTGATTGCCCGTAGATTCATCTTGGGCAGGAGAGTATTCAAGACGAGCCGAGAAAATTTGCCTTTGTGGCCTGCTGGCAAGTCCAACACATTGTCCGAAATGACGTAAACTTGTTTGTAGTCCAAATCAAACAACCGATAAACTGTGTGCTCAACACAACACCAGAGAGAGTGAGACCGGACTGGGGGGGAGTTTGTGAGTTAGGTAGGCAGTCCAATCCAGACTTTAGAAAGGGCACTCAGCGGCTGGCCGCCTACGTACAATGACAGCGGTACCTATCGATGTTCTGCGACCTTGAAATCTCCTCGAGGGGCATTTCCTGCGCCAGCGTACCTACCTACCTACCATCTCGTCTTCTGAAGAATGATGTCCTGCTCATCGACCACAAAGTGAGGATCGATTTGCACTCCAGAGGAATCTAGTTCAAAAGTACTACCTCTATCAAAGGCTCGAACCAACTTCTATGGTAAACGGCACGCTGTGTCGTCCTTTGCCAGTTCGGGTTGTGACGAATTTGAAAAGAACAGACTGCATGGTGAAGATGGTGGTGAGCGGCCGAGGATTGATCTTTCCGGTGCACAGCATCGTTCCACCGCACACAGCTACGTAGAGATGAAAGCTGCTCCTTCGTCGGTAGGTATGCTTCAATCGCGGCGTCTATCAAAATCGACATTACCTAGGTCAATGTTGAGAATGGCGTAGCGTAGCCCAAAGGAAACAGAGCTCTCGGCCGTTTCATTCTGTTGCGGATCCATTTTCTAGATGACAGTTAGGTAGTTACCCAAGTATCAACGCAAGATGAAGATGAATGGTGTCTTTTGCTGTTGAAATAACCAAATGAATGAATGTCAGCAACACAAAGTTGGTCTGGCTACTGCACCGGAGTTGAAGCCCCTGCATCTCTTTCAAGTCCGAAAGTGGGAAAGCTCAGCTCCGAACTCCGTAAGGCGACGTTATGCCTGTGATGTCTGCCCGTATTTGCTTTAAAAGCAGACTTATTTGTATACAACATGTCCTGGATCATATGCAGTATCCAGATCCGATCCATGACAAAGTTAGTTGGCGCTTGCCATTGACCATGATTACTAAAGTTCAAAATCAACAACCACCTTTCCCTCATGGCACTTCTGCCGCCACCTTTCCTCCACCAGAAGCCGCGGAGCAACCGTATTGCATCTTTGATAAGCGACAGAAAGCCCTAATCGTCGTTATAATTTCTGTCGCTGCAACATGTAAGTGGGGAATTCTGTCCAAGCGTGGTTGGCGAGTATGTTTGGGGTCTGACAGATAAAAAAAAAAAAAAAAAAAAAAAAAGTCTCGGGCTTTGCGTCGAATGTATACTTTCCCGCTCTACCTACTATCGCCAAGGACCTCAATGTTTCCATCGAGCTCGTCAACTTGACCGTCACCTCGTACCTCATCTTCCAAGGCATAGCGCCAAGCTTGTGGGGCCCCATCTCGGATGTGAAGGGACGCCGGATCACGTACTGTTGCACCTTTGTGGTCTTTCTCGGCGCCTGCATTGGTCTGGGAGAGGCCAAGAGCTATGCTGCGGTGCTCGTGTTGCGATGCCTCCAGAGCACGGGCAGCGCGAGCACCATCGCCATCGGCTCGGGCGTGATTGGAGACATCACGACGCGTGATGAGCGTGGCGGCTTCATGGGCATCTTCCAAGCAGGATTGCTCGTGCCTGTGGCTGTGGGACCGATTATCGGAGGCGCGCTGGCGGACCGTTTAGGGTGGAGGGCCATCTTTTGGTTCTTGGCCATCTACAGCGGTGTTTTCGTCGTGTCCTTGATTCTCTTGATGCCCGAGACACTGAGGTCGGTTGTTGGCAATGGGAGCCGGATTCCGTCGAACCCCATCGCCCGGTATCCGCTTGTCGTCTACCAAAGAACTAGCCGCGTCAAATGGGACGTCGCCACCGAGCCCGCGGCAAGAAAACGCATCGACCTTGTCGGTCCCTTTCGGATTCTTGTCAGCAAACAAGCCGCGCCCGTCATCGTCTTTCTCGCTGTTTATTACGCTGTTTGGCAGATGAGCATCACGGCCATGTCCACTCTCCTTGAGGACCGGTATGGGCTTGGGGAGACCGAAATTGGTCTGAGCTTCATCGCCAATGGTGTAGGATCCATGGTCGGGACGCTGGTCATGGGAAAGGTCCTTGACAATGACTATGGCCGCATCAAAGCCCGGTATGAGTCTCGGTCCAACTCGGCCCATGACGCCGACGGTGATGGTGATTCGGACGGCACTAATTTCCCCCTCGAAAAGGCGCGTCTGCGCCTGGTCCCGATCTTTGCTCTCCTGCAGTGCGCATCCATCACTTTATTTGGCTGGACCATTCAGTACGCGCAAAAGGTGCACATGGCGGTACCGATTGTGTCCACCTTCATCACGGGCTGGACGGCCATCGCCACCCAATCCGTCATCATGACCTACCTTGTCGATGTGTTCCACGACCGCAGCGCAGCCGCCAGTGCGAGCCTGAACCTCGCCCGGTGCCTGTTCGCCGCCGCCGGTACGAGCTCTGTGATGCCCATGGTCAATGCCCTTGGCGTCGGGCTAGCCTTCACCGTCTGCGTCGTGGCTCAGCTCGTCGCGCTGCTGGGGCTGGCGGTGCAGTGGAGATTCGGTGCCAGATGGAGGAGAGAGCTTGAGAGACGGAGATAGGAGGTAAATAAGTCGACCCGAATGCTCATTGCGAGGTAGTCGAGCCGCTTGGTGTTACGACGCCTACAATAGTTGCAAAGACTTTTGTGTAAGAAGGAGAAAGAAGGAGTGCATGTCTAATTGCACGAAATATAGTGTAGCAAGAAGATTACTCTTTTTCTTCCGGCGCAATCTGCTCCATCGGCCAACGCATCCATTTGCTGGTCTCACTCTCCCCCAAAAGCACGCCAACCCTCGCAATAATGTGCTCCTTCCAACCTTTGAGAAACCAGCCAGATGGAGTCGTCTGCCTATTCAGCAGCACGGCATAGTGCGCCAGGACCAACAGGGCGCTGGGGTCGCACCTCCTCACGCACGCCGCAAACTCGGGCTCGACACGGTACAGCCAGCCAAACACGAACTGGTTGTGAGGCGGGCCGTCATCTCTGATCTCGCCGTCTGGCCCGCGGCGCCCGTATATCGCGGCGTATATCCCGATGAGATTGTCGAGGGCGTGGACGGCGACGGCTGCTGTCGTCCTGGAGAGTTCTCCTTCATTGGGTGCGCCGCCTTCTTGTGCCCTGGCCACAACAAACTCCCGTAGCCCATCCAACTGCTCTTCCCACTCCACCCGCGGGAACCCATCCCTTACGTAAACGGGCGTATCCAAAGGCGACGGCGGCAGATCCCTCCCCAACGGCTCCATCAAACCGGCGAACAACACCTCTGGACGAAAAGTCTGGTGCATGAGCCGCACGCCGTACACGAACGGCATGCTCACACCACCACCCCCGACCTCTTCCAAACCACACCCTTCATCTCCATCTCCATCCCCATCAACACTGCACACCAGCAAATCTCCGTCCCCCCTCGGCCCATCCGCAAACGTGCAAAAACAAAGTAGCACCGCGCCCAGATACAGCGCCCCACAATTCCCCTCCCCCGGCCGCGCAAGCTCTGCCGCGAACCCCGACACCCCCTCCGTCAGGTGCTGCTGCGCGAGGGCGAGATATTCGCTATGGCTACGGCGCGGAGGCAACAGCAACACATCTTCTTGCTCATGGTGATGGGTGGCTGTCAGGTAGGCGAGGTGGAACGCCGTGTCGGCGAGGAGGAGGTGCAGGACGAAGGGGTGGGCGAGGCCGATGTGCAGGGCGTTGCGCGTCCAGAAGGCGAGGTGGTGCGGGTGCTCGTCGCAGCCGCCGATGGAGAGGGCGGTGGTGGTGGTGAAGTGGAGGAGGAGTTCGGCTTGGGTAATATTGAGGTCGATTGTCGTCGTCGTCGGGACACAGGCCCGCTGGTTGAGGGGTGTTGGGTCGTCGAGGGGGGAGGTTGGGGTGGTGGATGGTGTGCTTTGGGAGTGTGGGGGATCTGAGCGGAGAGTTAGCTGGCGTGGAAAGAAGAAAGACATGGAAAGAAAAGGGCATGAAATGGAAGAAGAGACATGGAGGAAAAAGACAGGGAAAAAGGAATGCATGGAGTGAAGCCCAAAGGCTCGCACACACTGGTTGACTCACCTGCCCAGTTCTTCCGAGGCCGCCCCCGACCTCGTCGAGTCGGAGCGGCAGGTCCTACAATACCATGTTCGAAATGGGCATTTTCTGGGACGAGATTGCAGGGCAGGCCGAAGCGGATGCAATTGCTACATGGCTTCTCTTCGTCGCACTGAGGGAGGTCAGCAGGAGTCGAGAAACGGCGCTTGTAAAAGGCGAGAAGCATCTTTGTGTGTTGTGTAGGTAACGGGTGAAAAGCTGACCTTGACTTTGCGGCGTTTACAAGAGCTACAGCCGGTGCGTGATTTGCGGTGAGGTTGAATGGACTTTCTGGTCGATGACGACGCCGCCATTTCTGCGAAAGGTGGCTAGAGTACAGTAAGTTGAGATTGGGTGTGAATTGATTTTTCGGATCAAAGTGCGAAAAATAAAACCCGAATAAAGGGAAGCCCTTGAATGGAGCTGCGGCGTCTGCGAAAGGAGGCTACAGTAAGTTGACATTGAGGTGTAATGGATGGTTGGCTGTGAATTTTTCGGATCCAAGTGCGAAAAATCAAAGCCGAATAAAAGGGAAGCCCGTGAATCCACATCTCGTGTAAGTCGCCCGCCCCACAGCCCACGACGCAGTTTCGTCTGAGGGGGCTGTGAGCATCCAAATGGAATGCCAGGGTACCGTCTGTTCAGATCTTGATCAGCACTGAAAGTAATGCGATTCACCTGTCTCTCGACGGTATATAACCCCCCTCGAGGAATAACTTGCCTTGTATTTGTTGTGTTCGTTATCAAGCAAAGGGCTAGCAGCAGCTTTTGATATCCCTTTCCGTCTACTCCCAAACCTGGCATCTCTACTACCCTCCCCAACTCAATGACGCTCAACGATGGCCCGCCCTTCGGCCCTGTGGTCAACGGGACCATGGTGGTGGTCTTTTGGGAATACCGACCCAGCAACGTTGCCGCGTACCTCTTTCTCGCCTTGTTCGCCTTGGCCACCCTCGCGCACCTCGTCTACTTTGTCTGGCTCCGGGCGTGGGGATGCATTCCCCTCATCCTCGGTGGCATCTGTAAGCCTTCTCCTGTCTCTTCCACCTCGCAATCTCCCTGACCATCCAACCCCCAAACAACCAGGCCTCGTCTTCGGCTACCTCGAACGCAGTTACGCCCACTCCGACCCCACAAAGCTCGACCCCTGGCTGCTGCAGAACATGCTCCTCCTCGTCGCCCCTCCCCTCCTCGCCGCCTCCCTATACATGTCCTACGGCCGCATCTCCACGGCGCTCCTCGAGGGCACCTCCAAACCCAACCACGGGCGCCGTAACAACCGCGGCTGCTGCGCCCGATGCTGTTACTCCTGGTACCGCCCCATCATCATCTATTTCCCCGACCCCCCGTCACTAACCGCCCATTGCCAACCAACCAACAGCTTCTGCACCTGCTCCCCGACGCGGCTCTACGTCCTCGCCGACGTGGCCGCAATCTTCACCCAGCTCATCGGCACCGTCCTCCCCGCAAGCGGCACCGAGTCGGCGCAACGCCTGAGCAAGATCATTGTCCTAATCGGCCTGTGCGTCCAGCTCCTCGCGCTGGGTATCTTCCTCTTCACCTGCGGGCGCCTACACGTGCGCCTGCACCGCAACCCGACCAGGTCACGGGCAATGCTGATGGACCCTGGGGTGAGATGGCTGTGGTATTTTGGTGTGATGGAGGTGGCGGGGGCCATGTTGATTGTCAGGAGTGTGGTGCGCGGGGCCGAGTATTGGGGGGGAACGGACGGGGTGGTGGCAAGTCATGAGTGGTTTGTCTATGTGTTTGATGGGGTGCCGATGGGGGTGGTGATGGCGGGGTTTTTGGTCTTGTATCCGGAGAGGGTGGTGAGGGAGGTGAAGCGGCAGGAGGGAATTTTGAAGGGGGCGGGCATGGGAGAGGAGTTGAGAGGCGGGGTGAAGGGGGAGTCGTATCCTGGGGGCGATGTTTACGTTGGGGGTAGGTGTCACTAGCTGTGCGACTTGCCGACACCGCCCAGGCCTACAAGCGCAACCCGAGCAGCCGGCTCCGAACATGGCTGGTCGATCCGGTCGAGCATGTCTCGGCGGTTGACCAAGTCGCGGTCGCGGGAGAAGAGCTAAGTAGACATAGTGCGTGTCATAATATATTCATCGGCCTTAACATGTCTCTGGATTTGGCTTCTTCATCCCACTCAGTTGAGCATCCCCAGGTATTGGTGGCTGCTGCTGCTGTGACGTCTCCCACTGCCGTTCCTTGTCTGGAGTCCCGGGAATGACTTGTTCCCTCATGGCGGTATCCTCTGCTATAGCATCCTTTCCAGGAGCTTGCCCGTCGTGTTCTGTATCCGCGTCATCCACCTGCCCCGGTCGTGGTGGACTTGATGGCGGGACAATATCCATCGGTGTTGGCGCTGCACTGCTTTCCCCCTCTCTCGCTTGTAGTGTCGGAAGTTCAGCTGGGGTAATATCCTCCTTCCCATCCTCACCCCCACCCCCACCCTTGGTATCCGCCTTCTCCCCATTACCATCCAAAGTCTGCCTCTTAATCCCCTTCCTGGCCTGCTTGATCAAATCCCCAAAACTCCCTCCATACCGAGTTGCCCAAGCTTTGCCATCGAACTCCTTGTCCTTGATCTGCGCTCCCGTAGCTTGCGCCCTCGCCATGAGTCCGAGTCCCTGCTGCCCTCCTCCCCCTCCCCCTGCTGCTGTGCTGGGATGCCCTACTGTCCGTTCCCATTCGTCTAGATCGCGAAGTAACTCGGTCCGCTTTTTGGGTCGCGAAGAGTCGCAGTTGGCGTTCCAAAGCGTGATCCACTCCTTGTGGCGCTTCTCCAAGAGCTGGCGAGAACCGTGGGTGGAGAGGCCGAGCTCGGAGAGTTTCTTGCGCAGGGCGGTGTCGCGCAGCATGGAGTAGGCTAGGGCGGGGAGTCGTTCGGGTGGTTTTTGGTTTTGGTTGGCGGTGGTGACTTGAGATGTGAGGCGGGTGTTGAAGGATGGAAAGGTCGATGGCTGTGATGTTTGAGCGGGGATCGGTCGTCGTTTGGATGCGGCCTGAGGAGAACCGGGACAAGAGGTGTCGAGGTGGCGATCAACTTGTTGTTCTTTCATGCGGGTGAGGCAGATGGGGCAGGCTACTAGGCCGTCGTCTGGTTGGGAATTAGTGATGATGATGATGGAAGTGGGAGGAGGAGATGAGGGGGACGAACCGGGTGGTTGGTCGACGTAATCTGGGTCGGCTGCGAATGTGGTCTCCTCCTCTTCTTGTAGTATTGCTGCTGTCAACTCGGCCACTCGGGCTCTTGTTGATCTGGTTGACCTCCTCGGCCTCTTGGTTTCTGGGTCCTCCTCTTTCGGCCCCTCCAATTCGGTCGCCTTTCGTTTTGATGGTGAACTGGGGCCTGCTTGGCCTGTGGGTGCCGCTTGGGTGGTCGGTGGTGCCCTAGCAAACTCGAGAAGGACTTTACGGGAGTTCTTGAAGGCTTCTACGGCTTCGCGCAAAGCCCAGTTGCCTCTGAGCTTGGATTCCTGGTCGGTGGCGCGACAGAGCGGGCACTTGCTGTCGACGGACAGACATCTTCGGATGCACAAGGAGCAAAAGGTGTGATTGCAGGATGTGAGCATGGGAGAGTCGTAAAAGTCCTTGCATACGTGACAGCGGAAAGCCTGCTCGACGGGCATCAGGCATGCGAGGGGCGTGCCCAGCCAGTCGGTCGAGTCGGGGACGTTGAAGGCTTCATCGCCAAAGACGTCCATGATGATGTCGGTTGTACTGAAGGGTATCCGAATGCTTTGTTGGTTCTACCTGGGAGTATTGTAGAAGAGACGGAAGATGTGAGACGCGATGTCTGCAAGTCGGACGAGGCTGGTCGCGACTTTCTCGAGCGAGGAGGAGAATTCCATTACACTGTATTTACACAATCTGGCCGAGGGTTTGATCTCTCCATGACGGTATTGATTGTAACCACGATACGGTAATGACAGGGCCTGCACGTGAATTGGCGACGGGCAGGCGTGCAGCGGGTGTTCTGGGGGCCTTTTTCCAGGCACAGCCCAGACTAATCCCTTTTGGGCATCAATCAAAACAAAGACTGGAGCGGATTGGGTAACAATTGAAACCACTGCAAGACAAGGGAATTTGCTCCGGCAACGGTCAAGTCTCCGAACGACGGATCCCTCGCTTTTTACTTGGTTGAATGACTTTGACTTTCACCTTGTTCAGTTGCTTTGACTCGATCGTCGCAATCCCGTCATCCCTCCGACAACCACCATTAACACACATCACCAGCCTCGTCGCCCACCTCCCTCTCTTGGACCAACTAATTATACCAATCAATGCTTTGAACATCTCACTTGTTGCCATTCCTTTCTGTTTCAATCATTGCTTGGAGTTTTTAGCTTTCCCCACATCCCCAAATCCGGTTTGTTGACTTTTGGCGCCAAAGTAAACAAACAGCAAAAATGGCGATGCGCAAGGCACCACGTCTGCCCGTCGGCTCGGCAGCGTGGGTTGCAGAAGAGCGCGCATCGGCGCTCAAGGTGGCAGAGGAGGAAGTCGAAGAGTTTTCGTATGCTGCGCGCAACGAGATGGACTGGCTGAACGAGCACATGGAGGATATCTTCTTGGGCGAGAACCAAATGTGCGTGTCTTTGTTTTATTTCTCTCTCTTTGTCTCGCTGACCAGGAACAGGAACATTGCCGAAATCTTCAAAACACCAGCACGGCCACGAGGCAAGACACCGCGAACCATTCGCAAAGGGCCCAATACCGAAGTGAGAGTGGTAAGCATCCAGACAGCGCCCATTCTTCTGCGACACAAAGATTGATTGATGTTGTTCTAACCCATAGCAGCCCTTGGCCAGCATCTTCTCGGCAACACCCCAGGGGACACCTAACCCTTTCGTCCTCGCGCCGCCCGCCAATAACTCGTCATGGACGCCCAAGATCAGGCCCGATACGCCGGAAGCCCATGTCGAAGCTGATGACGAAGCCGATGTCGACCCCAAGAATCCCACAACTCCCTCGACGCGCCGTGTGAGCCCCCGAAAATCAGCTGCCGCAAAGTCGCCAAGCCCAGTCAAGAGCGTCGCCGCGCCATCACGACAGCCGAGCCCAGTCAACACCACGCCCATGCGACCACCCGCAAGTCCAGCAAAGCCAGTCGCTGCCACCCCGTCCAAAGTCAGAAGCCCAATCAAACATCTCAATGGCTCCCCCCTACCAATTCTTTCCAAGTCGCCTACCCCGGTCAAGGCCACCGACTCCGGATACTATGGCAGTCAGCAGCTGGATATTATGGATGTGGACGAGGTCGACAAGGTTGCCGATGCCGATGCCGATGTCGATGTCGATATGGGAGAACCAGCACACGAGCCGACCATGGAACTCACTCAGCAGTCAGCGCAGGAGCTACCACAACAACAACAACAACCTCCGCAAGAGCCCACACAGGAGCAGACAGAGGGATCAATACAGCCGTCAAATGAGCTCAACCAGGAACCGACGCAGGAGGAACCAGAGCAGCAGGAGATAGAGTCACAGGATCTGGGAGTGCAGCCAGCCCCCACCGAGCCGGAGCAACACGCCAGTCCCGGATTACAGGAGACGGCCGAACTACTACGAACCACAACACCTTCAGATGAACCTGTTGAGCCTATCGTTCAATACCCACGACTTCTCTCGCCCGTACTGGATGTGGCTAGGTCTAGTAGCCCAGTCCACATGCTCATTCCGTCGCCCACCAGGTCTATCCATGCGCCCTCCCCCAAAAGGCTGCCTCGCCAGTTAAGGCCCCCTCGCCTCAGAAGCTCGCATCGCCAGAAAAGCGCCTTTCCCCCGAGAAGAGGATTTCCCCGGTCAAGGTGGCCTCCCCCCAGAAGGCTCCTTCACCAGAAAAGATTCCCTCCCCCGAGAAGACTTTGGAGCTTGAAAAGGAGGAATCACCTGTGGATAGCGCTCCCGTCCTGTCACCAAAAAAGAGATCGCCAGAGACAGAGCCAGTTACTGAACGGCAACCCAAGACTCCGGCGCCCTTTGTACACGCCCAGTCAGCGAATGATCATGCGGACGATCAAGCGGACGACAAGGTGGACGATGACGCCAACTCGTCCATGGAAGCCTCTAGCCCCATTAGCCCGGTTAAGCGCCTGAGCAGTCTGAACTTTGCATCACTTCCCGCACGCGAGCCGATGACCTCTAAGAAGAGCCTCGGTACTAGGATGTCGAGGACGAGCCATGTCGACGTAACGCGAACCTCCTTCTACCATCGCCAGACGGGAGGAAAGAGTCTTGGCCATACTACCCGACAGGATTTCGATGATGACGACGATGAGATGGACATTGATGGTGATCACACTCAGGAACCCAGGACTGCCAAATCATACACGCAGCGACTGCAGGATCAGATCAACATGCTGGGCAAGGGACAGTCAATGGGACCGAGACCATCGAAATCGATAGCCCACCTCTTGCCGACACAACAACCCGCATCCACTTCACAGGCACCAATGACACAGCCCGTTCCGGAGCCCACCAGATCCTCACCCAAGAAGCCACCCGTGGTTACTCCTAGGGCATTTCCCACACCGGGAGCATTCCCGCTGGACGATGATGATGACTGGATTGGACCTCCTAGCAAGGGAGCGGATATGTCTACCCCCATGGTGTGGAACGCGCGCAAAGACACACGGTTAAGTCAGCCAATGGAAGGAATGAACTTATTCGCAAGGGAGGCATCCCCGACCCTTGGAGAGTCCTTCATGGAGAACAGGCACGAGTCACCAAGTAAAGCGCCCATCATCCAGGAACCACCTGCTGCGTCTTCCTCAACAACACATGTCAAATCGGCTTCTGTTCCCACGCTACCCAGTTTGCTCGAGCCTCCCGTGCCAAAAACCGCCAGCCCCACGAAAGAGGCATCTGTCTCTACTTCCAACCTCCCCGAAATGCCAGCGCACGAGCCTGCTTCGCCCTTCAAGTCCCCCTCCAAGGCATTCCGCGAGAACACGCTGGAGAGGGTCAAGAACAAGTTTTCCTCCCTTATGAAATCATCCAAGGGACTTCTCCCGACCAGTGCACATTCGAATGCCGAAGCAAAACTGACTGGGCTCTTCACGACCCCCTCAACCGCTCGACTGGAAGAACACCCCAGTTTATCCGAAGCTTCCTTCAAGACAGCCGATAATGTCGTCTATCCTGATCTATCTCACCATGCACAGGCCGAGGCCCCCGTAGCCGCCACCCCCATCCGACCCACGAGAAAAACCCGAGCGTCGACCGAGAGGGAACGAAAGGAGGCAGAGGAAAGGGAGAAGGAAAAGAAGAGGGAAGAGAAGGAGGCCAAGCAATATGCCAAGACATATGCCAAGCAGAATGAGAAGCTGGAGAAGATGCGCGAGAAGGAAGCGGAAAAGGCCCGTCTCTTCCAACAAGAGCAAGAGAGACAGGCAGAGATGGAGAGACGCGCTGCTGAACAGAGGGAGCAGGAACAACAACACAAGCTTACCAAGGCACGACCGCAGTCCAAGCAGCTGTTCGAGACACCAGGACCTTCAAAATCGGCACCCAAGAGCCCCAAGAAAGCTACTCGGACTAGTCTTCGCAGAGGAGCCAAGCAGGGTGAAGCCGAAAAGGAGGAAGCCGATGTCGATATGGGAGACGTTACTATCTCCACGAAGGCACCTCAATCGATTCCTCGACCTCCATCTGCTCAAGCCTCCCGTGGCACGGGTATCAAGCGACCTATTAGACCCACGAAGGAGGCATTGACGAGGGCCAAGCCCGCCCCGACTCGCATCCGCGTCAACACCACCAGCTCTCAGCAGGGAGCGTTCCACACTTCGACCAACAGTGTTCTCAGCACCACCAGCCAGGAGAGCCTGGGTCAGTCGCACGGAAGGCAGCAACTTGTGAGCAAGGCCAGCACGTCTTCGCTCACCAAGAAGCCTTCCCTTCAGAGTCTTAAGGGGTCTTATTCTTCGACTGTCGGGCGGCCCAAAGCGTTGGAGCTGGCGGCCAAACAAAAGGAGCAAGAGGAGCGCGAGATCCAGCGCAGGCGTGATCAGAAGGCGGAAAATGAGCGCAAGAGGGCTGAGATGAAGGAGGAAGAGCAGCGCAAGCAAGCTGCGGCAGCTAAGAAGGCCGCGATTGAGCAAGCCAAACGGACCCGTGCGCCGCCCCCGCCGCCGAGGTCCCAGCCTAATGGCCCTCCGGATCACTTGGCGGAGAGTAGGCAACCTTCGAGACCTAATTCTCGTCTTGGGCCGACGCTGCACGATAGCCGACCAGTCAATGCTGTGCTGGGCAAGGCGGCTTCCAAGCGTCCGTTGACGCAGGTGCAAGAGGCCCATCAGGATTCGAAGCGGATTCGCGTGTCTGAGGACTTTGATGCGGATATCGAGATGGCCGAGGGTAACACCAAGCAGCAGAGGAGCATCAGAGGGGCGCCCGTTCGACCTTCTGCAGTCCGGCCTTCGGGTGTGAGGCCGTCGGCAGCCGTTAGACAACCCTCGGTTGGGTTCAAGAAGGATTTGTCGACTACTACCACGACAGGCAAGTCGATTTTCGCCTCGAACTATACCAACGTACCACACGCCCCTCCCCCTCCTTCGCGGACAGTCGACCTCTTCAAAAAGACCACCGTCAACCAAATCAAGACGGGCCACGCACTGGACACGGCCCAATTCCAAAAGGGCAACCACATCCCCTTTGCCTCCAACCCCAACGGCGCCGGTCCTTCCGCTGCTGCTCAGGCCGGATCGTCCCGCCATCCGCTCCAAACCCCAGCGCGTCCGGGTGCTACTGCCGCCCGCGCCCTGGCCCTCACATCCGCCACCAAACCCACCCGCACCTCCCCCCGCCTCGCCGCCATCGCCGCCGGCGACTCCATCGAGCTCCCTGAGATCCAAACGGACGACGAAGACGGGGTCGACACGCCCCGTCCATCCACCTCCAACCCCAACCTCCGCTCTTCGCTGAATGGTGGCAACTGGACCGACAGCCCTTACCTTAAGGCGCAGCTTTTGGCACAAGAGCAGCTCGACCCGATGGTCATCTTTGGACCTCCTGCTCCGCTGAACATGGAGGAGGTGTTTAGCAAGGATAAGAGCAGACATCATCGGTTCAGGGCCAGAACGAGCAGCGCGAATTGGGAAGGGCAGGATCGGTTGACGGAGGAGGAGGTGTGTAGGGATCGGGAGGCGAGGGAGAGGATGAGGAAGGAGGGAGGATGGAGTTGGGGGTTGGGAAGGACTTTGGGGTAATGATAATGGAGTATGACAGGGGGGAAAGTTGTATTGACTATTCTTTTGCACATATTCAGTGTTGGAGTTGGCTACCTCTATGGGCTTCTTTACCAGCAGCGTTAACTCCCGGATGAGAAGGCTGCGGTATTGGAATGGAAGGGAAAGGGTATAGCATTTCTTTCTTCTAGGCTGAGAATTGGTTCATGTTCATTATGGAGGGTTGAAAGATGGCTCTTTGCATAGATGTTAGGTTAGGACTAGGGATCTGTATCGTGGCATTCATGAAGGCCATTACCTAGGTTTTACCGGGCCATGAAAACGGAGGTTTAGCTTATGGTTACTTTAGTGTATGAACAGTGAGGTTTTTACACACATTTGATTCAACCCAAACATCCGAATTGTTGATACAGCCGGCCAACATCATCAAGGTACCTTACTATACGATAGGAAACAAATACCAAAGAGACAAGGACACCACTTCCCCTCCTTACCATTCAGCATTTACTCCCACTCACCCAATACCTACACAATCACGTCAAAGGCGGCGCCTCTGGATCCTCCATGCACTGATCAACCCTCATCAACCGCTTGCCACTCGCCCTGGCAAGCTGTATAAACTCCTCCAAATACCCCACCGTGCTCTCATACAAATAATGCATCACCACCAAGTTTCCCCCTGCTTTCAAATCTCTTTTAAACGCCTCGAGCTGTTTCTCGGGCGTCTCGCTCTCCGCCCACAACCAATCCTCCACATCGACACTCCAGCCCACTATATACGCTTTTTCATTTCCCAAGTTTTCAACCAACCGCTGCCGCATCCTCGCCCCTTCAGTCCCAAACGGCGGCCGAAAATACGGACTGATTTTCGATGAAGGGAAAGTCTGTCTCACTGCCCCTATATCATTTTGGTATTCCCAATCTATATCAGCGATAGTAGGTAGTCCCTCCATTTTCGGATGGGTATACGAATGTAAAGCGATTTGGTGTCCTTTGGATGCCATGTCGCGGTAGATTTTGGATAGGTTCGTGGACGGGTCTAGAAGGGGTAGGCCCACCGTGAAGAAAGTTACGGGGATTTGGGCGGCTTCGACGATGGACATGACGCGGGGAGCGAGGTGCGGGTCGCCGTCGTCGATGGCGAAGGCGAAGGAGTTGGGGCGCGTGCATGCGAAGACGAGAGTGCCGGAGGGGAGTTTGTGCGGGATGGAAATACCTGAGGGGATGGAAGGGATGATTTCGAGGAGGGTGATGGTTGTTGATTCGGAGGGAGAGAAAAAGCCGCGGAGGTTGAAGCCGATGGTGCGGGTTAGGTTGATGTGGAAGTGGGAGATGGGGATGTAGATGTCGGATTTACCTTTGGTGGTGATGAAGGAGTAGCGCGCGGCTTCGAGCGAGTCCCAGGTTTCTGGGTAGGGTTTGATGGAGTCGTCGCAGTGGGCATTGTGTTGTTGGAGGGCAATCGAGAACTTGTTGCTCCCACTGTAGGCGACGTGCAGGTAGGCGGTGGAATAGGACGTCATGTCAAAGCAGGTGCTTGCCAGCTGCGTGTTCCAGCCCAGGTCAGAGTCGTTGGTGCGGATGGTAATGGAGTTCTTGCCAAAGGTGACTGTCATGCCGTCGTCGCCACCGTGCCACTGGCCGAGATTGTTGGTGTCCTTGTTGGCGAAGGTGTCAATGACAAAGGGCTTGGCGTTGGAGGAAGGGGCCGGCACGGTCGGGGACGCGCCCGTGTTGGCAGGCGGCGGGAGCGAAGGGAGGATGTATTCGGAGGCGGTGCTGCCGCAGTAGAAGGACATGGGCCCGAGGATCACGGCGGCGGTGAAGGACGAAAAGTAGATCATATCGAGCTTTGTCGTGTCCAGGCCGGTGAAGACGGAAAAGGGAAACCAGTAGAGTCGCTCGGTGCCGTCAAAGGTCCATTTGAGCTGCGTGGACGTCATGGACATGGTCTTGCGCCCGGTGCTGGAGCCGCAGGTTGCGAAATAGGACATTTGTACGGCAAAGGTGGTGCCGCGTGCGGCGCGGATGCGGAAGGAGATGCCGCCGTACTTGTCGTTAGTGTTCAGGCAGCCGAATTGACTGTAAAAGTACGACTCTTGGTTCTTGGGGGTCAGCAGGACGCGGTGGTTACTGACCACGATGGAGGACATGGTGCCATCATCGCTCGAGGCTTGGTTCATGGCATTGTACCCCAGGAAGGTCAGGCGGGATTGTGATTCCCAGTCATCAATCAGCAAGTTCGAGCAGGCAGTAGCTGTCGAACTGGCGGATGACCTGGTGACCGTTGTGATGACGGAGCGGGTGGTGGAGGTTGGTACTACGGAACGGGTGGTGGAAGAGGCTGCTGAAGTCGTTAGTGGTCATCGCCAAAAAGGGGGTGGAAAAGATATACGTGTAGTCGTAGGGGCAGCTGTGGTGGTTGGAGCAGCCACAGTTCCGCAAGTCAGCTTGATGTTGCCGACGGACCAGATGGCATTCGTCTGAGAGAACTCGGACCATACAAGCCCAACGATAGCATCATAGTTTGGAGCGTTGTCAAAGCCCAGCAGTGGCAAGTCAATGGTCTGCTGGCTCCCCGTCAAGCTGCTGATGACATTGTAGGAGCTGGTGTAATTGCCTGTGTCACTGGCGTTGCAACTCGCAGATGTCTGTAGCTCGAATGCAACCGACCCTCCAGCTGGCCCCTGAAGAGTGAACTGGATTCCGCCATAACCAAGGGTGACGGCTTGCTGGCATGAAAAGGATTCGTAAAAGTACGATCCGCCGTCCTTGGGAATGAACTGAACCTTGCCCGCAGCGGCAGCGATTGAGGTCATGGATCCATCGTCTGTTTGTGTTAGTTACAGTTTTCTTTGTTTGGTTTTGCATGCGAGAGTGACTGACCTCCATTGGGCCAATTCAGATTGTTTGTTCCCTCAACCCATTTAGAAAAGTCGTCGATGAGAAGGTCGGTGCAGGCAGCGGTGACCGTGGTGATGGCCAACAGACCAGAAACCACAGTTGCAAGATAACGATCGAGCAACATGGCAGTCAATTCTCCGAAGATTGGTGCTACAATCCATTCTGGTGATATAGGCCATGACTGCGTGCAGTGAGTTATATGTGTTTTGGGATCTGATGGTCGAGAAGCATAAGGACATGGGCCGGCCGTTCTGTTCAGGAGTGATCAACCACGAGGATGCAATATTACCCGACTGGGGCGCGTGTCACTCGAATTGCCATGGCTTCCGCGACCGTTGTATGAGATATTGCTAAGAAGAGAACATCCATATGGGATTACGCAACCAACGCCCGAGGTTGGGTAAATGGAGTGCGGAGACGAGAGTGAAAAATCCCACACGTGCAATGCAGTGTTCCGCGGTTCATGTGGCACCACTGCCCATGGTAAACCAGGAACCGGCCAGCTCGTGTATGCTATGTAACAACAAGGTAGTAGTAGATGAGCTGAACAGCTCTTCCTGTACCTGCAAGTCTCAGCTTGGGAACTGGATGTTGTGTTCGTTTTTGATACCGATAACATGGTGTAATCGAGCACTTTCGACCCGAAGTTTAAGCCACTCGGCTCAAGAAGCATATTGGACCCGGAGTGCGTTTTCTAGCTTCAGTCGGTTGGTGGCGAGGCTGGTGAAGGATGAGGTCCGATGCAAGGCCCGGTGAGCGGAAAGTTACATGAGCACCCGAATGGAGGTGACATGTTTAGCCTCCAGAAAGATGAGGATCTAGTATATGGCACGGGAAATGGGTAGGATTCAATCCGCGGAAAAGAAGAGTAATGAGGGCATTTTCATATACCAAAGAGGGGAACGTTTTCGGCAGTCATGTTCCAGGAGATTGATGAGGTTGAGATTGAGGTGTTCTTGGCTTGCAGCCGGGGGTAGCATTGCGGTGATGGAGGCTGGCGGAGATCAGGTACCATGTCGGATCGAGCCGTTGTTGGCTCGGTTTTCCGTAAAGGCCACAACAACATGGCAGTCAACGTTACCTCTGGCTGGCCACCAACCGGAACATTCAGCCGAGATGGCTAATAATGATGACCCGCCGTCTGTGAGTGAGTGTGTCCGTGTCATTGTCGCCATGGAAGCAAGTTGTCAACAGGCGTCACCGTATTCCGCAAATCGGATAATGCTTGAACGTGGGTGGGGCTGCCATTGTTTACTTTGTTCAGGGGAAGGATGAAGGACGTCGTGGGTGTCATCCCAAGCTCCACGTGATGGCTTGGTGTACAGTAGTATTCTGGCATAAGAGGATAGGAAAACACAGATGGAAGCACAGACCACCGAGACGTCAGATGGCGGAGGACGCGGAGCCCCGAAGATTAACGTCGCTTTCAGGGCCACGGTACGGCGCCGACTGATCTCACTGTTCCTCCCGTCGTTTCCACACACTGTCCCGTCCCCGTCCATCTTCCGCAGGCCGTCACAAGTCCAGCCGCTTGCTGCCGCCGTAACCTTGCTTACGCCGATACCTCTACCGCGCTCCACGCCGGACACCCGACGGATACCTCCACCACTCCCTGCTACTAGTATCTGTCCACTACAGTAGTCTACGGGCTTGGCTTACAGCGACACTTTGTTGTCGTCGTCACCCGTAATTACAACCACCTTACAGCAACCACCAACGTACCTTGCATAGCTGATTCACCACCTACGCCGACCCCGACATATTATTCACAGCAAGGCATACACTCCACTCCTTCATGCAGTCCGCCAACAATGCGCCGCCCCCCAACGACCCCCTCGCGTCGCTGCCCATGGCCAACCCCACCATGAAGCCCCTGCCCTCCAAGCAACGGGGACAGCCGCTGGTCCTCGACTCCCGCTCCCATTCCCAGCCCGAAGCCCAGCCGACCACGCCTGTCCGCGAACGCCGAACGAACCCCTCGGCTGCCTCCCTGTTCAGGTCGACACTCACACCACCGGGCTCCCGCTCCGGGTCACCAGCACCCATGGGGTCCCCAGCCCGCAGCCTGACCGGCTCCGTCTTTGGTAGCGGCGGCTTCAAGCAGTCTCTCCTCGACACCGCGGCCGCCGAGAACCCGGGCGATCCTCTCAACCTGATCCTCAAGAGCTTCGTCCCCCACATTGCCATCCACGACTCGGAAGATGTCGAACATTTGGTCAAGGAAAAGGGCTTCAAAGGAGGGCTGTTTGAGCTGCTCCGCCCGTTCGGAGAGCGCGTTCAGGGAAGGGTTACCATTCGCGACAGCAACGGGGCCTCGCGCACGTGGGACGACTTTTCAGTCCGATTTACACGCTTCGGCGAAGCGGTCGAGGATCCAGATACGCTGCCAGATCCCCGGTCACTGAGGGGACCTCCACCGAACGGACAACCACACTACAACATGCCGAGGAAGAAGACAAGCTTGGTTCAACAGGTCGAACAAGTGGTGGAGAAGCACTTGGGCTTCGCAGAGGAGGCAAGCATGGGGGCAGCAACACCGACGACGCCCACAAGGCAAGGTCTCGACACGGACACTACGTCGCCCTACTACGCACTCTACCTCCGACGGCTACTATCCGGTATTCCCATGGCCTCTCACGAAACGTTCTCTCATCCGGTCGCCTGCGTAATCGCCATCAGCTCGCGACATCCCGCCCCCATCGAAGCCCTCCGGCAACTATACAGCGAAACTACGCCCGCCGAGCAGCGAATACCACCGTGGGTCGATGGGGACTTCTTGCGCTACTATGTGCTCGTACACGACGAAGAACGCAGCGACATCACCAAGTCCATGCAGCTGTTTGACCAAATGAAGCGCCACTTTGGCCTACACTGCCACCTACTCCGCATCCGCTCCTCCCAAGCCGCCGAGACCGACGACGACAGCATCCCGCTCCCCCGCTCCGACTGGATGTCCGCCTCCGAAGAGCTCGCCGACATCGAACGGTCCGAACAGCTCCAAGACTCCTTCGACGACGACCCGCACCTCTTTAACCGGTACATCTTCGAGTCCGACGCTACCGCCATTCGCACCTTTATCCGCGAAATGGTCATACAATCGATCATCCCGACTATGGAGCGCAATGTCTCGCTATGGAACGATCAAGTCGCTTCCCGGCGTCGCGGTATCTCTGGGCGGTTCATGTCCTTGTCGAAACGCTTCACAGTCTTTGGCTCCTCTTCATCCTCCTCGCGCAGCTCCACCAGCAGTTCAAACAACGGTTTCGAGACTCTAGGTTACTACCGCCCCGACACGCCCGAAGCCATCATGCGCCGGCTTGCCGACTTTGCCTTTACGCTGCGCGACTGGAAGCTGGCCATGTCCACTTACGACTTGCTGAGGACCGACTTCCAAAACGACAAAGCGTGGAAGTACCACGCCTCAGCCAACGAAATGGCCGCCTTGTCTCTGCTTATCATGCCGCAGACCATGTCCTCCAAGAACCGAGTGGAAATCATCAACCCCATGGTCGAACAGGCTCTCTATTCTTACCACACGCGCTGCTCATCTCTTTACGGGGCCGTCCGGTCCACCCTCCTTTCTTTGGAGCTCCTCCGACTACGCGGCGGCATCGGAATAGATGAATCCGTCCGCTGGGGCACCCGCCTTCTCGAAATGCGACTTTTCGGTCCCGTTGGCGACGCCTTGCTCCGTGAACGACTCGCAGTTTGCTATGCCTCTAAGCGAGGCACCGGTTCCCAGCTCTGGGGCAGCAGGAGACGCAAGTCAGCCATGTGGAGTGTGCTTGCCGCCCAGGCGTGGGTTAGCATGGGCAAGTACTTGCAGGCGCAAAGATGTTTGGCTGATGCGAGGAGGATGTACTCTTTACTGCCAAGCGAGTGGGGCGTGCAAGGTTTCAACGGAGCGAGCGAGTGTCTGGCGGGATTGAACGAGGCAGTTAGAGAGGGGTTGAGGGTAACGAGGGAGTACGCCGAGGCGTTGGAGGCTGAGGGGGGACATTCCCAGGGCGGTGGTAACAGAGAAGGAGAAGGGGAAGAGGGATTGGGGCTGGGATTGCAGTTCGACGAAAGCAGCAACCTCACGATCCGACCCAAGGCCGACGACCAGACAACAGCAGCTACCGACCACAACAACAACGCGCAGACGGAAATGGACGTGGACGTGGACGTGGAGCAAAGCGGGTTCAACGGACAGTCATCACAATTACCATCACGACCGCCGCAAATACCAACGCCCACCGCGTCTTCCAAGTCCCCAACACCGGAAACAACACGAGGGGGTGATGAACAGCCAGAAGGCTTCGAAGATGCGACTCCCACCAGTGGGCCCAGTAGCGGACATAGTCCGACCCGACCGCGAAAGGCAAGCATGGCCGTCCGAACATCCAGGGTGTTATCGGCTGCGGACCTGGAGCCAGCAGCGCCGCTGCCGCCGTTAATTCCGGCGAGGCTGGCGAGCACGAGCGGGAGGGATGAGAATAAGAGTAAAGATGGGAAGGACGGTGGGTTTGGTTAACAGGAGTCTGTTTTTTTTTTTTGTAGAGGTGAATGGGAGACGGACGGGGACAGGCATAGGAAGACACATTAGACGGCAGCAGCAGCAGCAGGCTTGTTTAGCAACAACAAAAAGTATATGAATAGTAATGACGAATGGCTAAACGGGTTAGAGTAATGAATGGTATGCATCATTGTCTGATTGTCGTCCAATTGGGGTATCTTTTTGACTGTCTTCCCATCTTCCCTTTTCCACATCTTCCCTTTTCCCATCTCCTCTCCCTTCCTTCCATTTTCCCATCTCCCCCCTTTCCATCTTCCCTTCCGTGTATCTCCCCCCTCCCCCTTTTCCCTGCTTTCATTCAAAAAGAATGAACCCGTTCCGCAAACCCAACCCACTCCTCCACCCCCCTCACATACGCATCCCCTCCCGCATCCGCCAAATGCTCATGTCCCCAAACCACCACCTCCTCAAACTCCGCTTGGACTTCCATCGCCCCTCCCACTTGCACTTGCACTTCCGGTTCTTGCCCCCCACTCCCAGCTTCAGAATCGAGGTCGATGACTTCCGGTTCATCATTCTCCATGACAAAAGACATTTCATGCGCTAGCCTTGGTTTTTGATTTGTGGTTTGTTGCTTAGGGGAGACCTTGGAAGCAACTACACCCTTGTATCCTTCTGGTAGAGGGAGGGTCTTGCCGTGGAGTTTGCGGCCGCGGAAGTAGGCTATTTTGAGATTACCATCTTAGGTGAGGGTGTTAGTTTCAGGGTCACTGGGTACTGGGAAGAAACAGGTAGAGTGGGAGTGAGAAGTACCTTGTTCATGATGAGGGCTCCAAAACGAGTCGGTAGGTTCTACGGACCCGGAGTGGTGGATGCGGCAGGGGAGGAGGTTGGGTGTGGTTTTTGGTGGGGAGTTGGAGGAGGATGTGAAAGCGAGGATGGGTTGTTGGGTCATTTTGATTGGGTGTTTTGTTATTTTGGAGAATTTCACTGAGCTGGGTTTGTTGTTGAATGTTCGGGAAGTTCGTGAGGTGGTTTTTACAGAGTGATGAAGTTGATGGTTGGTGATGAATGAATGAGTGAGACGCGAATGTTGAAGTGGAAAACGCGACGGATGAGGATCAAATGCAGGGGAACAAACGCACGGATCACTACTTGCGTTTAGTAACATGGACATACCCGTGCCCTGAAATGGCCAACCAAGATCGAGCCCGTTAAAATGACTGTGTCCCATGTTTAAACGACTGTCCCTGAACAGGCATCTAAATTCATCGAACTTCGAACTGCCCTTCTTTCTAGACTGAGTTCCTCCTTCTCTTTACATCTTCTACAAACAACAACTTGAAGAATTAACCACATTTTCCATCGTATTTCCCCTCATCACTGTACAATCTCTACAATCTGTCAATAACCTCATCATAAGCTTCTATAATAGGCCTGTAGAGTAGGTCCGGGTTTCCTTCGGGTGTTCCCAAGAGCATTCGTCCCTTTGAATCATACGGGGCAAAAAGAATCTTCCTGATACGGAAACAAAGCGGTTTCACAGGGTCCAACGACTTTGGGAATTGATCCATCAGGTCTCCAAGCGTATCTTGAGACGACATGTCACCTCTCTTATTCAAAGCAATATTCTTCAAATTGCCGTTTTCCCATCGATCAAGAAAGCTCTTCCCAGGGGTTTGCTCGTTTTTGCCGGAAAATCTGTTATGCCACGATTGGCGCGCACACATCCAAAGTAGGACGTAGAAGAACGATTCGAGGTCGCGACGGTAGGTGTGGTCCATATTGCGCAATACTTCAATCGCCATAAACGGGAGTGTATCATTTATTGGTTGTCCGCTCGGGTCCTGGTCGTCCTCCTGAACCTTGGCCGCCATGTTCAGCATGCCCTTGAGGCCATTTGTGATGCTGGGGTCCGTTATGATGATGTTGTCTGGAGAGATATTACAGTGCAGAATGTTGCGGGTGAGGTAGAGATATCGGTGCGCCTTGATTGCATCTCGCATCGATTCCAGCAGTTGCTTGACTGTACGAAACCTGCTGATAACATGCCCGGCTGGTGGGCTGACGAGGCAGTTATAGATTTTCTCTTCCCATAGGTCTTTGTCCTTGTTTGTCAACGGCGGTAGCTGGATGCCCCAACTCGAGTTGATATCAACAGGCGTTTGTGAGATGGTGGCGCGGGGGTCGAGGAGACGAAGGACGGCAGCCCAAATGGCATTGTCGTTGGTATTGTCGTCAACGACAACTCGGACGAGAGGGCGAAATAAGTCGAGATTTGCTGTCTTCTTCCCGTCTCGAACTTCCATTCGCATGCACAGTAGTCGTAGTATGCCATCGTCGAGAATGAGAATTTCACAGCCTGCTGAAGAACCGCAAAGCGCCTGTATAAGGTCTGCGATATTTTTTCGATGCGTCTTGTCGGCTTCGTTAGAGTCGCGCAGTTTCTCGCGAACGCTGTCAAGAGTACGGCCGAGCGGATTTTTTGCAATAATCTTCTTCTGTTGCTCTGAAAGGGGACAGAGAGAGCTGATATGGGCGATGGATCCTGGCTTTCTTGGAGAACTGTGCGATAGAAGCCATGATTAGTGTGGTGTTTAGAGCTTTACTGCATATCGTCCAGTCTTCAAGGCCTTGAGGGGACGGAAAGAGGCATAACAGGAAACAAATAAGAGGCTTCTGCCGTGTCACACGCCGTTGCCATTGTCCCATGTCGCTTCCGACGGAGGACAGTTTCTCTCTTTATCCCACGTGTTGATGATGATGTGACTCGAGACCTGGAGTGCAACTCACCTTGAGATCGGTCGGGTTCTTGATGTTGAAAACCCCGCGATTTGAACCCTGATGGCCGTGAATCTGAACATGTCGCTAGACTTGGCGCTTGCTTCTCTAAGGAGAGACTGCATCGCGATTCGCGAGTTTGGTGTTCGTTGAATAGCCGAGTCTGTTAGCGGGACTGGGTTCTAACCAACTGTGTACCTTGGGCCTGCGTCAGGACAGTCAGTATCAGGGTTGGCGGTTAGGGTCAGTTGGTGTTAGATCCAGGGTTCAGATACCGGCGAGAGACTCCCGCGTAGGTGTGAATGATGATTTGGCCTTGGGAAGACGTCGGGTGGATTTACGCTCTGGATGTCGTGGTTTCAAATGATGATTCTGGTTTTGACTTTGGTGGTGACTGGTAGTGAGCGTGAAAGTCCGATACATTTGGGTGTTAAGAATGGGACACAGTCATTCTAACGGGTTGAATCGCAGCCTAGTAGGGAACGTGCTCAACCCCGTCAGCGACGAGAACTGGAGGGAGACACTCAATGATTACATGGTCGAGACCGGTCGCCTTGCTTGTCGCTGCTGCATGACCGTAATTGAAAGAGAAAGGCAGACAAATAAAGTCATTGTCGTCACACTGCGTGGTCAAAAAACAGCCATGTACAAGTCCACCACCCTCAACGCCTTCCTTCACTTTTCTTCCCCACGACACCACCTCTCAGGCAGTCTTCGCAGTGAAAAAAAAGAGAAAGTCAATCAGAGCTTGACTTGGGCTCAATTTGAGTAGCCAAAAATTATGGCCGGATCCCCTCCGAAGCAGAGATACATGACAGCAGACAACTCTCGCATATGCAGTGCACTGTTCATTGAGCTGCCGCCGCCATACTACGCAGGGATCTTGAGCTCCCGCGCAGTCAGCCTCTCTAAGTCGGCGTGGGGAGAAAAGGGAAAAAAGAGGAGAGGAAAAGTGAGAGGGGAGAGGGGGGTTATATAGCCTTTGGCTGGAGACTCGGGTTGATGAGGTGCAGTCGAGTGGCTGCAGTGATTTTGATTTCCTCGCCAAATGGCAAGCACGACATTTCCTTTGACTTCAGTACTTCCAGTTCCTGCTGATGGATTGAGCAGTTTGGAAAGGACGACTCGATGGTTAACAGACTCGGAGTGTCTGATCCGGGTTCGCCAGGCAAGTCTGATCATCGAATCTTGGCGGACCGCGCTTCGACACACATGACACTCTCAAAAGGTCGAGGAAGGAAGCCCCAACACACATTGTGGAAGGTATGGTGAGGACTCAAGTAAGAGCCTGGCTTGCCCGGTATTGTCCGTACAAGGTCAGCGAGCGGCGTAATCAGTACAGCTGAGGTCTTGCAAATCTCACAAGGACCAGTATGCCCTACGATCTTTCCTGTCTGATCCATTCAGTTCCAGGGGCATCAGCATACAGAGAATATCTACCACGGAGGTTCCCGTGATCCAATGTCTTTGGGGTTTCGAGTGATTGATAAGTATCGTCAGGTACCTGCCGCACCTGAGAGAGGTCGCTCTTGCGGTTTCAAGTTGCTCATCAGTCCTTCGGCTATGAAAGGCTTGCCGCAATCGCACCTGTAGCGACCAAAGTGGAAGTGACGCGGTCTCCCGTTTTTAAAAGTGCCTTCCGTATTCGCACAAGAAAGATTTTTCAAGTCTGGACCTTGGTTGGAGTCCTCACCGCCAATTGGAGACTCTCGAGGGGCAAAAGATTGCCGATTCACATCTCTGCCGGACGGCGCTACAAATAGTTGGATATCTCAGCACTTTTCAACACTTCACTTGACCATTTCCCATCCTATAGCATCGGCCGTGATAGCCTTGTTCATGCTCCTATACTCGTGATTCTCGTCTTCGGCCTCATCCTTCCGGGCCGACTCAAATTCTCCTATTGCCGTTGGCTGCGCTCCATTGTTGACCTGCCAATTGGACCTGACACTCTTTCGTCCCAACTCTTGCAAACCTGAAAGCCCCCTTTTCTGATCAATACCTGCGCAAGTTCGCGCGTCAGGCACAATAGCGCATCTACTATTCACTTGGTCTTGCAGCCTTCACTCCAGCCCAGACTCCAACCTTTTCTGGTGACTCAGATCAGCTCCCAACGCTTCCTCCTCGATACAAATTCTGCCAACTCCCAATCTCATAGCTTCTCAGGAACAGGATCCCGAAGAGGAGGCACTTCTCATCAACTTTCTCTCCCCCCTACTTGCACTAACGACCACCGGCCCTCTTCCAGGTACGAGTGGAACCAACCTGAGGCAGTCCACAAGCGCATCTATCCTCAACCAAATCACGAAAAAGCAGAAAGTCTCATGGATCACTTCGCAAGAGCCCTGGAGTCCAGAGAGATACACCCTCTACAACATCTTGCCAACATTCACGAAGGTCTCACGGAGATCATCTACCTGGGCACTGCGCACCTGCGCTACAAGCTAGGTAGCTTGACATGGGGTCCCGCCGTCCAGTTCGCCAAAGACATGGCCCAAACCACGTTCGCTTCCCTCAAAGTTGGCACCTTTCTTCTCGTTGACCAAGTGTCCGACGAGGTTTTTGTGCACGGCGAATCATTCGGCACTGGGCCTGACGAGCTCGGCAACCTCGTCCTCTGCCTCCGCCGCCCTTCCGAATCTGAGGACGAGCGCAAGGCCACCGATCTTCCTGGTGCGGAGCTGGTTGTGAAGAACGACGCGTTCTGGTTGCGACTACTTCTGTTCACCGACATGGGTTTTGCAGAGTCGTACATGCTCGGCGAGTTCGAGTGTGATGATCTGACGTCCTTCTTCCAATTATTCATCTTGAACCGTGAACAGCTGAACAACGGCACGACTTTGTTCTCTGGGTTATTTTCCCACATCGCCGGTCTCGCTCGCCTGGCAAATACCATGGACAATGCTCGTCTGAACATCGTCAGGCATTACGACGTCAGCAACGCCATGTTTGCTGCTTTTCTGTCGCCAGATATGATGTATTCGTGTCCCATCTGGAACCACACGATCAACAGTCGCACCAAACAGGAGGAGAGTCTGGAAAGTGCTCAGATGAGGAAGATCAACTATTTCATTGAAGCAGCCAAAATCAAGCGAACCGACCATGTCCTGGAATTTGGAACCGGCTGGGGCACCATGGCTATTGAAGCCGTGCGCCAGACAGGCTGCCGCGTCACGACTATAACCCTGTCACAGGAGCAAAAGACCTTCGCTGAGAGGAGGATCTGGGCAGCGGGGTTTTCGGACAAGATTGCAGTGCATCTGTTGGACTACCGAATGCTGCCTGACCCGGAGGTCCCCTACGACAAAATCATATCTTGCGAAATGATCGAGGCCGTGGGCGAAAAGTTTCTAGCCACGTTTTTCTCGCGCGTTGACAAGCTGCTGAAGAAAGACGGAGGGATTGCCGTGTTCCAGTGCATCACCATGCCGGAGGGACGACATAAAGGCTATTCGAAGCGTGAAGAGTGAGTCGTCGGTCCCTTGTGGGGTGTCTCATCAGCTAACGGCTGTAGCTTCATTAACCACTACATATTCCCTGGAGGATACCTCCCATCGGTCACGCAGTTGATCAACCACATCACGGCCGAGTCCAACGGAACGCTCATTGTCGAAAAGATCAAGAACATCGGCCCACATTATGTCAAGGCGCTGAGGCTGTGGAGGGAGGCCTTTATGGACAAGTTCGACAGCCGGATCGCGCCTGCTTTGATGGAGGATCATCCTGGCATGACGAAGACGGACGTTGAAGTGTTCAAGCGGAAGTGGGAGGTGAGTTATTCTTCCGGTGATTGGAGTTGACGAAGCTGACACATGGCCCAGTACTACTTTTCGTATAGTGAGGCCGGTTTCCTGACCAAGACGTTAGGAGACGTGATTATCACAGTTGGCAGGGAGGGTGCGCTTGAGCTGATGGAGGGTATTCCGTTGTGATCGTTACTGAGGATCGCAGTGCTGATGATTTTGCCTCCATTTTCGTGTACAGCAAAGCATTGTGGTAATCATGACCAGTAAGGAAAGGGCGGGTGTTGGTGATCGTTAGAGATGGTTTCGGGCAGCAACATATAGACCGCGGCATGGCATCTTGTGAGTTTTAGGCGTCCGTTTGCTAGTTTCACTCGGATTGTATGCGAAGCAAGAAAACGACGATCGATGTCAAGGACAAGATAGATTTTGCTTTCTGCTGTTTGATCAGTTGCTGATGAGAAGAGCTGAAGAAAGCAGGAATGGGTATACCTACACAAGAGAATCTGGGGATGCAAACATGATATCCAGGTAAAGGCGGATAGGCACCTTAGACCTAATAGACTCCTCCCTCCTTGCATCTCTTCACTTCTTGCCCTTCTTCTTCTTTCCTCCACCACCACCACCACCATTACCTCCTTTCTTGGCCTGCCCCTCCTCATACCGATTACTATTCTCCATATCAAAGCCATGCTTCTCCTTTCTAAACAACAACATGGCCACCCTCGCATCCTCCACACTACTATGCTGTCCCTGATGAATCTCGATGCCCAACACCTCCTTGGCCAACACCCGCAAACTTGGCTTCGGCCCATGTCCGTACTTACGAAAGCCAGTGTACTTGGCCGTATCCCTAATATCCCGATGCGGATGCTCAAACCCCAACACCTCCAAATCATGCTTGACATCATGACCCACCAATATCCGACCTTTCAAAAGGGCAGCCACAGTCGCTTGTACGGACTCAAACGACCTAGCGGACGCCATGTGGCGCTTGGAAATGCCTGATACGTGCGTGCGCCAGTCGGTTACGAAAGCAGTGGGGCGAACGTACGAGTCGTAAATTTGGTGCCCGTGGAAGTCGACGATGGAGCATCGCGCTAGGACACTGGTGACGCCGGAAGGACCGGTGCCGACCATTTCGCAGTCGATGGAGAGGTATTTGCCGAGCGTGTTGGATTTGGTTGCTTGCAGGATTAGAGCGAGGTCGGTGGTGGTGGAGGTGTCGAGTGTGAGACCGTTGGAGAGGGTGAGGGATGAGGGAAGGTCGGTTGGTAAGGGGAGGCCATTTTTGTTGCTTGGGGTGGAAGAGGTGGAAGAAGAAGAAGAAGAAGAAGAAGATTGGCCGGGGAGAGTGAGGCCTGCGTTGGGGATGGCGGGGGGGAGGGTGGAGAGGAGAGGGATGTGTGAAGATGAAGAGGAGGTGCTGCGGAGACCAAGGTTGTATGCTTCGGCGAGGGATTCAGAGGAGATGCCTTGTTCGTCGGCCCAGAGGTGGAGGGAGGGGAGGGTGCTGTTTGGAGAGGAGGAGGTGGTGGGCTTGGATTGGACGTTGCCGCCCATTTTTTCTTCTGTTGGTTTCTGGCTGGGTTGAGACTGGGTTTGGGACTTTTGTCTTTTTGGCTTCTTGGAAGGGTTGGAAATCTGTTGTTCTTGGCTCTCCTCGGCCTTGCGCTTGAGGGTCTCGGAAGAGATGGACTTTTTGGAAATGGCTTGCTTGAAGGCGGCTTCTTGGCTGATGGGCGCTGATTTCTTTGGTTGAGGGGCTTTGAGCTTTTCTTGCAACTTCTTCCAGTTGGAGGAGAGTTCCGGGGCCATGGTTGGTGACAGGAGGGTCTCCTGCCTTGGTGGTTTTGGTGGGGGTGGTGATGATGAAGTTTTGAGTGAAGACAGACAAGTGAGGGTGTCACTGTCGATGAGAGGTCACTTGTGGTATGTCCGATTGAGGGTTGGTGGCCGAGGTTATGTGAAGTCCAATTGGTGCTGATACCCTTTTTTGAGTGAGTGAAAGTAAACAAAGGGTTGAGATAAGCGGAAGATTTCCAGGCTGTGATAACTTTTTGTATGAACGTGAAAGTGGATGTTGAACATGGGCCCCACTTGGTGTTCTTTTAGAAAATTCAACTGGGGAAATCGGTTCCTGGGCGATTGACAGGGTAGACAAGCCATGCAGGGATCTGCCGCTGTGTCCCATCGCATCCCCGCTGAAATGACGGCCCAAACACGTGGGCTCGCCACTGAAGGACCCCTCCAAAATGTTCGGGAAGCGTCCACTGAAAGAGTCGCTGAACACTACAAAACACGTCAAGACCGACATTTGCGCGTCGCCCGTTAAGTTGATCGCATTCAATCGCTCACTGTCCACAACAATCAGTTCTTGTCGCAAACCATCGCAGTTTATCGACCGAACCTTATACAATTGGACCAAACAGCGCCGCCAATATGAGTCCCCCAGGTGGCGATGCCACTGTCGGCTCCGACGAGAAGCGACAGAAGGGTAAGGCGACGCCCGACACCATCAAGTATGTCAAGGTTTCCCGTCCCCCATCGCCGAGAGGAAACCAACTACTAACACCCCCAAACAGAATGGGATGTATCGCCATGGTAATGAAAGAAGGCCAACTACGACGAGCAGAAATCCTCAGTATCAAAGACACCAAATCCGGCCGGCAATTCTACTGCAACTTTGACAACTTCAACAAGCGTCTCGACGAATGGGTGCCGGCCGCCAGAATCGATTTTGAGCAGGACGTCGAGTGGCCCAACCCGGACAAGGACAAGCAGAAGGACGCCAAGACCAAGAAGAACAACTCGACAGTATCCAAGAAACAGCCGTCCAAGAAGAACAACCAGAAGAAGGCCAGCAAGAGGGAGCAGTCAGTCGCATCGGACGGGCAGACACCACACCCATGGACCGAGTTTGTCGATAGCCAGCCAGGGAAGAATAACAGGCAACGGGGGAAGACGGAAGATGGAACCGACGTCAACGCCAGTTTGGAGGTTGGTGGGGACAAGGGAGTCAAGAGGAAGGCCGACGAGATCGATATGGATGAGGACGAAATACCAGCCGCTAAGAAACAACGCCAACCGTCTTTTTCCAGGGAACAAGAGATTGAGAAGCTGCGAACATCTGGCTCCATGACCCAGAACCCCACGGAAATCTCGCGCATTCGAAACATCTCCAAGGTGGAATTCGGCCGCTACGTCCTCTTCCCGTGGTACTTCTCCCCCTACCCGCAGATCTTTGACCAAGAAGACTGCATCTACATCTGCGAGTTCTGTCTTTCGTACTACGGCGAGTTGAAATCCTTTGTGCGTCACCGACAAAAGTGCACTTTACACCACCCGCCCGGAAACGAAATCTATCGGGACGACTACGTCTCCTTCTTCGAGATCGACGGACGACGTCAGCGCACCTGGTGTCGCAACCTCTGCTTGCTGTCCAAGATGTTTCTCGACCACAAAACCCTTTACTACGACGTCGACCCGTTCTTGTTCTACGTCATGACCACCCGCGACGACCGGGGGTGCCATATCATCGGGTACTTCTCCAAAGAGAAAGAGTCTACAGACGGGTACAACGTCGCCTGTATCTTGACCCTCCCGCAGTACCAACGCAAGGGATACGGTCGCCTGCTCATCCAGTTCTCGTACGAACTGTCCAAAATCGAAGGCAAGCTCGGCTCGCCCGAGAAGCCCCTGTCCGATCTGGGTCTGCTGTCATATAGACAGTACTGGTCCGAGAACATTATCGACATCCTGCTCGGGTACAACGAGCGAAAGGAAGCTTGCACGATTGAGAACATTGCTGTTGCCCTGGCCATGACGACGCAGGACGTGGAGCATACGTTGCAGGCGCTCAAGATGCAGGTGTACCACAAGGGCGAGCACAAGATTGTGGTGCCGGAGAAGCTGATCAAGCAGAGGGAGAAGAGCAAGGCGAAGCAAAAGAGGTTGATTGATCCCGAGAGGATCCAGTGGAAGCCGCCGGTCTTCACGGCGCTCAATCGGACGTGGGGGTGGTAGTTGCGCTCGCCTCCCAAATATTAATGATACACCAAGACGACACACTCGTGACACCACCACACAGATTCATGACCCAATAAAAATACGAAACTATCAGCATTGCGCCAACCAAAGAAGATCAATATCTGGATCGACTAGATATTGGAAATCCTGCAGTAGTGTATGGAAACACAGGGAGCATTAAAATGGTAGCAAAGTGCACTTGACTTTGTTGGATTTTTACTATGGTTTCGTTAATTTATTGGGTCATGACTACGTGTGGTGTGTCGTCTTGGTATATCGTTTTATATCTGGAGAGCGAGAGTTTCTGCTTGGACGTCTGTGTTATTCTCGTTGCAATAGTCATGAGAACAAGATTGCATGGGTAGCAAGCGGGTTGGTTAGTATGATATGGCGTTGGTTTTTGTTTTGGACGGTACTTGGGGAAAATGGCTTACAGGAGGGGTAAAAAGGTACACCATATGTATCACTATTACGGCCAAAAGCACCAGAATAGTTTGTCATTTCTTCACAAGTGATGAGGAATATAATTACCAGAATAGCGAAGTAGAGGCTAGTCATAATCCCTACTCGTGATCAGCGAAAAAGCCTGTTTGATATAGTCAAAATCATGATCAAAGTTTAGCTCAAGCTCCCCGACTTTACTATTCAGAGCATGGCTGCTTTAGGCGTCATCAAACGTGGGTGTATTCCCCGATCTTACAGACCGCTTTCGCCAACTGAAGCTTGTGAATGGTTATACCGGCTAGTCGTCGGAGATCTCCCGGGCCGTGTTCGGTAGTGAGACCTCCAGACGTCACCTCAGCCCCGTCCAGCCCCACACCTCCGGCCGGCCGGCCCCGCAACCTAGATTCCCCGCAATACGACATCACTCACGACGGCGATCACGACGGACAAATGGGTTGGGCTGATGTAAACTAAATGGTTTCACCACGGCATGTAAAAATCACCCGCCATATTGATAGCAAAGCTATGGTCCCAAAACCAACACCAACCTTACCCAGATTCCACTCATCTCACCAACAACTCAACATTTCCAACGTCTTCATCACTCCAAGTTAACATCAACACATCATCATCAACAACAACCACCGCCAACATGTCCACCTCAACACCCCCCGCCCTCTCCGACCCCGACGTCCCAACCCCTCTCTCCCAACCTGGCGAAAACATGAAGAAACAAATCAACCTCCTCCGCGGCTGGCCCTCCCCCTACCTCCTTCCCCCCTCCCACCTTCTCTCCGCCACCAACCTCCTCCTCACCTCTCCTCCCCCAGACGAACCCTCATCCAAATTTTCTTTTAACGTCCCCGCCCTCCAATACGGCGCCGACCCAGGCTATCTTCCCCTCCGACACTCCCTAGCAGCCTGGCTGACCCAAAACTATACCGCCCACGAGACTTATCCGTCCCATGGGTTTCCTACTCTGACAACGGCAGAGCAAATTTGTATCACGGGCGGGGCGAGCCAGAACTTGGCGAATATTCTGCAGGGGTTTACGGATCCGGCGTATACGAGGGCTGTGTGGGCGGTTAGTCCGTGCTATTTTTTGGCGGTGCCGATATTTGAGGATGCCGGGTTTGCGGTGGGGAATGGCAAGTTGAAGGGGGTGAGGGAGGATGAAGAAGGGGTGGATTTGGAGGAGCTGGAGAGGGGGATTTTGGAGGTGGAGATGGGAGGGGGGAAGGAGTGGCCTGGGAAGCCGGTGAGTTTTGTGTCCTCTCGTGTTGTTTTGGGGAATGGGAGGAAAGAGGTGATGTTGGGAGGAAGAAGGGAAGGGAATGGATGGAAGTGAGAGTGGACGAGTTGTAAGGAGGGAGGATATGGAGGAGGTGCGGGAAGGAAATCGAGAAAGGGGATAGAAACCCTCTTCTCGGATTTCTTGCTTTTACTTTACTGTCCTGCCTTGCTCCTCACCTCACTCTCACTCTTACTTCCATTTCCACTCCCACTCCCACCTCCCCTCATCACCACCTTTCATTTACCCCATTCGAAATCACGACTAACAACCCCAGGTCTACAAAACCCCCGGTCCCGACCGCAAATGCTACAAACACATCATCTACCTTGTCGCCACCTCCGCCAACCCCTCGGGCATCACCACCTCTCTCGCCCGCCGCCACGCTCTCGTCCAACTGGCCCGCAAATACGACGCCCTCATCATCTCCGACGACGTCTACGACTTTCTCCAATGGCCCGTCCTCCCCTCTTTCTCTCCCTCCTCATCCAAAAACCTCTCCTTACCCACCCCCCTCCCCCGCCTCTCCGACATTGACATCTCCCTCGGCCCCTCCCTCCACGACCTCTCTCTCTCCGCACACTACACCCGCTCTGCCCCCTCTCCTCCTTCCAGTATCCCCAACGGAGACGGAGACGGAGACCAAGAAATGCAACCCCTCTTCCCCACCCGCACAATCTCCTCCCTCCACTTCGGCCACGCCGTCTCCAACGGCTCCTTCTCCAAGCTTCTATCGCCCGGCCTCCGCACAGGCTGGACGCACTCCACGCCCGCCTTTGCTCACGGGCTCTCCCAGACGGGAAGCACCCGCTCAGGCGGCGCCCCGTCTCAGTTCTGCGCGGCGCTCATTCACCAACTTATCCAGTCTGGCGCGTTAGATAAGCACTTAAGCGAGGTAGTCCGCCCCGGACTTCAGAAGCGACATGCATTGATGATGGAAGCAATCAAGCGCGAATTGGTGGGGCCGTTGGGGGTGAGAGTGATTGAGGATAATAGGACTGGTGCCGAGAAGGAAAAAAACAGGGAGGGGTTGTTTGGCGGGTACTTTTTGTGGTTGGAGTTGCCGGAGGAGATGGGGTTCACGGCGAAGGAAGTGGCGGAGCGGGCGCTGGAAGAGGAACGACTGGTGGTTAGTCCGGGGGAGAATGCGGAGGTGAGTGGGGAGGGAGTACATGTAGCGAAGGAAGAGAAAGGGGGGATTAGGTTCCCGAGACATTTGAGGGTGTGTTTTAGTTGGGAGGAGGAGGAGGATTTGGTGGAGGGGGTGCAGAGGCTGGGGAGGGTGTTGAGGAGGACGATGGAGGAGGCAGCGAAGGAGGGGGGGAAGGTAAAGAAGGCCGGGGGGGGAGGGGTTGAAGGCGTTTAAGTGAGGGATTGATGGTTTGTTGGGTTGGTTTGGATAGCGTTGATTTGGGAAAGTCAATGAGTACTTGAATGTGTTACACATGCGTGTTCTGGTGCAGGTATCGTCCATGCCGTGGTCGTTTACCTCGGAAGGGCGATTCGAATGCCAAGTCAACTTAATTGTGGCAGTTCATGATACTGCCGTGTACATAGACTACAACCTAGTCTGGATTGGTACCCCGATCTCATACTTCAACGCGCACTGGGTCATTCGCCCAGATCACATAACAGAGTGATGCATCCTCCGGTACAGACAGATTTATAGCAGTAAAGTAGATGGAATTGGCCAACCTTTGATCAAGATCTAATGCAATATGGAACAAATTTTGGTCAATCTTGAATAAACTCACCGGTGATTGAAGGAGTAGATTACATAGTTTGTCAGTCCATTAACTAGCCATATTTCTTTTTTTTGTTGCTTTGAATGCCTGAACGGAAACGAATTTATCCTTTTACAGATGCAGAAATTGTTCGTGACACTACCAGTCTAACGCCCAGGTAGTTGTACATGAAACAAGAACACTTTTTCTTCAGCCTAGCAAAGGCGGAAACAAAAAGTGAAAGCAACAACCATGAGAGCAACCGGTAGTCCCCGCATCATCTTTCTTGTGTTCTACACACTTCGTCAGCAGGCAAGCATCAAAAGCAACATCAACCTTTTCTCCGATAAAAACCCCTTGCCCCCCCACAACATCTACGATACGTTCAACGGCCATCAAGAATGGACCAAGATATATCTCATTGTTTGCTTTCTTTTTACTTGTTCGCACACGCGAATTTGCATAGTGTACATGCATGCACTAAGCTAGCTTCCATGTGGATTTGGGCAATCCCCCATCAATACACGACAAAAAGATGAAAGATCAAAGATTTGTCTTTCCCCATCTCAGTTCGTTCACAAAACAAACAAAAAGTCCTGCGTGAATTGTGACATTTTTTGTCGTTCCATTCGCATCGTGTGATCGTATTAACCCTTTGCGCTTCTTGCCGCTCTCCCTTATGCTTGGTAGGGAGTGAAGTGGTGGAAGCCGCTTTTTGAAGCCCGTTCGCTGACTGCAGTGAAGCCTAGATACTGAGCCTCCCTTCTCCTTATGTGTCTCCGTGTTACTGTCACCCTGTTTAGCTATTGTAGCTTGTTCCACCTGCGTTCAAGCCGTGCTTGCTTCTCCTCCTCCGCTTTGTTTGTAACTCCCATGTTGACTACTTCCTCGTAGAACTTTGGCTCCTCACATGCTTTGGCTGATTCCATAACAAAAAATTCGATCTGTAACCGATCTTGAGCGCAAGTCAAGAACAGTTGGGTACATACCATGCCGACCAACTTCCAGACCGAAATAAAATATGTGCTTACAACGTAACCGTTCTCACTTTGTTGGCCTTCGGTTTCTTGCCGCCCGGACAAGCCAGAGAAACAGACAACTGCCTCGCCAGTTTCCGGATGTTATCCGCCGAAGGTTTCTTCTCCTTCAGACAGGTATCCGAGCTGACCTCATGATCCTCAACCCAGGAATCGACTGTTGGCTCTCGCGATTTCTGCCTTATAAGCAACCGGACCCCGTTCTAGGAAGTCTGAATAGCGGTTGGTGCACTCCTCGACCAGGCACTATCCCTACCCCTGTAGCCACCACCTCGGCCCCTACTCTGCTGGTGCGACCCGTTAGGTCCGGTAGGAGGGCCGGTGAGTCCTTGGTCATTGGGTGAAGAAGCGTCTCTACTACTGCCACGACCTCCAGGCATGCCGCGCTGATTGTGAGGTGCCGCGGGATGGCGACCGCCGCGGGATGTACCGCCGCCACGACGAGGGTTGCTGCGAGTCCTGCTGAAAGGAATAGTCACCGCGGTGACGAAGGGCGGGTGCCGGTCAGTCCCGGGGAATGCAATGCGAATGACGCTGCCAATTCCGTTCGAGCTGGTGTCGATGCGGATTGGCTCGGCGCTGGTCGTCAGGGGGAAGAACTTCCGATGGAGAGGCTTGGGTGGCGGTGCGGATGTAGGCGACCAGGCCATCTCCGGAAGCTCAGTAGGAATCCGGACAGTAGGTAAGGAACCCATCTCCTGCTCCTCAAAGCAGTCCTCATCCATGTCCTTCGTTGTAGGAGATGCTTCGGCGATCATAGCGGCGGTAAGCGACACCGTAACAGACGTCTCTGGGTGCTCATAGGCAGCGCGGCTCGTCGAGTCCACTCCCGCAGCTGGCTTCTGCTGTGTTTGAGAAGGCTTACGAGCTCCGAGCAGATTGTCGATCCGAGCTTGCCAGGGACTACCCGGGTTGGGTGCTGGTGAACGCTCCTCGCCCTTGTACGCAACCGTGTTAGCCCACGAGAAGGACGGACCTGGCGGCTTGGGAGCCTCTGGATGTTGTACCTTTGGTTCCTCTCTCGCCTGAGAGGGGGGTGGTAGGCGAACTTGGGGCCTGGGCGTAGGAATGCAGACGTGGGGGTGCTTGACATCGCCGTCGAATGCCGGATGACCCGTCGTCTCCGTATCGGGGGGAGGAGGCGAAGGGGAATGAGGGCGTTGGTATTCCGCAGCAGCGATGGTCTGCTGGCGACTAGGGAAGAACCTAGATGAGGTCCGTGGTGCTGCGCCGGCATTACCGAGCATAGATGTATTCGCGGCCGGGGGTTGTGTCTGCTGAGAAGGCTGAGAGGCAGCCCACGGGTTCTCCTTGCCAACCCGGACGGTTTGTCGGGGACCAGCCTCGATCCTCATGCCGTTCTCGTCAAGCTTGGTGGGACGCCAGACATCCTTGACCACAGGCTGGATGTCTTCAGCCGTGAGCCCCTTTTCAGCCCGGCGACGGTCCTGCTCAGCAAATCTGTCCTTGAGCATGTTCTCGAAGGCCTCGTCATTGAGACGCGCAGCACTGACCCATTGATTCGCCTTGGCCTGTCGTTCGCCTGTAGACAAAGTGCCGCTGGGTGCGTTGGAGTGATTAGGAGGGGCAATGGGTGGCAGCCGAGCGGGAGCACCGTCAGGGAACAGATTGGTCTTGGTGGCCATGGTGGTGGTGTTCCGGCTGGGAGGTGCAATTGGGCCGGGTCCGGGCTTGTTCGAAACCGGAGGAGGTGATGTGCCTAGGTCGGGGTTGAAGGTGCCGTTTCCTAGAGTGCGGTTGTTGGTAGGAGGACCCCAGACGTTCTTGGTTGATGTCTGCGAACCCCAAGTAGTAGCTGTGTACCGCCCTTGTTGTTGCTTAGCACTGTTGCTAGACCAAAGAGGCTGGCGGCTTTCGAGGGGCTCAGAGTCCGGTAGGATTTGTAGAGGCACACCGTTTGGTGGCTGTTCAGCTTTTTCAGGTTGAGTGGTAGGCGGGGTTTTCACCTCGGTCTTCTCGACAGCCTTTTGTTCGTCAGTCGCCGCGCCTGTCTGGGCGGCACCTTCCGTTGTAGAAGCAGGTTGCTCCTTCGCTGCAGCCTTCTTGGCACTGTTGGATTCGGGGGCAGGACCCAGCGCCTGCAACTTGAGCCGGATACGCTCCTCGCGAGCTGCCTTTTCGCGCTCTTCTTCTTCCATGCGCCGTTTCCGAGCAGCCTCTACCTTCTCACGCATCAACCTCTTCTGCAGCTCAATCTCTTGATCCGTAATCAACGGCACTTGTTCCTGGACAGGCGGCGGCGGGCCAACTGGGGGCACCCCAACCATATCGGGACCGTGATGATGTGGTGCCGGTACTGCGTGACTCACGGCTGGGGAAACCCGCGGAGGCCAGCCCTGGTGGTGCGGGTGAAGGGGAGGGTGAGGGTGAGGGTGAGGGTGAGGGTGAGGGTGACGAGGCCCGTGCTGCATGCCAGAAGGCGAGAAGTTCCTCGGTGACCCAGGGCCGTCACTACCGGCCGTCATGGATTCGCGCCTGGCGTTGAGAATTTCGGGGGGTTGCAATGGCTGCTCAAAGCCCTTGGCACGGTTCAAGAAGCCGCTGCTAACGCCACTAACGTTGGACGAGCCGCGCCTACGGCCGTAGGGCACATGTTGGTCGCTAGTCCTATGTGTTTGGAAAGCGGCAGAGGGTTCGGCCGGGCCGTGGTGATCGTTGTGGGCAGGGCGTTGCAAGACAGAAGGCTGTCTGCCGTACTGCGGCTCTGGGCGTATTGATCCACGGCGGTCCTGAACGGGTTCGTAGCGTCCGGAATGTGAATTATATAGCTCTCTGTTTCCACCACCACCTGGCCCGTCTCTCCACGGTCCTCTGCTGAAATCATCCGCGGCGATTTCCTTCGGCCCCGCAGGAGGAAAACCAGCATATTGAGCCGGCCCATCTCTCGGGGGATACCTCGGTGCATGGTGATTCGGCGGCGGCGGTTCAACGACCATGGGAGAAACTTTCTCCACCTTTGGTATCGGTGCCCAGGGTGACTTGACGGGCGCTGGCGGGGGCGGAGGCTTTGCGACGAGGGTAGGCTTTTCGGGGGCACCCTTGAGAATAAGACCCTTTCCAGACCCTAGAACTCCAGGCTTAATGATAGACGCGTGGCCTGGGGCAGGTGATTTCGGTTTCTCCGCAGCCACACTTTCCTTGATGGCTTCGACAGGTTTTGGAACGGGTTCCGGTTCCGGCGCTGGCGTGGGGGGTGCCGGGGGTTGCTCTTCGGTATGTGGGATAGCAATCTTAGTGCCATCCTTCCATGTGATCGTTTCCGGTGCCCAATCTTCGTCGTCGTCGTCAATGTCGGCCCAATTCGCCTGACCCTTGGTGTCTTCGGGTTGGAGACGGCTCGCCATGTGAATTCCATATTTCTTTAGCTCCTCGTCGGTATACTTTTTCGGCTCGGGAGGTGGGACAGCTGCCTGCTAGTTAGCCATCCACAAGTCCGTTTCGTCTGGCATGGATATATGCTCACGTCTGTTCTTGTTCCACACGGCATTTGGATCTGGCGCACTACCCGTTTTGCCATTAGCACCGGTGGCCGATTTGACCGACCCGCTTCCCGTCTTCGCAATGAGCCTGGGCCGCGGTGTCAGACTTCCAGGTGTAGAGCTGAGGGTCGTTGTCGCCGCAGGCTTCTCGGCGACTTTGGCCGGGGCGGCCGGCGTAGTGGCCTTTGTGGTGAGAAATTTTTGGTTGACATTGATGGCCTTGAAGGCAATGGGCTTCTTAACGGTCGACGAACTGCGGGGCTTGTCGTCCTTGCTCTTGGTGGCTTCAGTGTCGGATCCTCCGCTAACACTGACTTCGGCCGAGGTTACCACTTCATTCGCGATGTCGGAGATGTGCTTATTCTCGATCTCTTCCGTAGCAGCAGGGGTGGCACTTTCGCCTGTTAGTTGCGACTGGTCGAGTGGAGCATTCTGCGCGTCCGGAGCATCGATCTTGATCGTCTGGTGAGAGGGTGAGCGGGTCAGTGAAGTGAAGCAGTTGTTGAGAGGCGGGGCTTCGGAGCGCGTTGGGCCAAGGTACTCACAGGCTCGGCCTCGGAAGTTACGTGTGTTGCATCATCAGATCGGTCCTTTGCTACCTCAGCGGCCATCATACGCTGTGAGATTTCGGGTAATAGTCGGTACGACGAGGGGGGAGGACTGGAATCGCAAGGGCTCGCGTAATGCGCCGGGGTATCTCGAGATTAAAGAAAGACGTCGTTTGTCGTGTGGGGTAAGTCGGTGGTAGACTGTTTGGGGTGAAGATTCCGTCAGTATTGCTGCTGAATATGTACTGGATGTTGCCGTGGGACAAAAGAGCGCGCGCCGAATATGCGATGCGACTTTTTGCGCAACAAGAGGCCTGACCAGACAGAGCTGAGACGGAGGTGAAAGAAGGGTGCGGGGGGAAGCGAAGGACGGAGGGAGAGAACAGGCAGGCGAGGTTAAGGTGAGGTGAAGTGCAAGAAGGGGCCAGCAAGTTGTAGGCAGGTGTAGGTACGTACCCCTCCTTGATGTCGCTTTGGGGACAGAACTGAATGAAAGCAGGCAGCTGAGTGTCGAGTCTCTAGACTTGGTACTACTGTACAATGTAATGTTGAGCCTCTGAGGTCGACGTTGTTTGGCGTGTCGTTGGAGAGGCAAGGAAAGGGAAAATGTAGGTAGGTAAGGAGGTGAGGAAGGAAACGCCAACGGAGACGTTGAGGGTGAGGTAGGTAGAGGTAGGTAGAGTTTCGGTAGGGAGGAGTAACGGGATGCCGTGGGGGGGGGGACTTTTACTCCAGTGAAGGCGATGGAGGTGCAGCAAGATGGAAAATGGAAGTGGATCACACCCACTGGCTGACCACGCACTCTGTCTGGTCGCCGTCACTGGGCCACTGGGTAGGTCACTGGGCTGAGACGACTCAGCAGAGGGACTACATACTGCCCGGTGGGTAGGTAGCCGGCAGCGAGGCAGCGATCATCAGCAGTCGGGTCTCAGGTCCCCTCCTCCTGCTGAGTCGTCCTCTTTTTTTTTTTTTTTTTTTTTTTTTTTTTTTCTCCTCCATGTGGCAGGGGACTCGACCAAACAGCACTGACTGCCGTGGCTCTAACGAGAATGAAACAAGCAACTGTTGAGATGAAGTGTCTCTGACTCTACTTCGTCAAACAAACAAACAAACAAAAGAGAGAAAACTACTTACTCACCTTGGACTTGGGAGGAGATTGATTCTTCACAGTCTCGCCGTTTGCTTGGGTTCAGTTCACAAAGCCAGTGAGTGACTGGACGAACGAGGGGTGGACTGCGGTTGTCTGTCACAGTGGAAAGTCGAGTGGGTGTGAGGTGCCGTCGAAAGATCACTGCAGAGACGGGGAACTCACTGCCTGTTGTTCAGGTGGCACCCATGCTTCCTTTTTGTTTCCGGCCTAGCGCAGACCCGGCCGGCCACCACCCCCCCCCCCCAGCGACCCGCACCAAAAGGGAGCTTGGACCTCCCGCTTTCTCCAGACTGAGGACCACAACACGGCACGGACATTATCAAATGGCAAGGCTACAAAGCAAGAAATCAGGGGTTCTCTTCACATCAACAACAGCCACACCCCTCGACTACAAGTAACGTCCATGCGTCATGCAAAGCTCGTGAGCATGACATATCCGTGAGATATCAGGTTGCCATTGCCATGTCGGTGCGGTGGAGTCAATCTACATGGCTCATGATAATTGTTGAATCCAGTCTTTGCTCCTCGAGCTTGTTCAGTTATAAACTACTGGACCGAGACTGACAAACTCAGGACTTCGCAGACTCCCCGGCTATCTTTCATCTGGAAATGCCATGGCATGATCTAGGATGCTGTCTTGGTCTGATTAATTCAAGCCGGCGCCAGCTTCCACGTGGATGATTTTCCGGCTGACTCCCCATACTTCCATCTCCTCATGTCTTCACGTTGGTGGATTCAACTGACGTTGGTGAATTCAACCCCACACCGCTGAATATAATTCGTTTCACATTAAGCCACATTTGGTACCACGTTAAATCATCACCCGCCGTCGGGAGGAACCTTGGGAACCACGGCATTCCATCTATTAGATAGCACTTATGTACACGGCTGATTTCTTTGATTGTTCATCGCCAAGTAGGGAAAAGGGATATCTCATGAACAGTGTTCCGCCCGCTTAGTGAGCGTGGTTCTTGTGGTGGCCTTTTTGTCACATGTCAGCATCTGTCCCCTTTTCTCTTCTGAACCATCTTCACAGAGGGCAATGTTGAACTTACGGAGGTGGAAGTAGTAGTTCTGAGCATAACCGACGATCAGAAGACCGACAATGGCGTGAACGATGGCTGTTTTCCTCTGTCAGCATCTTTCCCACTCTCTTTCTCTCTTCCTTCCTGACCCGTCCCCTTCCTCCTTTGGGACCTTTGCCAGGCTTTTTCTCGGACCGGGACAGCATGTAGATGGTGGTAGACGTACGCTTAGCCGAAGGGTTCTTGCCAAAGTGCTTGGCCTGGTACTTGCCCCAGAAGCCCTGGGGCTTGATCTCGGGAGCGGGGCCGCGGGGAAGCTTCTCGTAGAACGAGACGACGCGCTTCATGACGACAGCATCGGGGGCAGCGCCAATGGCCTGGATTTGGGGGGTTGTCGAGTTAGCCACTGGACCTCCTCGTTCTGTAAATCGCCGCCAATCGCATCATCCTGCTCCTTCACATTCCCTCCCTTGCTGTCGATCCGGTCTTCCTGCTCGTGTTGCTTTGATTCTAGTCCTCTCCATTTCGTTGTTGTCGTGTCCGTATGATCCGAGACGGGATTTTGGCTGTGTCCGCATTGTTGTCGCACTTCCCCATCATGTCTCGTCCATTGCCGGATTTCCCAATCTTCCTTGCTCTTTCTCTCTCCCCCATCACTGCCCATCGCAGCAGTTGTCGCATTCGGCGCTGCCCAATCCATCTCGTCTATCGTCTCTTGTCTCGTCGGAATCGCAGGTTCATCAAAATCGAACGTACCTTGGGAGAGGCGACCTAGCACACACACACAGCTTCTGTCAGCAACCAACCTCACCACTTTTCACCCAGCTCCTACATACAACACAACTCACCTTGGGGGGATAAGGGTAGAGAGCGCACGGCGGGTGACGAAGCTCATTTTGGCGGTCGGGGGGTGGTTCAGCACTTGCACAGGTGTTGTTCCGGGTTTGGCGATGTTGTCACGGATTTGAGCTGTTAAAACGCAAGGACCTTCTCTTTTGGCGAACTTGAACCGGGCTGCCGTCTCTGCTGGGTGCGTGCACGGGCCCTCAGCGTCTGCCACTGGCACTGTCTGGGAAATGCGCGGTTGTTTCCGGCTAGCCAATTGGAGGGGAGATGGTGGGGGTTGGGCTTGGCATTGACGGACAGCTTCGACTTCTGAGACTCCAGCGTCAACCCGCGACGACACAGCAACAGCAGTAAAGCCAAGGTGGTCAGTGCTTAGGTCTCCCCGACTTCCCTACCTACCTACCTCTCGGTTGCTTGACTGGGATATCGTCCGTCAATTGCGGCTCCTCTTTTCGCGGTGGGAATTGGACGACAAGCTCCCTCCCCGAATCCACCGTGTACTCCTCTTCCGACTCCATCGATACCGACGCTCGGTATAATTGATAAATCCCACGATATGTCTGCGCTACGAATCACCACCGCCTCGGCGGCGCGCATGTTGCGCACTTCGAATGCCGTGATGCCTTCTGTCATGGGTGCTGCTCAGCGTCGAGCACTCAGCGACTCTGCCGAACCCGCCCGCGTGCCCTCTGTCGAGTCCGCCCGCGTACCCGAGAAGCTTGCAAAGGAGGACTCGCCTCTGGCCACGCCCAAGCGGAACTCGCCCGATTACAATGTTCCCATTGACAAAGCCACTTCGTATGCGCTGCCCCGGTCTTCACCATAATGAATGACACCAAATACTCCACCATATATCTTTTATCAAACAAGCACACAATGCAAGACCGAAAATGGAGGACCAACCCACCACCATGGCTGCATATTCTTCAGACGAAACCATACTGTAGCTTTGGGTCCATAAGCTGACAATATGGCTTGAAATGCAGCACCTGGACCCCAGTCCCCAAACACATCCAGAATGGTTCCGAGGAAGGCATCCTCCCAGCCGCCGTCGTCTCGGGCGCTCCCATGGAATTGCAAGCCCGCACTGTTCGGTATGCCATCTTTCCACTCCCCCTTAACCACAGTTCTCCTTCCGTACATATAACACAGGCTAACCAAGCACCAGCATCTTCCTCCCCTCCAAACCCGCCACCCAATCCTCCAACAGCCGCGTCCTCTGGCGCATGGACTGGGACGTGCTCGAAAAGGGCCACCGCTGGGAAAACGAGCTGATGGGCTGGCAATCGTCGGGCGACTTTGTGCAGGGCACGCACCTGACCTTCCGCACCAAGGAGGAGGCCATCCAGTTTGCCGAGAAGCAAGGGTACGAGTACTTTGTGCAGGAGCCGAACCAGCGCCACTTTACGCCCAAGGCGTACGCCAACAACTTTTTGTATAGCCCCAAGAAGTTGAAGATTGTCAGGACCAAGTGAGATGTGTCCTGGCGGAGGAAGGGTTGGCTGGTGTTCTACGGAAAGGGAGGGGAATGTTGAGAGAGAGGGTACAGGAAAAGAGGGATCAACTGAACCTCTGTGAAGAATTGCTACAGGTACATACCTACCAACAACAAAGAAGAAAGAGGGAAGAACGGAAACCTCTCTAAGACGGACAAGTAACAGGTACATACAGGCTTGTTCGTTCGTTCGATAAATATGGGAACCACGGAACCATAAGAGAGAAATGAAACCTAGAGCAAGCATTTCGTTTTTGCAACACGATACATTCCTTTTCCTTCGCACCTCTGTTGGGCTTTTTGCTTTGGAACCTTACTTAGACAGGTTTGAATTGAATCGAGTTGACCATGGGCTAAGGGAGGCCGGTCTAGAAAGAAGTGTTGGCAACAGTACACTCTTCTGCGCTTGAGTGGACCAGACTTCTACTTGTGAGAGACCAGATGTTACCTCTATTGTAATACCTTACCTAGAGCAAGGAATTGGACAAATGGCGGTAGTACGGAGCGGAACCAGGTCATCAAGAGAGTACGGAGATCCGGAAGACATGAGCAGGTTGTTCAAGCATGAGACTTGAGAATAAGAAAGTGGTGGTTAACACGCTAGAAGCTTGAGGCTCTAGAGATGGAAGTGCTCATGGGTCTGCGTGTAGGCATTCTTGATTCGTAATTTAAGGAACACCCTGACATCACCAACGTTATGGGACAGCAACACATCAACATGATGGCTGTGACAGCAAGAGACAGAAGCATAACACCAGAAGAACAAATGTTGACCGTCAAAACATTATTGCATTGTGTCAATAGAGCACCAAGTGCTATAACCCCCTCTTCGGATGGTAATAATAGTGCGATGAACCAATCGCTGGCAATACTTTCTGCCTCAATAACAACCCAAGGCGTCGTGTTCTACCGCCTGTCCTAACGCCTTCAGCATGCTTCAACCCGTTGAACCTCCAATTATAAGGAGAAAACTCCAGTCCTGTAAAGAGAAAAAAAAGCCCGAAAAGCAAAAGGCAAACCCCAAACCTAAAGGCACATCAAGGCTTAAGTCGTGACCATGGGGTCATGCCCATTATCATCCCCGTTGAGACCAAGCTCGATACGGTCAGGAAGGTTTCTCTTCTTGGACCGACACGATGCCTCGGCCCATGCACGCATGCGAACAAGTTGACGGATGGCAGCTTCACGCCGCTCCGTATGTCGTTGCAGGACTACCTCGTTCACTTGAGCTGCCGTGTTACGGCGCAGGTCAGAGTGGAGGAGCGCGGCCAGGTCGGGCTGGAGTTTATCAGCCGGGAAGATGAGCAAGGCCATCGTCTTCTCGAGCTCCTTCAGGAACTGCTCGTTCGAAGCAGCACGGGGAGCAAGCTTCTCCTGGGCGAAGTTGATGGCTGCCGAGGGATCATATCCTCTGGCGTTGCGGATGAGCTCAATAAGCTGCAACCGAAGCAGGGAAAAGTGCAGGTGAGGATCACTATCCAGAATCTGAGCAACTTTGTTAGTCAAGGTCCGGAAGGAATTGGATGCGTGACAGAAAAGTTAATGTATGGTTGAGGAATCATAAAGAAGTGGTTGGTTCTCATCAAAGAGCCCGAAGGCTAGCCCAAGGATCAACCCGAAGGCCAACCCAAAGGTTCACCGGAAGGCTTATGCGTGGTGCATGATTGAAACTCGTGTTCTAATCATCTCAAGGGAAGGAGGGAGTGTAAAGAGTAGAGGGGTGAACCTACACCAGGGTCGAGTTCATTCAGGTCAGAGATGGCCTTCTGAATGTCTCCAACATGGATGGCGTGCTGGATCTGCTGACGAGCATTGATGGTAGGGTCTTCCTGCCTGGGCTTCAAGTTGGCCTCTTTCTGGAACTTCTCGGCGGCCTTGGGATATCCCTCCATCATCAAGTAGTCGAGGATCAAAGCATTGATGTCACTGTCATGCTGTTAGCCATTGTCCAATGCCAAACAGCGTGTGTGATGGTGGCTTCGATGAAAAGACAAAATGCAGCAATGTTCAGGCTTTTTCGAGATTAGATGCAGAGTTTCTCCTCATGGATATCAGAGAGATTCCCATTAAATGCGATCATCATGTTGCTGGGTGCAGTATGGGGGAGGCGAGAGAAGGATGAAGCTTACCTCTTTGGCGACTTGACGTCGGCCACCCTCGTTTCAAAAGCATGTTTGGAGGGAGTTGCAGTTGAAGTTGAGGAAGTCTGAGATTGTACTCGGCGGTGAAGGTCCATTATTGGTGATGGCCGATGGCGTTGGATGGTGGTGATGGTAGGGCGAGATGTCAAAAGAGGCTCAAACCAGCCGGCCCGTGGGAGCAATGAAGCAGACGGGTGTCGACGACGAAGAGTGGATGAGCCAGAACGCTGCTAATCAAACTGCCGCATCGGTTTTCTTTCACGTGTGCCAGCACACTGGTGAAGTCACCGAATGCCGCACGCGCGAGCGGTAGACCGAAACCGGAAGCCCGGTTGTGGTTAGAAGAGATAGAATCAAGAAAAGAAGAAACTTGGGATGACGCAGATTTTCGGCGTAGAAATAGTTTTTTCGCAGATGGGGGGTGGACGTGAAGAAATTGCGGATATCGACGTGGAGTTGGAGCCGAGTGGGAGCAGACGGCAGAATTGAACCAAAGGCCAAGGTTCGTTCGGAAGCAAATGCGGCCCGTGCGTGATGGTGCTCGAGCTTCCCTTCTTGTTGGTTCGAGTGACCAGGGCACTTTGGCGGGGCAACACCCATTGTGCCCCGACCCGCGGGCCTTGATAAACCGAGGGGACTGTGGGGACATAGGAGATCGCTGCCTTAGTACACTACTACAATCTAACCCTGGTTTGTTTGTTAGTTTGGTACAAAAAACGCCCACTTCCACTCTCAGGCTACTAGAATGGAAAAGTGTTCGGGTTTTGAGCGGACGGGTGCCGTCGGGGACTACTATCTTATATCTTTTTAGTCTTTGAAGGCCTTAGAAGAAGACGGAGAGAGGCATAAGAAGGCTTATATAGCGTTTTCAACCCTGGCTATTGTCCCATAACGCTTCAAACGGAGGCCAATTTTCTCTTTGGGAGACCAATGAGAGGTTTAGATTTTCCCTGTTCAACCCATGGCCGAGGAACCAAACTAACAAACAAACCAGTATTGAATTGTACACTACAGTAAGGTACCTACCTGCTCGCCCTAACCTCTGAAGGAGCCCGGGATGACACAGGCGGATTACCTCTAGTTACCTCTTGTTTATCATAAGGACATCACGACAAAAGGGAAGGAGCGCAAGGCTACACCACTATGGGAAGGCCTACACAGCCACAGAGGGAAGGCGGGCATGTAGTTGACAGCTTGAAAGTACCTAGTACACGGTGTATGAGAATCCCGCCTCGCCAGGCCTTGAAAGTAGTAGTGTGCTTAGTCGGTCTACTCCTTTCCAGACTTCACACTCACCCTTCTCTATTCAGAGTCAATTGGTTACTTGCAGATCCTTCTTCGCTTACTTCAACTCATCACTGCCCTCCACACGATCGAGTGCCGCAACACGGCCATCCAATGTGCCACTGTCTCCAGATTCCAGCCACAGCAGCAACCTTGCATGTTGTACGAGGTTGATGGGCTCCAATCGAAAGTTCATGTACTTGTAGCCTTCGCTGCCACACATGACGAGACCGAAATCCTCGGGGACAGTGCAGCTCTGCCAAGCATGCAGCCGGATTGACTTTTTTTCCATCTTCACAAGTCACCGCCGTCCCCTCCGCGGAAGCCGATTGATATGCAACTGTTTTGCCGCACTCAATGCCCGGGCGAGGCATGGCTGGCCAACCCCCGGCGACCCAACAACGTGTGCCTTTTGCACTTTCTACCTCGAGTGTAAGATCCGCACCAATGATATTGAGGGGCTGAAAGGCCAGGATCGAATGGACGTCTCCTTAAAGGGTTTCCACTCCCTTGAAGGCTTTCGACTGCGACATGTCGACCAAGGGGAGAAAGACTCTTCTTCAAGAGTTTACGTGCACGATGTTTTGGCATTGCAAATCGTTGGGCTTTGGTGGCCTGCACGTTTCGATGCCCAGAGCAACGGACATGCGATTTTGCCTCTTGTCGACCATGACCACTCATCTTCTTCGATGACGACAATGCTGATAAGAGCTAGAGAAATGGGTGGTGGGCTACTGGCCAGAAAGATTATTCCTGACAAGGTCAACTACCGCCTCATCAGAGAGTGGCTGCAACTTTGTCGGTCCGGACATGTATTGTGCGACGACTTCCGCGAGGCTGACGAGATCCCCGGGTTCCAAGTCATCGACTGCACCACGGGAAACATTGTGTCTTTTGCCTCCCTTTCCGGCAGTGGAGAGCAGTCACAGACGCCACCAGAATACGTCACCCTCAGTTATGTCTGGGGCCAAGGTCTCTTTGAAGGACCTGTCAAGATCAAGCACCCTTCCAACTCTCAACAACGACTGTCCCTGCCAACTTCCTTGCCATTAACCATCAGTGACACAATCCAAGTCGTCCAGCGTCTCGGGTACAGATACCTCTGGATCGACCGCTACTGCATCCCGCAGGACGACCTGCCAGCCAAGCAGATCCAGGTCAAGAACATGGGCCGCATCTACTCCCGCTCCGTGTTGACCATCATTACCGCCGCTGGCGATGGACCCGAGTATGGGCTACCGGGGGTTAGCGAGCGTCGGAGGGCCGAACAGCTTACTGTTCAGGTCGGTGCTGCTGCAGCAGGGAAGGGGATTTCCCTGGCGTTATACGAAAGGCCGAGAGCCGCCATCATGGACTCAAAGTGGCATACCCGCGGCTGGACGTACCAGGAGGGACTCCTTTCTAGGCGGAGGCTGGTGTTTACGGACCAGATGGTGTATTTTCAGTGTTATGAGATGCATGGGGACGAGGTCTTGTCGTTGCCGATTCCTGATGGCCCTAGCGGTGGGCATGGTTCTGATGTCAAGGACGGGGACAAATTTGACGAGATTCGCTGCCTCTCCCTGGACGACGAAGAGTCCAACTTTGGCTTCATCTTCCCCCGTCGAATAACGGATTGGTCCAATCCTGACACCGTTTGGGATCGAATCAAGGAATTTTGCCAAAGACAGCTTTCGTTTGATGCCGACACTCTCGATGCTGTTGCTGGTATCTTTGACAAGTATGTTGACATGTACACAGCGGATCAGTCGAACAATCACAAAGGGGACGGGATCTCCTTCTTTTACGGCATGCCCATTGCTCCTTTCCACCTGAAGGGGAATGGATCAAATCAGCAAAGGCTGTGGACTTGTGAGTTGCGGACCTTTTGGGAAACTTATGAGAACATGCCCCCGGGAAAGACAGATTCGAACCCGAAACTGCCCCTGGAAGTGGAGGTGGATGTAACGACCAGTCTCACCTACAGACTAGTTGAAAGCCTCCTCTGGTCCGATTCCTGGAGCCACTTCCGCAAGTTCGATAGTGATCCTTTACAGCTACTGCAAAAGCGGTCACACTTTCGGAGGCCGGGGTTCCCCAGCTGGGCGTGGGCGGGTTGGAAGACGTGTATAGTCGAGCGCGACATATTGTATTCCAAGATGTTCGATAGCCGCACCAAGGTTCATGTAGAGTATGAGCTTGAAGCGGACCCAAGCCTCGCACACACACCAAAGGCAACTACATGGAGGCGACTAGACTGGGAGCGAGATAACAAAGAGATCTTGGAGCTGGCACAAATTGCCGCTCACAAAATCCCGGCACGTCTGGTTATCAGGGGGACCGTGCTGGATATGAGGCTCACGTGGTGCGATGGCGAGGAGAATAACGAGGATTGGTGGAGGAAGTTTGGCAAGTGGACGGTTACGTGGCCGCAGTTTATGGAAGGGAGGTCAATTGACTTTCCGAGGGGATTGTTGGAGGATGCGGAACCCGGAAGTCATTTTAGCAAGGGGAAAGAGGTACAGGCTCTCGCCCTGATACTGGCAGGACGGGCCCTTTATGGCAAGCCAGACGGATTTCTATTGGCATTGTTGTTGAGGCCCGTGACGAGGATGTTGGATGGACGACCGGAAACAATGTATGAACGCGTTCACAAGATAAGGATTTATGTGAAATACCCAAAGTATAAAGCCAAGTGGACACCGCTGGCTGAGTTATTAAGGGAGATGGAGGTGAGGTTGTGTTGACCAGCTTACAACTAACCGACGCCGTGTCGAGGTACCGGATATCCATCAGCGGGTTCACGGCTGTATCGCTCGAGTTGATGGACTCCCTCCAGCCTCGCCATTGTGGAGATGTTGAACCTGTTCAATACCTCCCGGCCAACTCCCGAGGCTAAGCAGCTTCGGTGGTACGAAAGACGCCCGTGCGTGGCCAGAATGACCTCTCGTCTCACCCTCAGGACATTGATATTCAGCTATATCTCGTTGAATCGTCTTGCCGCTGCTCTGAATAGGGCCTTGCACATCCCTCCCAGTGTCTGTAGTTTAGCGAAAACAATACGAGATACTGTGTGTAGTACGGGCCTCATAGATACATCATGGAGCTCTAAAATCTCCCTCCCTTCAAAGACGTACCGCATCTGCTTCACCACATCAACTTGAACCTCAAAGCATCCCTACATAATTTTCCTACCTACCTTTACCTAGGAAACGTTTAGCCATGCCTCGTTCTGGAAAGATAATTGTCTTGATCACCGGTATGGGAGACCATTTGGCTACCTCGAGTGAATAACGAGACTACCTAACCACCAGGACAGGCGCAAACCAAGGCATCGGCTATGAGACAGCCAAGAATCTGGTCCACTCCTCAGCCGACTACCATGTCATTCTCGGCAGCCGCAACATCAGCAAAGGTAAGGCGGCAGTTCAGGCGCTACTACAAGCTGAAGTCGGCACCGGCGTAAAGGCAACGAAGGGTACCGCCTCCTCGGTACCTCTAGACGTGACGGACGAAGCGTCCATCGCAGCCGCAGTCGAGCGTGTGGCAGCCGACTTTGGCAGGCTCGACGTACTGGTGAACAACGCAGGCATCATCTCGACAACCGGCCCAGACGCTCCGGCGGGTCCTCGAGACCAACGTGGTCGGCGCACTGGCTGTAACTGAGGCGTTTCTCGACTTGCTGCGCATGGCTTCGGAACACAGGCCGCCGCGTTTGGTGTTTGTCAGTTCGAGCATGGGATCCATCACCCACGCGGCGGACGCGACGTCTCCGTACTACCACCCGCACGGCACCGAGTATCGCACCAGTAAGGCGGCGTTGAATATGCTTATGACTATGGTCAGTTTTCCTCCATTCCTAGGCAACTAAGGTTCCAGTGACGGGTGGTTAACTTTTCCCTATCGTCTCGCGCAGTACTCTGCTAGACTCAAGCCGGAAGGAATCCTCGTCATTGATGCGGATCCTGGACTGTGCGCCACTAACTTTACGGGTGATGCTGCGTCGCTGAGGAATAGAGGGGCGGCGGAACCGGCTGACGGGGGAAATCGAGTGGCAACGGTCGTAAAGGGTGAGAAGGATGTCGATGCTGGAAAGGTGGTTGGTGTGTACGGGGTTAGTCCGTGGTAGATCGGTCTATCCGTCGTGGGACTGCGCGGTGAGGAAAACCTGCATCAGATCGGGTTGGATTCACTGAGTGATGGCCATCGAGTTGCGTCGCTGGTTGAAGCTACTTCGGAGGTTGGTGCAAGTCGTAGGGCAGCTAATGATTCAATGCTAGCTTATAGATGGTAGAATCGGAAGAGAATATCACATACGACCATACCCACTGGAAAACTCGGGATCCCGTCCGCTCTCCCATAGATAAGCCAGTGAGGGCCAGACTAGTAGTTGGGTCGGTGACGACCAGCGAATCCCTGGTGTTGTATGTTTTTTTACTTTTTTGCATCTTTCACCCTTCTGCTCCGTATGTCTTTTGGTGATGTACTTTGTGATTGTTGCCAGTCCGTTCTGCTCCTCTCTCTTTTGCCGTGGACATGTTTGTATTGTCGTGTCGAGTGACAATATGTCCTAACCCTAACCCCAAAGTGGTGCGCACTTGCACGTGTCGCAACGAGGCCTTGCCATGTGGCGCATATTGACGAATCACTGTCGCCTCCTTGAGATTGGATGGATGTCAAGCCACAGCAAGGTTGCATGCGGCACGAGGATGATTGGTTGATAAGCAGCAGGTGGCCAAGAGGGGACAGCCTTGTCTTGGGGTGACATCGGGCGGCATGTCCAGCTTCTTTGATATCGTGGGGTCCTTGGTCCAGTGCCAGTGGGTTGGGAGGGGTCACGGTGGATGGCAGCAGTCCAGAACGTTGGGTCAGAAAAAACATTTGCATTTTTTTTAGGATGCCCTCGGGTGGTGTGTGTCGTGTGAGGGTTTTTGGAGTGTGAAAGCTTTCTTTTAGCAGCCGCCAAGTGGTGTCGCGTGTTTCGTCCGGCCTCGACTCGACTCGTGGATCGTGCACCTGCATTTTGTTTCTCAAAAAAGGTCTAGACACACCCCCTTCATCATCATCATCATCAACATCGGCTCGCAAGGTTTACTTTTTCCTCCAGTCGTCATTCGGCCTTTTCTCTTTTGGATAAGACCTGCAGTCACCGACCGCATCTTCTCACAAAGGAACCCGCCTCCTTTTCCGCCTTGCATCAATCAGTCCGTCGGATCTCCTCGAACCGGCGGCCAAGTGGAACTCTTCCCTTTTCAAAGGACCCTGAACTCCCAAGAGAAAGGCAACCAATGATGTTGATGGGGTGACACTAGACGATAACACAACACATCATCATCAACCAAACCCCTTGGAGATATAAAACCTACCTATCTATACCTCGCTACATTCCACCCTTATCTATACACTATACAATCTGTACAACCTACCTACATCTCCCACCGAAACAGCGATATTCCTGTACATACGGCATCAACCAACCAACCAACCAACCCAACGCCCCTGAGGGAAACACAACATACCCGTCCTCCCGTTCCCGTTGCCGAATCTCGGGTACTCGTCTATCTGTACCTGTCGCATCCCTACTTCTACAGGTACCCAACCAATCAACACATTCACCAACCATGCGCGGCGACACCCCCCGCGACCTCGTCGACAGCCTCACAGACGGCATCAAGGGCCTCGACGTGCGCGTGGTCGAGAACCCCGACAGCACCATTGCCAAGCGGGCGCACTATGCGCCTCCGTGGGCCGATGTCAGCATCATCGGCATCGCTGGTAGTTCGGGGTCGGGCAAGTCGACGCTGTCGCAGGCGATTGTGAAGAAGCTGAACCTGCCGTGGGTGGTGATTTTGTCCATCGACTCGTTCTACAAGAGCTTAGATGCCGAGTCGAGCAGGAAGGCGTTTATGAATGAGTATGATTTTGATTCGCCCGAGGTAAGTCTGTCTTTGAGGAAGGGTTGTAGTCTTGAAGATATGTCCTAAAACAGTGCAAAATGTCTAGGCACTGGACTTTGATGTCCTGGTAGATCGGTTGCAGGATCTCAAGGCTGGGTAAGTTTTTGAGCAATGTCATTGAGTGAGGAAGTAAAGTGAAAGTGGGCTCATTGTATCTGTCTATGCAGCAAGCGTGCAGAGATTCCGGTCTACTCGTTTGAGAGACATGCTCGCCTCGACCGGACTACCGCCATTTACTCGCCACACGTCCTCATTCTTGAGGGCATCTTTGCTCTCTACGATCCTAGGGTTCTTGAACTGCTGGATATGAAGGTACGTCTCCTTACAACTTGGCCAGGTGTAGTCAAGACATGCTAACTATTTCACTACAGATCTTCTGTGAGGCTGATGCCGACACTTGCCTTTCCCGAAGAAGTGGGTTTCCCGTCGACACTTGGTGGCCCATCGTTCATGTTCTGACAGAGTACCCCAGTTTTGCGTGATGTGAAGGATCGTGGTCGCGACGTTGATGGCATCATCAAGCAATGGTTCAACTATGTCAAGCCCAACTTTGAAAAGGTGAGCCTTTGAATCCCCCCTTTCGCAAAGAACCTCACTAACATATGCCCAGTTCGTCGACCCCCAAAGGAAGGTGGCCGACATTATCGTCCCCCGCGGTGTCGAGAACCACGTGGCTATGAGTAAGTCTAGGCCATTTTCAAACCCCTGTTTGCGTCGGTCATACTAACACCCGCCACACTTGTAGCCATGGTAACCCAATTCATCCAACAAAAACTTCTCGAAAAGTCCAAACGCCACCGCGCCGCCCTGACCCGTTTGGAATCGCAAGCGCGCCACCAGCCCTTATCCAACAAGGTCGTCCAGCTCGACCAAACCCCGCAGCTGCGCGGCATGAACACGCTCATCCACGACATCGACACGTCCAAGGAGGACTTTATCTTTTACTTCAACCGCTTCACCACCCTGCTGATCGAAAAGGCCATGGACAACATCCCCTTTGCGTCCACCACCATCACGACCCCGCTCAACCGCGAATACGCCGGTCTCCGACCGCGAGGCCAAGTCTCGGCCGTGGTCGTCCTGCGCGGCGGCGCCGCTCTAGAGGCCGGACTGAAACGGGTGCTGCCCGACTGCAAGACGGGCCGGGTCCTGATCCAGAGTAATATGCGTACGGGCGAGCCGGAACTGCATTACCTGGCGCTGCCCAAGGACATTGACCAGCACGAGGCGGTGTTGCTGCTGGATGCGCAGATGAGCAGTGGCGGATCGGCGCTGATGGCGGTGCAGGTCCTGGTGGATCATGGTGTCAAGATGGACCGGATTGTGCTGGCGACGTATAGCGCGGGCAGGTTGGGGCTGCATAGGCTGACGACGGTGTTTCCGGAGGTGACGGTGGTGGTGGGGAATGTGATTCAGGATGTGGAGGAGAGGTGGGTGGAAAAGAGGTATTTCAGGTGTTAAAAGAAGAAGAAGAAGAAGAGATGGTGATGGTCATTGATGTTGTTGTTTGCATAGTTCTTTTTTTTCCCACATACTAGGTGTTGTTGTTGTAGCATGGATCTGGCGTATATGGAATGGATGGAGTCAAGCAGGCTGTTCTGTTAAGGTTGATGATGTTGCTAGTGGTAGTGGATATGACAGCGAGATCATCCTCATGCTTTTACACTATGATTACTTCGGAAACTTTCGGAAAATGCTATGGAAGACGGACCAGGTGTTGGTTCCCTTGTGGTGGTCAACTCTGTCACCCGTTGACCCGACCCTACCCCTGATATCTGGAATATTCTGATCTCAACCCTAACCCGTTTGACATTGGACGAACTCGAAGCAGGTTCGGGACCGCCGGTATCGGGACACAAGCCAATGCTGGTTAGTCTGTTAGCTCGGTACTCTTCAGCTGAGATACTATACGAGAGCTATCCCGGATTTGTCCGAGCCCCAGGAGGACGAAACGAGATAGCCAGGGACCTTACAATTCAGTGGGCTATTAATAAAGTTCAATATGTATAGTATCCTGAATCTCGGCAAGAGTATACTAAGGTAGGATCTCACTTTAATTATGGATTGTTTGATAAAAATCGCCCAAGGAAGTTGACTCGAGGTCTTGAGCTAACAAGCACACCAGTCTTGGACTAAGCTCAATGCAGGGTGCACTTTCAGGGCAGTGACGGGGATGACAGGGGCATAACAGGGCACAACAGGGGCGGGCGTCCCGCTGTTAGTTGGGCCCCCAGTCAGATCATCCCGTCACTACTCGGAACGGACAATCAAGCGGAATGCGACAAAGATAAGACAAGACCCGACGTCAGTTCCTGAAAGAAATTCCCCGAATAAAACATACAAACGGGCTGGCTTCCATGTGAACAATTCCTTGCCTTCTTTCTTTTCCCTCAAAACTGACTGAGCCTTCTTCCCTTGCTGGCTGCACTAACATTAAACACTACACTGACCTAACACCAAGCGCCCGGACCTTATCACACACTGCCTTGGCTATTGACGTCATACCAAAGCAGCACAGCAGCAAAAAGTAAACAACAGCAGACAACCGACAGCAACACACCGTCGCCAACTGAACTCCCATACTGCAAAACAATGCTGCGCACATATCGAGTTGCGCGGGCTTCTGGCCTTCCTACAGCTCCTCCAACTTTGACTTTGACCTCGACGACAGCAACGCGACACTTGTTCACCCTACCAAAGAGTCTACAATTACGCCGTCCTGAGAAGCTCTCCCTCATCAGCCAACGCCAATTGTCAGGCAGACCACTACCGCGAACCCAGTCACGGCTCCTCAACTTTGGCTATCGCACCGCTGCTTGGTTTGGCAGCTCCATCGCATTTGTCGGCCTCAGCTTCGTCGCCTTCTTCCTCTACGATGCCTCGACCTACAGCTCCCACGCGACAAATCAGGGCGACATTACTGTCCCCAAGCTCGCCCTAAACCCGCGTCGCGGCGGTCCCAAGAACCTACCCATCCTCGAGATCTTCCTCGACGACGACGACAGCGAAGAGAAAAAGAAGCACAAGGAGAAACCCCGACTGGTCATCTTGGGTGGTGGCTGGGGCAGTGTTGCTCTGCTCAAGGAGCTCAACCCCGATGACTACCATGTCACTGTCGTCTCCCCGGCCAACTACTTCCTCTTCACGCCCATGCTGCCCTCGGCCACCGTGGGGACCCTCGAGCTCAAGTCCTTGGTAGAGCCCATCCGCAACATCATCGACCGAGTCAAGGGCCACTATGTCCGTGCCGCCGCCGAAGATGTCGACTTCTCCTCCCGCCTGGTCGAGGTATCTCAAAAGGACCCCCGTGGCAACGAAGTGCGCTTCTACGTTCCCTACGACAAGCTCGTCATTGCCGTCGGCTCCACCACCAACCCTCACGGCGTCAAGGGTCTGGAGAACTGCCACTTCCTCAAAGACATCAACGACGCCCGCCAGATCCGCAACAAGATTATCCAAAACCTCGAGCTCTCCTGCCTGCCCACCACCTCGGACGAGGAGCGCAAGCGGCTGTTGTCCTTTGTCGTCTGCGGCGGCGGTCCCACCGGTGTTGAGTTCGCCGCCGAGCTCTTCGACCTTCTCAACGAGGACCTGACCCTCCACTTCCCGCGTCTCCTGCGCAACGAGATCTCCGTCCACCTCATCCAGTCCCGCGACCACATTCTCAACACGTACGATGAAGCCGTCTCCAAGTATGCCGAGGACCGCTTCTCGCGCGACCAAGTCGACGTACTAGTCAACTCTCGCGTAGCCGAAGTCCGCCCCGAGTCCATCCTCTTCACACAGCTAGGCCCCGACGGCAAGACCACCGTGACCAAGGAGCTCCCCATGGGCTTCTGCCTCTGGTCGACGGGCGTCTCGCAAGCCGAGTTCTGCAAGCGCATCTCGCGCCAACTCGGTCCCGCCCAAACGAACCGACACGCCCTCGAGACCGACACGCACCTGCGTCTCAACGGCACACCTCTGGGCGACGTGTACGCCATTGGCGACTGCTCCACGATCCAGAACAACGTCGCCGACCACATCATCACCTTCCTCCGCAACCTCGCCTGGAAGCACGGCAAGGACCCAGAAAGCCTCGAGCTGCACTTTTCCGACTGGCGCGACGTCGCGCAGCAGATCAAGAAGCGCTTTCCACAAGCTACCGCCCACTTGAAGCGACTCGACAAGCTGTTTGAGGAATACGACAAGGACCAGAACGGCACCCTCGACTTTGGCGAGCTGCGCGAGCTGCTGAAGCAAATCGATAGCAAGCTCACCTCCCTCCCTGCCACCGCGCAGCGCGCCCACCAGCAAGGGCAGTACCTAGCGCACAAGTTCAACAAGCTTGCGCGCGCGGCGCCGGGGCTGTCGGCGAATGAGATTCACGAGGGCGATCTGGATGCGGCTGTGTACAAGGCGTTTGAGTACAGGCATCTGGGCAGTTTGGCGTATATTGGCAACAGCGCCGTGTTTGACTGGGGAGATGGATGGAACTTTTCCGGAGGGCTGTGGGCCGTTTATGCGTGGAGGAGCATTTACTTTACGCAGAGCGTGAGTTTGCGGACGAGGGTTCTTATGGCCATGGACTGGGGCAAGAGAGCGTTGTTTGGACGCGGTAAGTCTTGATCCAAGGCGATACGAAACAGTTTGAAAAATGTTGCTAACGAAGTGAATGCAGACTTGATGAGCTACTAAAGCCGACTACCATTGATCCCTTTTGCTATTTTCGGCACAATAAGAAAAGCAAGGACGTTTGGAGCTAAGCGGGAAAGCGAGCGTTTTTTCGTTTTTGGTGGCGGTTGTTGTTGTTTCTCGGGCTGTTACCTACATTCATACATTCATCTCACCTCACCTCGACCTCTTAACGAAAGTCATGATCCTTTTTTTGATTATTCATTGCGGTTCGGTTTTCTAGACGTGGGAATTGGTTGAGAGGCAGTAGTTGTTACCAAAAGCAAGTTTTAAAATTATATAGATTTCAATTAATTAATATCTTGCCACTTACTGTCTTTGTTCAATAAGAGCAATATACTCCCCCAAAGTGGTTACAGGCTTACCTGACAAGAGTAATACGATGATGCCTCGAGATAACTTGATACTTAACAAGCTGTTTCATGCGTTCAAACCTATCATGACTCATCCAAACAATCACTCCTCCAAAAAACATAGATACAACTTGATATTAATCCGTTTCTTACATTGATTCTTCCTCAAGTCCCCTTCAATCAATCACATCACTTTCAACATCCCAAGTCAAGTCAAATCTACTACCATGTATCTTTTTTCTCCATGTCCACCATAAATTTTGCCCTCAAACTTCCACACAACTTGATTTCAACTCCCATTAACCCCCCAAACCTCCCCCCACCGCCTACCACTCAACCTCAACGGGCCATCCAACCTCCCAAACCTCGCCTCCAGCCCACTGCTCGCCTCCGGCAAACACACCCACTCCCTTACGCAATCGGGGACTTCCTCCTTAATGTGACTAATGCAAATCAAGGCCTGCTCGTCCGTCAACCCATGCACCTTGACTTTACCTGCCTTGGCTTGCTCGCTATCTACCACTTCCACAGGAGCTACCGATAGACCCGCCTTCTTGGTCGTAGGAGTAGAGGCGGTAGAAGAAGAAGAAGCAAAAGTCTTGTTCTCTCCGTGCATCAAAAAAAGCATGCATTTGTCGCGGACGGCATCGTCCATCCCGCTAAACGCCTCGTCGAGGACGACGATATCGGGGTTTTTGACAATGGCGCGCAAAAAGAGAAGTAAGCGCTGGGAAGAAAAGGGTAATTCGCCGAATTGGTAATCTCTTGCCCACTTCAGATTTGCTTCTTCGTCGTCGTCTGCCTGAGCCAATTCGACGGGAGTGTGGTGCGAACGTCTGGCAAAGGATGGGTTAAGTTCGTGTGCGAACCAGGATAGAGTGGCGTCTACTTTTTCTGTTGCTTCAGGGCTAAGTTTGGGGACGGAGGAAAAAGTGTCGGCCCATGCGGATTCAAGAACGGAGCGGACGGTTAGCCGGCGAGGCATGTACTGGTGGATTTCGGGACTGGAGTGGCCGACGCGCGATTGGATGTCCCAGAAAGTTAAGGGGCGTTGACCGGATCCGGGTTCGGGCAAGCGGGACCGCCCAAAGAGTTTGATGGGGAGGGAGTAAGTCTGTGGATGGTCGGAGCAGAGCAGCGAGACGATGGTGGTTTTGCCGCTGCCGTTGGGACCGAAGACGCCCCACCGGGAGCCGCGGCGGACGGTCCAGTGGAGGCCCGAAGGCCAGTTGCCGAGAACAGTCTTGGAGCCGTAGCGGACGGTGACGCCGGACATTTCAACTAGAGGTTCTTTTTCTGCTTCCTCTTTTTCGGTCTTGGGAACAGGGGCGGAGTCGATGATGGGTGCTTGGTTGGTTGGGGAGCGGCTAAGTGCCTCGGCTAGTCCCTCCCCTTTGATACCATCCTTGGTCAAGGTGCGGCCGATGTCGATGAGAGCATGAACAGGCATTGTTTCGTCTTCAGAAAGTCCGCCCTTCCATACTCCGCGCACGTAGGCCCTCAAACCATCCAATACAATCCCACGCTCGCCCATCGCGCCCACCTGGCTGTCTGTCCGCAGATACACCAGGTGCGTGATCCACTCCGGCAAGGGATCCTGTGGTCTTGCGGCCAACACCAACCGCGGACTCTTCTTCTCCGCTAGACTTTGCAGCAAGGGACTCAAGCCCGCGACCGTAGCCGGGTCCAGTCCCATGAAGGGTTCATCCAGCAATAAAACCTCCGGGTCTTTGAAGAGGGCTCGCGCGATCCTGGCCCTGCGGCCCTGTCCGTTGGAAAGAAACGAGACGGGGAGGTCGAGAAGGGTGTCCAGCCGCAAATCAACAACCACCCGTTCAAACAACTTGTCGTCCACCTTGTAATCCCCCGGCATCGAAGTCGGGTTAAGTTCCGTGTTGCCCAACAACCAATCCTTCACCGAAAAATCCGTCTGTTCCCTGTGACTTTCGTACCGCGCAGAAATGTAACTGGACGCCGCTGCCCCTAGACCCCCGGACGTGGAAGTGGCGTCGAACCCGACATACTGAATCGCTTTGGCTGGGTTTCCTCTCAGCCGGGCGGGGACGTCTTCGGTTGAGAGGTAGGGAAAGGAGCGAGCGGTGGGCGGGAAGCAGAGGTATTGGCCGCGGAGGAGTTGCAGGAAGCTGGTCTTTCCGGATTGGGAGGGGCCGAGGATGGCCCAGTTGTGCGGAGACGAAGGATGGGAGGGGATATCGAGAGTGAGGTTGGAGAAGAGTGGTGGGTTGGGGTGGCCGTGGGAGGAAGGTTGGTGCCGGTAAAAAGTGCCGTTGGTGATGCGTATTATGGGGGGACGGACAGTGGTCCCGGGTGGTGGGAAGCGCATATTGAAGTAGGTGTTATTTGGGCAAGTAAAACTTGGATGTGCCGGACATCTCAAGTGACCATCTCAGATGAAGTCGGAGGGAATGTATAAATGACTGTGACATGACATGGTACTTGAAGAGGTTGATACATACGTAGAAGTCGGGTGTAAGAAGCGACTTCGGAGTTAATTACATAATACGCCAATACCCTGTAATGACAATGACAATGACAAGTGACGGGGACACCGGGGAGCCTGGCAGACACCCCACTACCTAGCGTCTGTCTGGGGTACGTACCGCCGCCGCCGTCCAGTGACAACAGCCCTGCCGCCCGCCTGCGACAACAGCGGCTGGGCAGTGAACGCGGAAGCTGCTTGGAGCCTTGACTTGGAGCTTCCCTTCCTCAACAACGTCAAACGACCACAACTTCAAGCAACACGCGAACAATATTTTCTTGCGATACCCAAACTAAAATCCAGCGATCAAGATACCATCGCAGTCGCGCAACAAAAACAATTCTGACATCCTGCGAACAAACAATCAATACGTAATCAACACCGCCGCCTAGCTTCATCAACCGCAAACCGTCAAGATGGTAAGCTATCACCACCCATTTGCCCCTCCATCATCATCACCTCCTCCTCACCCTACCTCCCCTTCCTCCATCCCCTAATTATTTCCCCCCTTCCACCTCTAAACCATACTAACACCCGTGTCAAAGTCCCTCCGCATCGTCCCCGCCGACTCCCACTCCTCAACCTTCACCCACCTCCGCTCCATCGCCGCCCCCTCCGCTCCCGGGTTGCACGACACCCTCCGCTCAGGCCTAGCTCCCCACCCTCTCGACTCCGTCAAGTCTTGCTCCTCTTCTTCCTCTTCTGCTGGTACCGCATCCGTAGTCCCCATCTCCTCGCACCCGCTCGAATCGCGCCTCAAGCAATGGGAAGCCACGCGCGAGACCTTGCGCATGGAGACTTTGCGCCGCACATTCGGCATGGCCGAGCCGATTAAACGCCAAATGGAGCTCAAGATTGTGCGAGACGGCGAGTGGAAGCCCTTGGCTTTGGGCGGGGGTGTGGGCATGATGGGCGGCATGGGCAATGTACATGAGGAGATCTTGATGGGACGGGATGGGGATATCACGTGGGAGGATGTGTACACAGGAGAGGAGAGTAGGGCCGAGGTGAGCGTGCATGAGGAGATGGAGAGGAAGTTGAGGATTTCGGCCTAAGGCTTTGATGATATACGGGGTGGCTGGTGTCTGATGGGATATAATGGACGTGTGATGGCAAGTTGGGGAATGAGTTGAAAGTTCCTTACAACTGCCCAGCCCAGGAGATACTTTGAAATCAGCAATACGGCTATTAGACATGAACCACCCCTTTGGTGCTCGCACACAGGCACGCTGTTCGGGAGTACATACATCGGATGTCGGGCATACGGCATCGCACTAGAAGCTGGGGTTCGGGGCCATCTGTCATCGTTTTCCTCACCAAGCTACACAAGCAGTCATGGACAATAGAGCGAACGTCAAAGAGATTCTCATCATTCAATATTTCCCAACGCCCAGTAAACTCGTAATATGTACATGACCACCATACTCATCTCTCCGAGGTCGGTCATCGTATCCATACGCTCTGCCCGCGAGCTCCAATCCCTCATCCATGTGGTTCGGGAGGAGCCCCTCATGGCCCCAGTATTCACATCAGCCACCAATCATCGCCGCACCTCTATCCCATTCTCCCAAAGAAAAAAGAAGAAAAAAAGGTTCCTCCAGCTCTCTCCCACCAATACGCTAGTCAAGCACAGACAACAACAACTCCCGCTGAGTGGGCAATAACTGCTCTCCACACACACCCAATGAAAACATAAACAAGAAAGGAGCGTTGTATACAAGACGCCATTCCCGGTACAGCCCCGTCTGTAAGCAAAGCCATGGAAAAACATATCCGACGAACAACAGGTGAGTGAGCGAAACGAAGAAGGAAGGGAAAGTGAAAACAGAAACATTCCGCCCAAGCCTTCCTACAACAAGAATACATGAAATACATGAAATAGCCAAATATAGCTCTTTAAACAATAACGGCCACTAACCGGCCCCTTATCTGAAATGCAATAGTGACAAGTAAGGGTTCGCTTGTGGATGTAGGACAAATCGTCCTCACCACAAGTGCATTCGTTGGGTACTGAACAAGGGTCCAGCTGGACTGACATCAGGTGTCGGATCTTTGTCGCTTCAAAGGGGCCAAAGACTCGTTCGTCGAGTCGACGCTGGGTCCACTGCTGTTCAGATTGATTTGTCGATATTCAATCGGTATCGGTAGCGACATCAACCGAACCCAATCTGATATCACTCTGATGGTGATATAATAAGACGCTTCGAAACAGCGAGCCGGCAAAGGACGAGATAAGCAGAGAGCATGTTGTGTCCATCCCTCATAGAATAACACAACACCCACCTCCTCCTTCTCTCCTCGATCCTTCTCGCCCGCCTGCGGTCTTGCCGCCTTTGGCGCCTTCGCCGTCTTCTTCCATCATCTCGGCTGGTCGAACCGACATGTGGACGACGTTGGGGGTGTCGGGGGAGAATTTGTATTCTGTTTTTGAAGGTTTGTTAGCATATTTCAATCATAATTGATTTATCAAATTCTCGCCGCAATTATTGCCGCAAACCAATCTATCCCTTTCCATCTCCATTATATCTCCAGGGTCACTTTTCGACACTGGCATTCCCTTTTCCCTTCCCTTATCTATTCCGACCATCACAGAGATCCCCACCCCCCGTCCCCATCCTCGTCTCCCTCCACTTTCTCCCCTCCATCCCTTACCATCATTCTCTCCAATGAAAAAGAAAAGGAAATCGGGCAAAACTCACTCTTCAAACTCTCTTTATCATCCAACAACTTCCCAAAGTGAATCAACCGAATGCTAGTCGGACTCGCCGGCTTCCCCTCCCACTCCTCCCTCCACTCCCTCAGTATCAACTCCTTGACCTTATACACGGAGATGCTGAACGGATCCGGCTGGCCCGTCCCCGCCACGGTCTCAGGGATGTCGACACCCCGTTTGGACAGATACTTTTCGTCGATCTTGTATGGGTGTCGGGCTCCCGTGGGTAGGAGGAGGGTGATGTTGCAGACTGGGGCTTCGGTACTACTGGGTCCCGACGCTGACTGAGATGCTTGAGATATCGAGTCGGGATCGTTGACGGCTTGTGGTTGGGATTCTGGGGGGGAAACTGGGTCGGTTTCGTCCATGACATCTTGCAATGTGACGGGCACGGCGCCGGTGACTGTGGGTATTGATGGTTCGCCTTCCTTGTTGTTCTGGGCATGGGACGGTGAGCCTGTTGTTGCGGTTGTTGCGGAGGCGGTGGCTGGTTGGTTGTTAACATGTTCCATCTGGATTACGCCGCCTGTTGCTGGTGTCGCTTGTTGCTGTTGTTGTTGAAGCGCATCGTCGGTCTCTGGGCGTTTACCGAGGCGTTTTGATTCGGTTGTGTCGGCCATATCGAATGTTTAGTGTAGGTCTGTCGAAAACGATGCCCGGTTTGAAATGAAGTTGATCGTATTCAAATGATTGTTTTGCTAGTAGTTTGGCGGTTGTGGTTTGGAGTGCGTCCCCCCCTGGATGGCACAGGCGCTTCTCCGGAAAATCGATCGAAGATAAAGAGGGTGTGGCTTGCTTCTGTGATGTAGCGTCGACGCGGGTCCGTCAAAAAAGGAACGTTGTTGCTATCAGGTGCTGATAAAACTGAAGTGTGGTTGTGACTAGAGTAAAATTGCAAAATGCAATGTATCGATGGATGCTGGCTTCGCTTCGGTCCTTATTCAGGTCAGGTCAGGGTGAAGGGAAGTGTGATGGAGTGCAGTTGTGGTGGTCGTTGGATGTCCGGAAGCGGCTTCCTTGGTAACTAAGTCGGTGGGTCTCGAGTTCCCTGAGTGGAAAGTGATCGCTGCCGTGGATTGAGACGAAGTGGGTGCTTGTGGTGGTTGATTGCGCACACCCGATTGAATGGACCTTTTGTTCCTTTTCTCCTTCTCTCGGTGGAATGAATCAATGAAGGAAGAAAAAGCAAAGATGGAGGGATGGAGGGATGAATGACTCGATGGAGTGGGAAAGAGAAAATAGCTAACACAACAGCGATGATGGATTGGGTCTTGCGACTTGGGATGATCAATAAAGGTAACTACTGCGATGAGCGGTGACCGCTTCGTGAGTGGTTGACTCGAATATGGGCTGGGTTCTAAGAAGGGAGGAAAAAAAAAAAAACAAAAAAAAAAAGGGTTGGTGTGATGTGTGATGGTTTACGTCCGTGGTTTGGGACAAGATAACGACAACGATGTCGTACAGTAGTAGAGTTTAATTCTGATGCAAGTCAAGTAAGCAATGTACCTGACCGAGCGACTGCAAAATGCGATGCGGCCAAGTTGTTGGTGCGGGCTATCGTGCGCGCTGCGAATGCGGTGCGGGTGGGAGAGATGATGTCTGAGCGGGTACGAAAAGACAAAAGTCGAAATCGAGAACGGGAGGGAGGTTCGCTTTTGTGTGAGCTGCTGGTTGCCCACCTCACTAACCTGGAGTTTGTGGAGGTGGATATCGAATACCGGGGAGGTTGTATTGATGAAACCCAAGGTTAATGACGACGTCTCTGTCTTCCTTCTTTCCGCAGCGTAGACAACGGGACGTCAAGGGTTCCCGCTCTCCGGATGTCTCCGGTCTATGTATTGGACGGTTGAGGCAAAAGCTACATTTATGTTCCGATGCTGAATTCAGACGATGGGCCGCCCGGTTCTGATTTCTGAATGAGCGCATGCGTCTGGCCAAAGCTGAGGCGCGGAGCCGGGGCGGCTGGCCAAGATCGGGGATGACCCTGGATGGGGGAGATCAGAAGCGATTGCTAGTGTAGCGTAGATGTGGTGATGATTGATTGAGTTGATGTAATTACCAGTGCTCGAGTCCTCCAAGACGTCAAACTATGGTAGTGTAGACTTCCCAATAGCCAAAGTCAATGGCCCGAAATCGGAATGAAAAGCCCCGATGAAATCGTGCGGCCCGAGTCCGTACCTAGCGTCCGGTCTCGAGCCGGTCTATCCGCCGCGGCAAAGCATGTTGGAGGTCAGGGACGTCTGGTGTTTTTTTTCCTCTTTTGTGATGACGAGCAATCTCGATGGGCGCAATGGCACCAATTCGGGAGGTCGGGGACTGGACGTGGGTTGGGTGGCCCATCGTAGATTATTTTGATTGGTTGATGCTGTGACTGCAAGGTCCACACCTGATCGGCAAACCCCCGCACAGTTAGTTAGGCCATCATAGTTGTGGAGTTCATGATGCATCGTTGCCAAGTGATTTTCGTCTCGTTTCTACATAAATCACGAATCACGCTTCTTTTCGGGAAGACACTCCTTCGTCAGAACTGCAGAAAGCGAAGGTAATGGCTCAATACTTGGCAAATCAACTTGACTCGCGCTCAAATTTCATGATTGTACGTCAAGAGGAACCGAGGAGTGTCTGTTACAGAAGAACCAGTCGGAAGAGATGGTCGAGTTGCTGCGAACTCACTCAATGTCTTCATGTTCACATCTCAAAAGAGGGTATTGCCTCGGAGTGCCGAATATGAATGTGTACCATCAAATTCTATCACCGCAACCAAATCACGGCCCCTGACCCCCTTCAGACAGTCGCTCTGAGAGACATATAAACAATAATGGGTTAGAATCTTGGCCGACCAGAAAGGTCAATTTGGTTTGCTGAAAGTATACATCAAGCACTCAATAAACGTCCTCCAATCCAGGTTAACCCCATCTACGACCGACCGTTTGGGCTCGAGACACTCGGCGATTTTGTTCTCAAAGACCAGGGGACAGCCCTTCCGAAACGCGTCTTGGAACCCGACCACGTTCCTGGGGTTTACCCATCTTCTTGGTCGTTGTTGGACTGGATCTGGGCAGTATCATTGTCTTGAAACATTACGGTGCTTCCTACTCCACGGGGATTTCAGTGACTGACTGACCACTACTCTAGTATACGATACCAACAGAGGATAGACTCGCCTCTACCTTGTAAGAGATAACATCACACAGGTAGTCTTGATGGGATGCTCAATGTCAAGTTCGCATCTACAGCCACAGAATCTTCCAGCTGCCGGCCGGAGAGTGGCCTCTGAGAGCTGGTAACACCGTCACTCGCGAGTCAATTTGTGTCTGTACCTCATATTGGGTGAACTTTAGGTCACACTGAGGAGGAGCTAGGAATGTCGGGCATGGAGGCTGGTGTTTGATCTTCTATCTGGTTGATGCCTGCTTGCAAAAATTGAGTCCTACAGATTCGACGGGACTCCTCCAAGTCCCCGTCATATCGTGATATGATGCGGACAGACGGTTCATCAAGCGTCATTTCGGCAAGAAATCATGCCAGTGACGTTGAGACGGAAGCACCAAAGATGGCTACAGTCCACGAGCTCCCGTGTGCACCGTTGGAATCCACGAATGCCTGACACCACCGAGGTCAAAATCGTGACCATGGCCACTCTTGTCTTCCAGATCTCGTTTGTGAGTTTGACCTACGAGGAACGTCCAGCTCAACGGGCCTTCCCAGACATCCGATGAAATATGGCAGAGGCACTGCGGTGTGGTTACCAACAGGTTGTCACCATCATGATGTCCTTACTGAGGTCAAGGTCAAAGGTGCGGCAGGCGATGGTGAATGGCGTATATCTTGTCGTGCCTGCCGTCCTAGTCATACAAACAACTTGAAGCGTGGGGCAATCTGGACCCTGGAGCGTTCCTTCCTTTTTAACACTCGACTCCTGGTTGATGTGTAGTGCAGCCAGTCCTCAAGGTTCCCTCACTTGGACTTCTCCTTCCCGCCTTCGGCCTCCTCAGCCTGGCCCTTTTTTCCTCCACAAACTCGCGATAATTTCGAAACCAAATCCACAGATCAAACCAACACATTAAACCCTCCAGAACACGAACATTCTTACCCGCGCAGTCTACCTACATTGTAGTACGGCTTCCATGTGAGTTGTGATTATTATTGTTTTTTTTTTATGGTTTCTCCGGCTTGATTGGAGAGAGCAGCGTCCCCTACAATACCCTTGAATACCCAAATTCTCGTCAATCTTGGCGGCGACATCAAGCTCCCCTCACCTTGTCGTTTCACGATGCAAACAGATCCCCCACCCAAACACCACGGTGACACGGCCCTGAGCTGTGTGTGTCGCGCAGAGCAGTCCTTTGATATTAGACGTGTACCAGCACGTCCAAGGAATCAGTGATGCTGTAGCACTCCGGCTGTCCCCTGCCATGCTGCCACCCGTTGCCGTGTTCCTGAATCTGACTTTGCAATTTCCTGTTCTGTCATGGATCCACGATTCCATAGGGTCGCGTCAAGTCCTTCTTTTCTTCCTTTTTGAGACTACTACGCCTCTCACCTCACCTTCCTTCTTTCTACCTTCTCCTCTTACGGCACTCCAAGCTGACACTCGTTTCACCAGCAGCAGTCCACTCCATTTTCTTGACTTTACAACCTTTTGGTATCAACAGCCAACATGTTCTTCAAGAAGTCTACTGCTGCGGCCGCGGCTGCGTTTGCTGGAGTTGTCGTCGCTATCATTGACGGAGGCGCCTGCGCTCAGAATCAAGTCAACGGTCTCCGTGAGCGCGACGATGGAGACTGGACCACCGTATCGCTCACCACTACCGTTTACGGCACCACGACCCAGACCGTCCAGTTGACTGCCGCTGAGGTGACCAGTACCTCTTGCTGGACCACCACCTATGAGACTACTTTCAGCCCTGTCGAGACCGAGACTGGTTCCCCCGTTGAAGGCACGTACACGTCCATTGCCAGTCCTGGGGGTGTCACTACCGAGACGTCTACCAGCGTGGCTTACGCCACAGAGACCTCCACCATCGACACGTCCAGCAGTGAGACATCCACCAGCGAAGCTCCCACTACCACCGATGTCACCATTATCGTCCCGGCCTCGACTGTTATTGCCAACACTACCACTGACTTGGTCACCTCTCATTTCACGGTCACTGTCAAGAGCGGCACCCTCACTTCCACCATCTGGGCTACTGCTTCCGAAACCATCAGCGTTACCATTCCCAGCAGTGGTTTCCCCCTGCCGACCTACAACTCCACGGCTACAACTGTGGCCAGAACCACGTACACCAACACGACCACTGTTGTATCTGCCACCAGCTTCTTGTCATCCTACACCTATCTTTCCTCCGGCACTCCTGCCTCGGTCGGGTTTAGCACTACTGGCTACGGCAGCCCTTATGCGTCTGCCACCATCACTGCCGGCGCTTCCGTCATGGAGGCCGGCAGTCTACTCGGTCTCTTTGGTTTCTTGATGGCTCTGTTGGCATAGAGTGGCGTCTTTCCTACCTCTTGAACATTCCTTTTGGGGAAGCCATGGATAGTACCACAAGGGTATGATCTCTTCTTTACGGCCTTAGGGACATGAGCTGACCGGTGTTCTAGGTTATGACATCTTCCGTATCTTATGGCCAAGCTTGGCTTACTCCACGGGTGTTGGTATTGCCATGTGAGGTCTGGTGATTTGGTTGGCATGACTGCTATGATTTCATTTGGAGGCCATGTTAGTGACATGGTCGGATAGTTTTTCTCTTCTTCCACTCCTTTGTCTCAAATTTTCAAAAAAATTTCATGACTGTTATGATGTGGATGCATCAGAGTATAATCGGTAATGACTTGTGGTATCTCTGCAAGGCGGTGCGCATGAGATGCTGGAGACAAATGATCTCGGGGGGTCCTTGGGCAGGCTGATGATGAGAGGACAAAAGGGTACTGCATGTACAATAAGCCCTATTATGTTCGAGTCAAAGCAGTAACTCGACATGATTTCCATCCTCTTTAATGTTTCGTGAAGCTTTTTACTTGTTAGCCGATTCCACTTCCAAGTATCCATGTTCCTGAACGGGGATGTAGCCCAATGTTCCATATTTCCTTTTATCATAACATACGGGTATCTCAACTTGACTCATTCCATTCTCCCCGAGTCTCATCCAACTCCATCCCCCATTTCCCTTCTGCGTTTCCATCAATCATCCCATCATCATTAATCTTCCACTTTTCTTCTTTTCGTGATACGCCAATTCCCCCTTTCAAATCCTTAACACCACCCTCGAGGCTTCTTTAAACATACGACCTCGACCCCATACCTCCACCCCCTCTACCCTTCCGCCATCTGATCCACCCCACCACTAACAGGGCCACAAGCACGGCGAACGCCAAGAACTGAAAGACTTCATCCGCAAGTCCCTTCTTGCAGCTCGACTGCAGCCGGCTCCAAGCCGTCTCCGCATTCGGGTCCCCGTACAAAATTCCATAGTACCAGTCCCCCTTGTACTTGCGTTTACCTTGGTTCAAGAGGTTGTTGTCAAGAATCTTCTTAGCCTTGGTGGGATCGGTGCAGGAGAAACCGCGGGTTTCGGCTGCCCAGGCCTGTTTTCTGGTGTTAGTATCAGAACAAACAAAATGGAGTGAGGGAGGGATAACGTACAATACCACCAGCCAACAACACCAAAGCACCAATAGCATCGGCGCCTAGTACCACGATATCTAGAAAAGAACCAATGAACAGAGCGGCGATGCCCAAAAGCCCTTCGAGAATGGCGTAGGCGCCGGTAAAGACGGAGTATTGCGTGGTGGTCGCTGCGGAACCGACTTTTTGGGCGGTGATGAAGTGGGCGGAGAGACCGACGATTACGGCGCCGAAGAGGATCTGGTTGTTTGCGGAGAGAAAGGTGTTAGCTGGTTTGGCAATTTCGATAAGGGGAAGGCTGAATACCTAGGTAGATATAAGTGTAGAGTAGGTAGGGTGTAGAGAGAGGAAGAAGAAGTGATGAGTGTAGTAAACTTACCTGAAGGCCACGAAGGCCGATACATAAACCGGCGAGCATCTTATTTTGTTTTTCAACGACAAGAGTGAAAGGAATAAAGTGATAATGGGAATGTTTCAAAACAAGAAAGAAAAAGGAAAATGAAAACCTCCCGGTACTTGGAAAAAGCATGGGAGAACACCACCTTTTGTACCTCTACGTTATAGTTCTAATCCAAGAGTCTCAACACAAGGTAAGGCAGGTAGTGTAGTATCAAACGGCCAAGGCTATACTACATACCACCCTCGTCTGACTAGACCCCATCTTTTTTTTTTTTTTTTTTTTTTTTTTTCTTGAACTACCTCCCGCTTCTGCCAGGGATTAAACTCAACAGTCCGAGCCAAGGAAAGATAGAAAAAATCTCGTCATGTTAGAACTAGGCAACTACCTACCTACCTTACCTAGGTAGACAACAGCCGATCGGCAAAAGTCCCGAATCTGGGAACGCGGGGAGGTGACCGTGACATCGACGGAATGGAGATGGAGAAGCTGACCTGCATATTCTGAAGTTTAGACTAGTGTACATCGATGGTATAAATAAGAAGGCTGAGCTCCGTGGCTTAGGTTGTTCTGCTCTGTTCATGCAGTAGCGTTGTTCACTTCTCCCGCCCGAGCCGCCCTATAGCATTAACGGTTACCTACATCGCCTTACTCGGACTTGGACTTGATCAATCAACTCTTTCGTCCAATCGAACTTTCTGTTATGAAAGAAAAATTAGTGTAAATGCGAGCTCGCATTTAGCTGGCAGGCTGAGGGGTCAGGCAGCAAGAAAAACCACAGCCAAACAGACAGAGAGACACACACAGCCGAGGGAGGGGGACAAAACCCACAAAGAACCGTACATTAGGCCCAAGTCCAACACTACACTCGAACAAGCCAAGCCTCTCTCAAGCTAGGTACATATAGGCCAGACAGACAACGAAAAAAAAAAAACGAAAAGGGCTTGGGACAATCAAGAACTCTGCAAATGGTACTATTTTGGAGGAAATACGGGAATAGGTACCTGATAAACCTCTAACTGCAGTACATGATAGTTCCAATGTAACCCCAATCTCACGATCCGCCGCTGGTGCCTAGCGTTAGTCTTGTTAGTCTTGGTTGCTAGTACTACGCTGGTACGCTCCATACTTTGCACTAACAAGTGTGCCTAGGCTGTCTGTTGTTTGTTACCCCTGAGCCGACTGGGTTGACAGCTTGTGTGTGATTGGTTGGTTTGGCTTGGCTGGCTTGGGTGTATGTAGTATTCGGAGCCGTCTTCCCGTGACTTAGGTATGACTCTTTCTCTGTCAATGGAGGGAGCTTCATGAGAAGTGAGCTTGGTGCTTTGAGCCGTATTCGGTTTTCCAACATAACACAGATTTGGAAAACATGAGGTTCCCTGTGCAAGCAAGCGAACGCGCAAAAGACACCCTCCCTCCTTCCCTGCCAGAGGCCTCGAGTAGAAGATGGATATTGCATTCTTTCCAAAACGTCTTGGATGTATAAAGCAGCTTATTCCTACCTCTACTAGAGGTCCATAGCGAGCGGTTACAAAAGAGGTTGCTGCTCCAAAAGGGATGTTGCTCAGATAACTGATTGTAACAAGTTAACAAATAGCCAGGGTCGTGATTGTCAAGTTGCCAGAACCTTGATTAAGGTTTCAAGCTGTCTCCTTTCTTCCCTTTCCCTTGCCCAATAATGTATCACCAGGGAGCTTTGTCGGGCAAGAGATGCTAGGCATCCCGTTGAAAGAACCGGCAGTTCTCGCCCCACATTCGCTTTTTGGGGTTCGTTTTCGGATGATTCCGCCTGAGGGTCGTTGCCGGGTATAATCTGGGGTCTATCGGCATGTCCATGTGTTGCTACCGTTACTTCATCTCTTCATACAGTCAATTCTTTCCCGAGTGAAGATATTTTCCCCGCTCAGACAGATACAGGGTCGCATAATGTATCGTCATTGGTTTCGTTCTACCATTGTCCATTCGATTCGAGGTCTCATAACGACAATGCTGGCACAGCATATTCCAGCGGTTCCCTGCGCACTTCCCAAGCAAGCCAGTCGGATCTCGTCGTCCTGTATTCACCACGTTAGCCTTCGTTTTACCACACTCTCCCCCAGGATCACTTACGGTAGTAGTCCCATACTATTAATCTTCCACACACCGACCGCCAGCGCCAACACCTGCATAAGCACATAGGCCGCCTTCACCTGCAGAATAGACCCCCGGTTGCTGTCCGTCTCGAATCGCTCAAAGGCCTGGTTGGTCGACAACAAGCCCATGATGGGGTTCTTGAAGGCCATAAACACCATCATGATGCTGAAGATCTGGAGCGAGTTGCCGGACATGTACATCATGATGAGAGTCATGGGCAAGTTCTTGGCGGGCGCGAGGGCGACTTCCCAGGCCTTTTTGAGCTTGAGCTGGTCCATCTTTTCGGGGGAGGGTTGTTCGCGGGGGGCGGAGCGGGAGACATCCTTCTTCTGTAGGGGCAAACAGGTTAGCGGGGAAGTTCTATCATGCGTGACGATGGGGAGTTGTTGCTTGCCTTGGAAGGACCAGATACGGCTTGCGACGAGTAGCCTGGGGGGTCGGGGATGCTGGCAGGCTTGGACTTGTAAGGCGGTGGGTTGGCGAGGTCGGTTACCCATCTGGGGGCGGGGTCGGCAACGGGTTTGAAGTCTGTCATGGCGGGCGTTGTGACTGTGTCGTCCATAGAAAGTGAAGGTATTGGTGATGAGAAGTGGAAGCTGGATTGCGATGACGCCCAACGTGTAGTGTACATAGGTAGTGTACGTGATGGAGTCCGTGCTTCGGTAGCTTGCCCGTCCCTGACTTCCACTTCGGTCTCTGAGACAGGGCCCCACTAGAGGTAGTTGAGCCGCTTCCCGCCTTCCCCACGCTGGCCGCTGAGTGGTGGGGACCGTGCGCTGTTGATGATGCTATGTACCGAGCTCCACTGAAGCGTGCCAGTCGTTCACTGGCAGAAGGCGTCGTCCAGTGGGCGTTCACGCCAAAGCGGCAGGTCCAGGTCTGCAGGGTCCGCGATCGCTGACCAGGAGGTGCCGTAATTAATCGACCCGACGGTTCAGGGGACGCCCCGACCTGACCGGTGAACAGAACCATGATTATTTTCCATCGTTACCCTTGAACTAAACATCATCTTTTTCGTTGTCTGTCTGGCTCGTTGGAGTTTTGTTTGAAGACTAGGAGGCTGTTTCATTCCCATCAACTACGTACAGCAACAAAAAGTGGGAGGGTTTTATGCGCCGGAACACATCTTCACCGAGCCTACCGAGAGAGTGACGACGACGAACATCGCGATCCTCATTCGACGACAATTAATCCCCATTAGTACTCCAACACTCGCGCGACAGACATCAAATTACTTGACTCGACCTCGAGACTAAAACAAAGAGGAGGACAAGCAGCAGAAAGAGTGCCTGTGACACCCTGTTTCACCTGCTTGCTGTACATTGGTTGGCTATTATCGACTTGACGATATCGCAAAAACATATCATTGTGTTCCAGAGCAAGAGGGGCATTTTCTTGCCTAGCACACCACCCACCACACCTTACGCCCGCGCCGAGCTCGTTTGCCATTCGTCCATTTTGTCGATATCGAAACTATTTTCGTTGCATCGCAAGCATTCATCGGCACCGGATTCGAATCGGCCAAAACAGGAATAGTTGTGAGGAGGTTGTGGACGACAATACCAGACTCTACAAGCAGCCAACAACATGTCGGCCGCACAAGGAGGAGGAGACTCCAAGCTGTTCGCGAGGGTAAGATGAAATATCATTACACATGTTACGCTGCTCGGGATATGCCGTTGCTTTGTCTACCACCACCACCACCCCTCCTCCCATTCACCATCCCAGCTCAGCTTCCTTCGCGTATCTCCCCCCTCCCTTGCTTGCTTGTTTGTTTCTCCTCGACATCGCGAACATCAATGACCGCAATGATGTTTGTCGCATACCCTATCCCGCCGAACATTAGCTTACCACAGACTCGACAGGGCAAAGTAGCTGAGCTACGCCTCGAGCTGAACAGCGGCAGCAAGAAGGACAAGAACTTTACCCAAAAGAAGATTGCCCTCAAGAAGATTGTCGCCAACATGACCATGAGTAACAATGACATGGTCGGCTTGTTCCCGGACATTGTTGCCTGCATGGCCATCCAGAGCTTGGAAATTAAAAAGATGTGCTTCTTGTATCTGGTCAACTATGCGAGGATGAAGCCAGAGATTGCAGTAAAAGCAATTCCGGTTCTGGAGCATGTAAGTCACCACCACGCCTACCTTTTGTTGTGCAATAATATAGTTAGTCACTAACAAAGACCAGGACATGGAAGATCCAAACCCCCTGGTGCGCGCCCTCGCCCTTCGGACCATGTCTTATATCCACGTGCGCGAGTTCGTCGAGGCTACTGTGCCACTAGTGAAGCATCTTCTCCGCGATATCGACCCCTACGTTCGCAAGACGGCGGCTTTCTGCGTGGCCAAGCTCTACGATCACGATAGACACATGGTTGAGGCTTCGGACCTTATCGACAGACTCAACAACCTCTTGAGAGACGATAACCCGACAGTGGTGGCCAGTGCACTGGCGAGCTTGATGGATATCTGGGAGAGGAGTGATGCTATCAAACTCACTATCGACTACAGCAATGCCTCCAAGATGGTGGCCATTCTGGCCGACTGCTCCGAGTAGGTTATCCCCCTTGCAACACAAGTACGGTCTGCTGACAACACCCACCAGATGGGGCCAAACTTACATCCTCGAAGCCCTCATGTCTTATGTCCCCCAAGAATCCGGCGAAGCTCTCCTTCTCGCCGAGCGTATCGCCCCACGCCTCTCACACTCCAACTCCTCGGTAGTCCTCACCTGTATCCGCGTAATCCTTTACCTCATGAACTACATCTCCGACCAAAAGCAAATCTCGGCCCTCTGCCGGAAACTCTCCCCACCATTGGTCACCCTCCTCGCCAAGGGTCCCGAAGTGCAATATCTCGCCCTGCGCAACGCCCTTCTCATCCTCCAGCGCCGCCCCGAAGTCCTCCGCAACGACATCCGCGTCTTCTTCTGCAAGTACAACGACCCCATTTACGTGAAGGTGACCAAGCTCGAGCTCATCTTCATGCTTGCCAACGAGAAGAACATTGACGAAGTCTTGACGGAACTACGCGAGTACGCCACAGAAATTGACGTCCACTTTGTCCGCAAGGCTGTCCGCGCCATCGGCAAGCTGGCCATTAAGATTGAGCCAGCGGCCAAGCGGTGCATCAACCTGCTGCTCGAGTTGGTCTCCACAAAGGTTACCTACATTGTGCAAGAAGCCACGGTAGTGATCCGCAACATCTTCCGCAAGTACCCGAACCAGTACGAGTCCATCATCGGCACCCTCTGCGAGCACCTGGACTCGCTCGACGAACCCGAAGCCAAAGCAGCCATGGTGTGGGTCATTGGCCAATACGCCTCGCGTATCGAGAACTCGGACGCCCTCCTCGAAGACTTTTTGTACTCCTTCGCCGAAGAGCCCGTCGAAGTCCAGCTCGCCCTGCTCACAGCAACCGTCAAACTCTTCATCCAACGTCCCACCAAAGGCCAGGACCTCGTCCCCCGCGTACTCAAGTGGGCCACGGAAGAAACCGACAACCCCGACCTCCGCGACCGCGCCTACATGTACTGGCGTCTCCTCTCCACCGACATGGAATCCGCCAAGCGCATTGTCATGGGCGAGAAGCCCGCCATCACCGCCGAGTCGGAGCGTCTCGACCCCGTCACCCTCGAGGAAATGTGTCTCAACGTCGGCACCCTCGCCACCGTCTACCTCAAGCCCGTGCAGACCGTGTTTCGCAACGCCCGCCCGCGCAAACTCCCAGACTCCCCGTGCCTCCAACGCCCCGACTACCTCGATTACGCAACAGCCCACCAACTGCCCAACCCCAAATCCCTCTCCCAGTTCGGCCAAGGCCACCAACCGTCCGACTTTGATCCCCGCGTGCCTGGGTCCCGACCTGCTCCCCCTTCTTCTGCCAACAACACTCAGAGTCAACAAGGAGGGAACTTGGCTCAAGCGGTACATGATGCGGACGCTTACTTTACGCAGCAAGCGAACCAGCAGGCGGCGGTTAATGATGCGGATGCGTATTTCGCGCAGCAGATGAGGCAGATGCAGATACAGCAGCCCGGCGACAGTTTTGGTGGGGATGCGGGACATTATGGGTATGGGCAGGGGTACGTAGTCAGTCAGAGCTCGGCGTACCAGCCGGGGATGGGGGGATGAATGGCATGGGAGGGATGAATGGGGCGCAGGGGGATTTGTTGTTGTGAGACAGTGTGGTGTGAGGAGTAACTAGCTAGCTAGGAATGGAAAGGGGGATGGGGTGGGAAGGGGTAAGAGTCGGAAGAGAGGAGAGACAAGGTAGTAATGTAATAGACAGACTAGGAGTTGGGAAGCGTGGTGAGTGTGAGTTTTGGTAGGGTGGTGGGAAAAGATATCCAGTCAGGTTTTTGGTTGTAGATAATGTGAATAAGAAGTAATATCCCGTCACTTTGTATGTTCTGGTGTGTTCTTAGGCGGGTGTGAAGCATTCATGTCATATCACTACAAGACGAAAAAGTCAAAGGCGCGAGCGCAGGACCACTTTGTATGTTCTAACCGTTTATTGCACTGAAGATCATCTTGAGAGAACCGTAAAACGCCAATTTAACCATATACGAACTAAAAACCGAAAGGGAATATTTTGCAAGAGAAAAAAAAGGAACAGAACGATTACCAAACAAATCCGGATATGTATATGTCCGTAAAGCCCCAATACTTGAACCCATCCGAGCCGCTTTAAGCCAGATTGAAATCCTTGAAAGTCCACTTCTCCGTAACCTTTGTCTTGGCCTGCTTTTTGAAGGGAATGTGCCTCCTCGCCTCCACCTTGCCTCTAAGCAACATATTCCTGTACCTGTCTTTCAACAGATTACCCTCCGGCTTGAGCAGTCTCAGCGAATCCTGCAGCTCATCCGGCAAGACCAGCTCCAGATCCTTCTCGGGCAACTTGAACTTGCCTAGTTGCCTACGGCGCAGCTCGACGTCGTCATCCTCTTCAATGCTAGCATCGTCCTCTTCGACATTGTTGGATTCGGCTTTTTGGAGAGCAAGCTGCCTCTCCTTCTCGGCCAGTTCCTTGGCAATCTGCTTGACCCGCGCGGCCTCGGCCTCCCTCTTCTTGATGGCCGCCTCGTGCTTCAGACGCTGCTCCTCGGCCTTGCGGCGCTTGATCTTGTTGCGCTGCGCTTGCGTCTTGCGCTCCGGCCGCTTCTTCTTGTTGGCCAACCCTTCCGCGTCGCTCTCGGCCCCTTCCCAGGCGGAATCATCCTCCCACTCCGACAGCTCGGCGCGCTTCTCGGCGGCCTCGGCCTCGGCGCGCGACTTGGCGGCCGCTTCGGCCTTGAGACGCTCCTTCTCGAGTTCCTCCAGCCGCTTCCGCTCGGCCTCCTCGGCCTTGCGCAGCTCCTCCTGGTAGCGCTCCGAGTAGTCGGTGAAGGCGGGGTTGTACGACTTGTCGCCCTTGGGCTTGGGAACGGCGGGGAGCTGCTTGCCGGTGGCGGCGAGGGAGATGGGTTGTTGTGTGAGCGTCTTGGGCGCCTTGGGCTTCTCGACCTTGGGCAAAAAGTTGAACGTTTCCGCGGCCTGCTGCTGCTTCTTCTGCTCTTCCTCCGGGTCGGCCCAGGCGTCAAAGGTAGCGTCGACGACTTCGACCGTGGTGGTGTGGTGGCCGTCGGCGACGCGCTTCAGGCGGCTGAGTTCCTTTTGGGTGACGTAGGTGGCCCGCAGGCGCTTGGAGGGCAGGACGCCGTCGGTGACCTTGCCGGAAGTTTCAGAAGCCGGGCGCTTCTTGAGGGAGACGGCAGAAACGGCGGAGCGCTGGGCGAGGATCTCGTCGGCCTTCAAGGGCTTCTTGAGCTGCTTGGGGAGCTTCTTGGTGATTTCGGTGTCGGGCTTGACGTCGATGGCGAAGAGTTCTTCGGAGGTCTTCTCGGCAATGACACCACTGTTGTGCGATAATTCACGTTAACCAATTGGTGTCTTTTGGTGATACTAAGCATCAAAGAAGGAGCACCGTACCCCTTGATGATCTGGGCGTTCAACTCATCGAGACCCTGCTCGACCTCTGTAACGTCGACATTCTTCCTCCACGCCTTCTTGCCCTTTCTCGACGGTTGGTTGTATTGCTTGGGGGCTTCGGGATTGCCCGACAAGGGTTTTAGGACGGGCATTTTGGGTGTGTATGGTGGTGTGTTGTGCCTGTGTTGTTGGGTTGACGACTCGAAGAAATCAAACGAGTCGGCGGAGGTTCGAGGCAGATAAGAAAATGGAAATATTGATACCTCGAAACCGCCTGGAATTCTGGGGTCTCCTCTGCAGTCAATCCAACTGTCCAGTGGGGTGTGCAACTCAAAATTTCAGCGGCGACGGGACAGGAGGCAGCGATAAGATAAGAAAGAGACAGGACAAGGAAGAGCAACTTCAACACAAGCGGCATCCAGCACTTCCCTTCCCCAGCCGTGCTCAGCTGGCAGTTGGAGCAATTCACCAATCAGACTCCAAGCTGCCTCGGCCTCTGGACAAATCCAATGACGGCCGCCAACGAGGCTTCCATTGGTTGTCTCTGTCCTTTTGGTCAAGTGAAGTGTCGAATCCATTTGTCTGGGCGCAGAAAGGCGGCGGGCGGCCACTGTTTCCCTCCACTGATGGCTTGGCGCGGTCCCCTTTCTCTCGCATGAGTCCGCTTCGGGGAAGAAGACTGGACGGACTGTGAGGAAAAGAATAAAGTCGCAAGAAAGACTTTGTTGTTCGGACTTATGCATACAAAATTAATAATAAAAAACGTAAACTTGTACACACGTGCATACGGAATGTCGGTCAATCAATTAATCTGATCCAAAAAAAAAATATTGAATGTTCAGATATTTTCTGCTCTTTGTGGTTTCAACTCTTATAAAACGATCTCTCGACCCGATTTTTGTTTGGTTAAAACGAAGACGGACTGCAAAGACCCCAGCAACCAAGTCGGCAACGAGACCCCGACTGGATCCCAAACACCGACCCGATTGTCCTCCAAGCTCCCTTGTCATCCACCCCCCGGCCACCACGCCCCGTCCGTCGCACCACTGAGACCACTCAACGCTGCATGATCAGTCTCCGGCAACTCTCCGCCGCCGTCCATCTTCCACTTCGATCCTTTTAGGTATCCCTCGACCAGCAGACACCTACCTAACTCTAGACCAACTCCGACCGCCTACACTACTAAGCTTTCTGCCACTTAACCACCACCACTTCCTCCAAAGTCCGAAAGCTTCCTCCCCTTGACCGTGTTTCCGAATACCTTCAGCTACCTACCTACCTACCCCGCCAAATACCGTTAATCCGCAAACACATTCATCACAATGGCGCAAGCAGGCGGGTCATACAACAACCCCTTGAAGAAGTTCAAGTAAGACAAGATACCCGACACTTTTGCAGACAATGCACTTGACAAGTCAAATGGAAGACAAAACAAGTCAAGATGCTAACCACTCTTTCTCCTCGCCAGGTTGGTCTTCTTGGGCGAACAAAGCGGTATGCCATTACCTCAACCTACAACACTTTCTCCACGATGCTCTCCGAGACACCAATGCTAACTCAACCATTGCGCGCAAACAGTCGGCAAGACGTCGCTCATCACACGCTTCATGTACGACTCGTTCGATAACATGTACCAAGCCACCATTGGTATCGATTTCCTTTCCAAGGCATGTTCGATCCCCGTGTCCCGTTAATTTTTTTACCGCCCTTCCTTCCCAGACAGACGATGCGCGACAGTTGCAAACACCAAAGAACTAGTAGATCAAGGTGAGAGCGTTTGGCTAACTTTACGGGAAAAAAAAAAAAAAGACCATGTACCTCGAAGACCGAACAGTCCGTCTACAGCTCTGGGACACAGCCGGCCAGGAGCGTTTCCGCTCCTTGATCCCTTCGTATATCCGCGACTCGTCAGTGGCCGTGGTAGTTTATGACATTTCGAGTATGTTATGTTATGTTATATCTTTTCTTTTCTCTTCCGCCTTTCTTGACCATCCTCTCTCTCCCCAAATTCCCCCTCACCGCCTTCCACCCCCGCTATTTCCCCCCTCCTCCCCTCAAGCCACCAATTTCAAAACCTCCCCCAAAGAACAGGACACTAACATTCATAACCAACACCAGACGCCAAATCCTTCCAAAACACACGAAAATGGATCGACGACGTGCGCGCCGAGCGCGGCAACGACGTGATCATTGTCTTGGTGGGCAACAAGACGGATCTGAACGACAAGCGCGAAGTGACCACGGCGCAGGGCGAGGAGGAGGCCCGGCGCAACAACCTCATGTTTGTCGAGACGTCGGCAAAGCTAGGCCACAACGTCAAGACGCTGTTCAAGAGGATAGCCCAGGCCTTGCCCGGGATGGAGGGCACCGGTGGGGAAGGTGCCGGTGGTGCGGGCACGGGGGCGGCGGCGACGAGGATCGATGTCAGCAGTAAGGAGACGGTGGCGCAGGAGGGATGCGCTTGTTAAGACTGACTGGACTGGTCTGACTGGTCTGGCGGCCTGGTGCGGTTTGATCTGCTCTCGTCTGGTCTGACCGGGACAGAACAAGTTCACGGTGTGGGGAGACTAACCATCTTCCTAGGGAAAGGGGGTACTGAAGAAGTTGAGGGGAAGAAGACAACAATGGGGATGACGATCATGTTGACGATGTTAACGAGGTTAACGATATAATGGGGTAAATATATGATGAGAGAATGAGATGGAACATGATGATGATGATGATGATGGGGGGTGGGGGGAGGGAAATAGAGGTGGGTGGGCTAGACAACCTGACAAACGGGGAAGCAAACTATAATGAGAAACTTGGCTGTGCTTTGTGCTTACGGTTTGGCTGGCTGGCTAAAGCAAGGCGATCGGAGCATTAGCATGCGAAGGAAGGGGTTGGTTTGGTTTTGTCGGGTCTTAACGCTTATAATAATACAAATGATAAAAGATATAATACTTTGTATCTAGTTCCTGAGTTGAACCAACTGTGTCTTTTAGGTGTTGTTTAGAGTTGTTGTGTTGTCGACTGAGTGCAAGATGGAATCAACGAACGGGTAGTAGTCCAAGATTGACCTTGGATATATCCTTGGCTAGGATACCTAGTCAGGTCTCGAGCTACAGAGGTCAGTCACGTTGGCAGAGACAGAACGAGTAACTTGTCGAGTCAGAAAGTACTGAGGATTACTACTATAAAACAAGACAAGACATGACATGGCAGAAAGAAAAACAAACAAGTACTTCATATTTTGGGTCTCCCCGTGTCTATTAAACGCCAAATTCGCCGATTCCAATAAAACCGAAAATATGCTTTGCTACTAAAGGTAGACTGATTGATCCCCCCTGAAAACCATGGTTTTGAATGTAATGAATCTTTCCAATGACCTGTAGCGACCAACAACCAACCAACCAAGCAAGGGGTATAAGCAAGCCCCGAAAGCAGCCATCGCTCGGGGGGAGGATTGTCTGTCCAAAGCCACAGTTACTGTCCTTACAGTTAGAGTGTTGGCTGTTGGTCAACCAATTGCTGTCCTGTCCTCTTTCTGTTCGTTCCGTCTTTTCTACACCGGACCCGTTCGTCGTGTTGGGCTTTGTTGCTGGTGTCAACTAAGCAGGTCTCAGTGGCGAGGAAGGGCCGCCGAAAAATGCAGCAGAACCCTCCCCGCATAGGGGTATCGACAGCCGCGGGAGCAAGTTCGTCCAAAAAGCAAACGTCTAGTGGTCCCGAGAAAAGAGGTGGCTGGTTCCGGTGTTGGTGATGGTGGTGGTGGTGGTTGGTGGTGGTGGTGGTCGCGGTAGTAATAGTTACTGAGACTCGTGCGCTCAGTCGGTATCCATCTCGTCATCATCGTCCACGTCCTCGAAATCGTTCTCGTCATCGTCATCCTCATCGACCAAGCCTCCACCAGCGACGCGCTCCGAGATCTCTTCCACGCCGCCGTCTGTCCTGACACGGAGCCTCTTGACCTCGCCGCCAAACGCCTTGGTCTTCTTGCTGGCCGCCTTCTTGGCCAGCTCCTCGCGCTCGAGCTCCTCGACGTCCTGGCCCGTCTCCTGGGCGAGCTCGGCCAGTCTCCTCTTCTCGGAACCGCGCAGGCGCGGGAGGAGGTGCTCGTTCTCGGCGACGAGCTTGCGGGCGGCGGCGACCTCGCGGGCGCGCTTGCCGGCCATGCGGCGCTTGTAGAAGATGCGCTCGCGGCGCTGGCGGATCTCCGAGATACGCTCCATGGCCTTGACCGTCTTGGCGAAGAGCTCGCGGTCGTAGCGGACGGGCACGTTGCGGCGGGCGGCGAACTGCAGGGTGCTGTCGACCACCATCTCCTTGCCGGCGTTCTTGCGGTAGGCCTTGGTCCACTTGAGCTTGCGGGGGTTGCGCTTCATCTTGAAGTTCTTGTGGCATTTGGAGCGGCAGAAGCGGAAGGACTTGCCTGCAGCATGTGATGTACCCTGGTTAGCAATTGGCCTTGACGGAGAGGTTGATGATGGGAACTGAAGTATGACAAAAACATACCATCGTTACGCATAAAGGTAATGCCCTTGGAGGGCCAGGCCGGACGGCCGCAAAAGAAACAAGGATCGACACGCATCTTGACGGGTTATGTGGGTGGTTGTGGTGGTGGTGGTTGAGGAGAAGCAGCGAGCCGGATGAGGATGGGCTCGTTGTCTGTTCGGGGGGGGGGGGGAGGAGAGGGGGAAGCAAGCAACAAAGTCAACAACAGCGAAACGGTCCAGGGCGCCGCTTCTGAAAATTTCTGGATGTCGGTGTTGGAAAAGTAAAGTGGGGCGGAGGGAACGCTTGGCTTATCTTAGCGCTATCGTGTTATCAGCCGACAAGACTCGGGTTAGGGTTGAGCGTGCATATACGCCAGCCCAGACGTTTCTTTTCTCTTGATTTGACTTTGATGGTTCCCGATGATCGATTCGGCAATTGCGGCTGCTTACTTTTGATGCTCTCTCCACAAGCGAGGGCCATGATGCTCTAGTCAACGGGCATGTTTACTTTTCCCAAATCAGCGTGTTCCCCTATCAATCCATTACTTCTTGAGCTCACGGTCTCTTCACTGCAACAAGGTTCAGTGACTAAGGAGGCAGTGGTTTCTGTTAACAGGACTTTCGCGCACCCTGACATGCCGCCTGGGCAGCTCTACCCTCCTTCTACCTCATCGGCGGCTGCCGATGACTAGAGTGACACCCATTGAGTTGTTCAGTATAGTGTATCATCGTTGTTCGTGATTGCAAGTTTACCATGTCTAAAGAACCCGTTTCGAGTTGTAAATCTTCAAGTTCTTTTCGGAGGCCGTGGCGAAATCGGATATTGAATTGTCTGCCATGTTGCACAACGATCAAGACCTTCCGGCAGTAGGCGAGGTCTCCGTCGCGCCAGTGTCTGTTGAAGGTGACAAGGTCTTTGTACAAGAATCAAGAACTCCACAAAAACAGAAGTAGTATTCCTTGAAACTTTGTTGCTCTGTTTCCGTCTTCCAGACCGAACTGCAATTGACTTTCCTCACTCCTTCCCCAATCACAGTGCTCCTTCCGTCTCACTCACAGTTGAGGTCGGGTGCTGACCGAGAGCCCCATCAGATCCACAGCGCTAACTCAAAAATGCGGGGATAAAATCTGGGGAAAGCGTCAAAAGTGGAGTCGGATTCCCCTGGGGCTCCACCAGACTAGCTCCTGCCCTGCGACAGTAAGGGTCTCGAAATCGTTCTTTCTCGATACAGACAGTAGGAAAGCGAAGATATCGATATCTCTTTCCAATCTAGTGTCGGTAATTATCCCATGGTATTTCGCAAGTCTTTGTGTCCAACTCGTTGCATTCTTGTATGCGATGGTTCAAAATTACAAACACAATGCTGGTTCCTCCCCAGCCACAGCACACGCGCACCGGACCACTCCTCGCTCCGTGGTGCCATCAGACATCGCAGAATCAGACGACGGAACTCACAGACGGGCCGCTGTGATACAAAAGTGACGTCCAGCCACACGAGATGATTGGAGTTTGGATATTGCCTGCCACTCCTACCCCGCTCAATCCTGGGTTACACCATGCCTCAGCCAGACGGTTCCATGTCTCGAGAAGCCGTTAGACATAAATACTCACAACAGAAGAAGGAGTGGAGGAGGTGCAGGCGAGAAAGGCGGAGGTGAGCGGTGGCTTCCTGTCTGGACCGTCCACTTGCTGCAAGTGAAGGCAAACCGGGGAGGGGAAGTGGCACGACAGGAGGTCAAGGCTTGGGCATCTCCCCCCAACAAGATGGCATCGAGTTAAGGACACTGCGTGGAGAAGGAGAGAAAACTACCACCAGGACCCTGACGGTCTAATAAACAGTAACAAGACCTGCTGCTTTGTGTTGTGGTTCCCATTTCTGCCACATAAAGGGGACTCCCGTCTCTCCCGCTGTCGATATATCTGCCTCTCCTCCTCGAAAACATTCATCCTCGTTCCATAGACTTGTACAGACACACGAGTAAAGAGCAACCTATAACACTCGAAGAGTACAGCATCAACTGCTGATCAAGCAAAGAACACTCAACCACAAGTAGAGGTACGTCTGTGATCCATTCCGTGGTCACTCCTTGAGTATTATTCATAGATGACACGGCTTCATGTGTGGGCATCAAGAATCATCATCATCGCAGCCATCTCTTCCTTGTCTTCATCAACTACATCTCCTCTGCTCACCATCCCACACATGTCACTGCCTCATCTTCCCTCCACATGTAACCTTACTCGACACAACACACTAACCCAACCGCAGCATCTTCCCTCAAACAAACAAACCCCCAAAACAACCACCAAAATGGTCGTCCGTATCCCTGCCGCCGGTATGACCGAGTACATCTTCTTCGGCGCTGCCGGCGTCGGCACGCTCGCCCCGCTCGCCATGGGCATCCCCGGTGCTGAAGAGCGCGTGGCTCGGGCGACGGCCAAGTGGGCGCCCCGATGGGAGCGCAACATCAACTACTTTACGAACCACGTCCCCGTCGAGCGCGGCATCCAGCGCATCACACCTCCCGTTGAACGCGCCGTTCATCGCGTCGAGCACGAATTGCCTCTCGAGAAAGCGGCTGTGGCTACGAGCCATGTCGCGGAGAAGAGCATGAAGCCGTTGGAGATGATTAAGCACAATTGGACTATGGAATGAACTTTTGTTAATGTGATGAGGGACGGACTAGGGGCTGGACAATGGATGTGGACGGTTTGTAACACGGCATAGCCGGAGTTTTTGGAAGGGAAGGTCGTTTCTGTACTGAATGAATCATGGGTTATGGGTTATGGATCGGGATCATGACGGGACGGGATGGGATTGACGGAACGGCGAACAATGTCTTGGTTTTCCTAGCATGGAGATAATGACAAGAAAGGTTACTGTCGGTGGTTTGACCATGATGCCTTTGTCCAAAGTGGCAATTACCACTTCTTGTTGATGGCAGCAGCAGTCAGTGGTCCAGTGGAGAGCGTCGAGTAACCGATCTATACATGTATTCTTCCAAAACATGTAACTTCGAGTCACTCCATGAACCTACGTGCACGTTCGTCCTGTGGATTCAAAAAAAAGACGATCATGATGTCCTTTAACTTTCTGTCCCAGTCGGAACCATGTCGATAAAAGAACCCCTTCATCAGTACCATGTCTCCGGAGGACGTAAGTAAGGCACGATATTCCTACTGCAACCTCACATGGGCGAGCTCCCGCGCCGTTGAAAACAACTAGGTGATGGAGACCATACTGCAGTTTTCAATATTTAACTTGTCAGGGGGATACTAGTTCCTGGAAGCACATTACTGTCAAGTTATCTCGAGTACACATGAAACTAACACATCTCTAGGTAGGTATCTAGAGGTAGCCTTCGACATCAACTGTCCAACAAGCAGCAAGAGGCCGAGCATCACACTGACGATATCTTATAGTGAAGTACTGTTCGGTGATGGGCTAGGAAGGGCACTCATAGCCGTCTCTCGGTCGATATACCTCTAGGTACTTGGTGATTGCAGGACGCAGAAGACCGTGGGATAGGTAACCAGTTTTCACTATTTTCTGGAGACTGGCATTTTTGTCGACCTTTCGTCATGTTGTCTTGCACAAAAATGACGGGAGCCCTGCCTTGAAGAAATGACTCGACATCCGGGTGTGTTAGTGAAAATCATGACTTCCACTTGGCAAGGGAGAAAACAAAAAAAAAGGTAGGTTATGGACATCTGCAGGACACAAAGGGTTGGTTGTCCGTGAGGGTTTGGTAACGATGAGCAGTGAGAGGGTTTCGAAGCATCTTGGGCTCAACGATGTGAAGATCCGGCAGATTCTTGGTGGTGATGTTGGGTAAAGGGATAGAACCAAAAGAGATAGTGCCGCTGCTTGATGTCAATAAGTGTATGTTTAAGAGGAGGTTGCGGTCTTGGCGATCCAGCTACGTGGATGGATGCTCAAGAAACGTGACAATCGTCAATATAGGTACCTATCAAAGCCACCCGATACCATAAGAGTGTTCAACCAGGTCTACATAGTAGGTATAAAACCCATCTGCCGCCCCCATTCAATCAATCATGCAATCAACCAACGTGCAAGGGCCCTGTCGCAACTTTACCTCCCTCTCACGCCATCCCGACAGCCCGCGACAGCCAGCCAGCCAGCCATGTTGCGTGGGCGGGTGACCATCATTCATTCACCTTTCCCATCATGTAGACCATACTACAGCGCCAAACGAACTGCCTATCTCTCTCTCTCCCCCCACACGCGTACACGTTCCGTTCCGGGTACATACCTAGACTAGACAATTCCCGGAGGCTGCCGGGGCAGACCGATAGGTGTACCGCCCAGCCGGTAAAGGAGTGGAGAGCTCGGCCGGACCGAGAGCCGCCGACAGCCGCCCCGGTCCCGCAGGTCGGGCGGGTGGGAGTCCGGGGTTTTAATTTTTTAGGGCGGATGTGTATGTACCGCGTTGAGTATTGCACTATCGACGCTAACAGGACCTTTTTGGGGTCTTCACTTGCCGAGCTTACATGTCCATCATGTCTTCTGAACAGATTTGTCCATGGCCATCATGACATGAGACGATATGGATGATCAGCCTTGCGAAGAACGTCCGTCGGATGGGATTCGGCAAGTGATTTTCGGCCTGCTCCCAGAAAGGAACTCGTTGGATTCAGTGGTTGTTCTCCCAGGGTACTCGAGGTTCCTGTATTCTTCAGTATCTTCTCTTGAGTTTCCTTTGGGTAGTGTTGAAAGTCGGTCTCGAGTTTGTGCCGTTGAACAGCTGGGATCTACGCGTGCTGCAAGAGATGGAAGGACTTACGTCCAAACGACCCTTCTACATGGGAATTATACATGTGCAATCATTCAACCTCGGAGACATCGTCCGCGTTCAGGCATAAAGTTGATGTGTATCTTGGCAAAGGGGTCCTTCGGGGTCCCCAATTCAGGGGTAAACTGGCTCCACATGGTTATGTCTTCCACTGTCAAAATGCAAAGAGGAACGGAGTTGCCGTTCTTGTCTGTCCACTTGTTGAAGACTTCAAAGTCATTGACTGAAAGAAACCGAGTTATACACATATCGGAAAATCGGTCATACCGTCAGTCGTCACGGTAGATGCCCAAAATGGCCAGTTTAGTGAAGATGAGCATACGATTCCAGCCCAGCATAGTTTTTACCAGGGTCCAGGAGTACGCGGAGATTTGTCTTGTGTGATGTGTGTCGGTGCCGTGTCCAGGTTGGCACTGATCGGAACCGGGGGGTTCTGCTACCCCGTTCCGACTCCCCTTAACATTTCCAGCTGGTGAGTGATATACGGACATGTTAGCCGCCAAAAGCAAGTCACTAACATGGACCTAACAACCCCCCGTGAACACCAACCCCCGTTGATTGGAGTGCGTCTCTGCCCTGTCCGTCTCGTCACGGAAGGCAGGCCTTTGCGTCATAGCCCACCGATCAAATAACCGAGTCGAGTCGAGCCTGGCAAAGCCTAGAAAGGCGGTTAGGCGAACGGACAGACAGACAGGGAGGACACGCGACACCGAAAGCGCGGCTTTGTACATAGTGTAAGCGAAAGGGAGGGAGGCAGCCTGACGAGGAAATCGTGTGAAATGACATCAGGTGTTGAAGGGGGAGGGTGCCGTGGTGATGGACTCTAATCTAGTCTTTTCCGCGGATTTGATTTTGATATGTGGTGTGGAATGCCAAGTAAGAACGGTAATTGCGAACGACGACGGCGCCTTTTTGAGTTTCAAGTTTCAAACCAAACAATCAATCAATCCTGTTGAGCCTGGAAAGCAAAAGGCTGGTGACCGAGGAATGGGATAACAATAGCGCCTCGCAAATTCGCCTTCGTACTACATACTACACTACAGTCTATGTATGTATGTATGCCGACTGATCCGGGTTCTATCCAAGCAAGCAATTGGCGCCGCTTCGTTTTTAGGTTGTTTCGCCGCGAAGTGGTGTCGCAACTCGCTCGCAACTGGCGTAGTGTAAACTACGGTGGCCCAAGTGTGACCTAGGTCATTTACAAAATTGGTCCAAGCTTCCAATTATAGCTAGGTGAAGGGCAAATTACTAATACCCTACGTACATTCATACGCACACTCCTCCCTACTAAATAAATTACTACCTTTCTATACCCTTTTATATTTATATTATATAATTAACGCTAATTATTCCTAATTATTCCCCGCTACTACTTTACTGCCGTCCTTCTTACGTCCTTACAAAATTCTAATTATATTTACCTACTATTAATATTATCCTTACTAATTACACTAAAAATACCCCCTCCTTAGGAATTCAATGGAAATTTCCTCCCTACGCTTACTAATAAGTAGGACGATAATATAACGCTTATATAATAAACGGCGTACTTATTTAAAAAATTAGAGTAATATAAGATAGGCTTTACCTTTAAAATTTTAATAGAAAATAATATAAATTAAAATTATTTAAATATAATTAGAAGTAATTAATCCTAATTAGAATTAATTAAATTTTAATACGTTTATAGGAGGCTAATAAAGTTATAAAGAATAGAATTTAGGAGGTTATTATTTTGAAGATTGAGACCCTAGGTAATATTATTACTATTATACTTTATTTTTTCGTAAATAAAGTACTGGATATTGAAAATAAAGAGTGTATTCGGTATATATACCCTATAATCTTATACCCTACGAAGTATTATATTATATTAGAGAAGTATTTCTTTAGTAGTATTTATATTTATTATTATTATATTAATTTAGTTAATAAATATTTATTTAAAATATAAGAGAAGGAGGAGAAAAAGAAAAAGGAATTAGTTAAAGATATTTAAGTATCCTAGACGGAGAAGAATAAAGACGAAATAATAAAAGAAATAACTCTTAGCGAATTAGAGAAGATAAAAGAAGTTTTAGTAGAGGATAAAAAGAAATGCAAAATTATTAAAATTTTATTCTTTAAATGTAAAAGAGATATTTAAAGGTACGTTATATATATTTTTTTCTTTTACTTGTACTATATAATATTTTAATTTTTATTGTACTCCACTCTTAGTCTTATATATTCTTTTCGTATGTGATACATAATGAGCAACAATATATATATACTCTAATATAAATAAGATAAACAATTTTTTTTCGAATAGATTCTAATTCGTATTAATTAGAATTAATTAACGTTGGTTGATAGTAAATAACTATTTTTACAAATATATAAATATAGTTGGTATAATATATAATAGATTTGCTTATTAGATAGATATTTTATATTTTAAAAATTAATATATATTTATAATATATATAATAGTAAAGATTTAAATACTTAATATACTAATATAAATAAATAAAATATAGTTTTTTATTTTTAAAATAAGAAATAAAATTTAAAAAAAAAAATTAGGAAAATAATATATATTTTTATATAAATTCTTTTTAAATTACAAATTATATTAATAATTTAAGGTCTTTATTATAATATATTTATATTTTATGTTTAATTATATATTAATTTAATAAAGAGAAATTAAAGTAAGTTATTTAAAAGAGGCTATTAAAAATATAAACTTCTTTTTATTAAAAAAGTGAAGTAGTAAAATTATTTTAAATATTTTAAATAAAAGAGGGTAAAAAATATATAAAAAGTAAAATATTTAATAAATATAAAAGTTTAAAATATT